TTCATTGGTAGTATAGAAATTCATTTGTTTCAAGCCGAATATAGTAGGAAATATAATACATGAGTTTATCAGTGGGCTAATTATTACGTAAATGACATCGAAAAGTGCCTTCTTGGTATTTTGGTACCTCGTTTAATATATTGCATTCTTTTAGACGCCTGTTTTAGGGTCCTTAAATTAGGAGTGACTTTTATTTAAAGCCCCAGACCCCTAACTTATAACATTCAATGCAATCTTGCAAAGAGTGCACATTATTACATAGAGGAACAGGAAATTAGTGTGATTTATTCCCGAACCGCTGTCCCATTGTCCACAGTCCTTGCCACTAGCCCGACTAAAGGACTCCGGCTGTGTTACGACTTAGAGACAACTTAATCTTTGCGCCCAGATCGGGATTGAAAAATGGCTTGATGCGGCGTTAAAAAGATTTGGTCGCATTAAGCATGGTCGTTTATCTGCCACTTGCCTCACACCGACAGGAGGAGTCACTCGCACCCTCACACACACACCACACACTCCACACACTCAAGCATTCTGAAAGCCAACACGTGTGTGTTAGTGTGTTTGTGCCAGTGCCTGAGGCTTGTGTTTGCCTAATACGCTTCAACTTCTTTGCCCGAAAGCCAAAACACTGGCAAACACTGCCAGTCGGCGCACAGAGGAGACCAGGAGCCATAAATAGGCACGGGGACCAGGCAGGGATCGGCATGTCAAAGGCACGTGCAACGCAACATAAACAATTCCACACATGCACGCACAGAAAAATGTCAATACAAATTGAATTTTCAAATCAAAAGTATCACAACCTTGGGAACCCTACTCTGTATTACAAATCAAATAATAATAGCAGTAAAAAGAATCATTTCTATTGTAGTAAATATAAATATTTGTATATATAAATATATTATTGAAAATTATAAATTGCTCCTAACATCTGTGATTCTCCTGAATACGTTCTTTTTCGTTGTATCAAAATCCTTATCAGAATGACCTCTAATTTTCCCATGTGCATCCCCCACACATATACCGTTGCGAATGGCTCTGTTGAACTAACCGGCGGCTTTCCATTTTTTTTCCCAACCGCTCACCAACACACAGAAATTTCTTTGCCATTGGCCAGGTTCAGCTCCTTGTGGTGCTCACCAATGTGGCCATGTTCGCAATATTTTCCCACTTTTATCCTTCGAATTTTTTCGCTTTTAACGTTGTTCCGTCGTGGTCTGGCCCATTTTGCCCCGCTGCCACCGAGTAGAGCCGCAGGGGGTGCCACAGTGGCAGTAACACACGACCCTCGCTGCGTATACGTAATGTCAAAACTATCGATGGCGAATTTACACCACGTTGTGAACACATTTTTTGCCGCAGTCCCAGTCGCGTTCGCAATTGCTGTTCTTGTTGTCCCGTTAGTTGTTGCATCTGTTGGTCATATTTGTAGATAGGTCCCACTGCATACCCTGTAATGTGTCACTAGTCGTTGGTAAAGGCAATAATAGTAAAACTGTTAAATATTGAATTTAAAAGTAAAAAGTTTTAAGACGTTATTCGCTGAGAATATCAAAAGGATGTTTAAAAAATATATGAATTTGGGTAATAAACCTCAACAACTCTTACCTTAATATATTCTTTTAATAAGGACACTGAAGAATAAATTCGCTTTCTTAGTTTAAAAACAGTTTCCCTAGAATGAGAAAATTAAATTTTAACATTTAATTTAAAATTTATAAATATCAAAGGAAATTCTTATAAATATTTCTTATAATAATAATATGTAGCTTATTCACTTAGATATTACAAATTGTAATATTAGGTCTATAGGGAATTTCTATCGTCCATTAAGTCTTCATTCTAGAAGCGAGGAGACCTCTTTCCTTCCATCGCATATTTCACTATATTTTCATTTTAGCGCTTTCACACATTCTCACACAGAGCGTAAGTATGCACACACACATACAATAACAAATACACTCGCGCCCGAACAATGGTCGCACTTCCTGTTTCCGCTTTGTTGGCGGAGGGCTATGGACGGGGCGCGTAAAGTGAGGGCACGGACGACACTGTGGGGGTCAAGGGATAAATTTGCATAAATTTTCCGTACATTTCGCACAGAAGGCAAATTGCATTTTCAGCATAACACGTACTCCATTCTACTTACACCAACACTCGCACGCACAACCTCGAACTGAACCCCATTTCCTCACACTCACCTCCCCCCTTGAACCAAGAGGTAGGCCGTGTTTTCCCAGCGCCATCGCCATCGTCATCGCCATCCTCCTCGCATCGTCAGGAGCTTCATCCTTATCCTGGCGGCGCTCTATTCGCCTGTGTTAGTTTAAGGCATGCAAATGTTACGAAAATTGCTTTTTACTTCCCATCATGCAGGTGAATGAGTTCACCTTCCCCCGATTCCCTTCCCCTCCGCAGCCGCAGGTAAGTTAAGTGTTTGCCTCGAAGTTGTTACTGCAAAATTACCTTTTGTTGTAATTTCTGGGCTCGGCCGCACTATGGACACAGCTTTTCAAAAACTTACAATCAATGATGGATTTATTCATATTCACAAAGAACCAATGTCCAGATATGTAACAGCTTTTGTGCTGCAAATCAAGTTTGTTTATTACTGGAATTTTTCTAGGCTTTATTTTATTTTCAATCGCTAAAAATTAATAATAATTGAGAGAAAAATAGCTGCTCTGGGATATACATAATTAATTACTCATCAATTTTGCAATTCAAAGACTTGCTTAATTAATGGTAATTGTAGTTAAGTGGTTAGCTCAATAAACTATAAAGCCAATTAAATGTTAAATAATTATTCAATGATCCAATATGCTGAAATAAATTCCTCCCCCTCTGGTTGGAAATATTTCTTTTTTGAAAGCTAACTAATAAAATATTGACCAACGTTTTTAATATACCACTGTGTAGTTATTTATTTGTAAGGAATCCACCTCAAGTAAGAATTTACTATCAACTGAAATGCCTTTCCTTTATGCTTTCGGAATCGTTTTCAGCAATAACAAATTGAGGCTCGAAAAGCAAGTATTTTTGCCATTGTCCTGAGGTGGTCTTTTCGGCTCGAAGGGAGAGTGCTGTTAAATGATGTGTTGTGGACCAATTTAAGACCAACTCTGTGTCTCCGAAATTTTCTCTCGGTTGCAGGACATGCTCTTATTTGGTTTATTTGCTCTAAAACATTTAAAACAGATTTATGCAGCAAATTGAAGGAAAAACATTTAATTCCTCGGACCTCAGACCTCAGACCACTCTTGCCACTGTCCTTTTACAAAGTGTTTTCGGGTTGTGCTGCCAAAAAATATTAAATGCAATGTCAAGCAAAACACGAGAAGAAAAAACAAGAAACGAGTTGCGAGAACTCGAATAATATTATGCATACAAAATAACTTGGTTTCTCTAATGGCTGAATTTTAAAATGCATGGGCGACCCAACCCCTTCCCTGTTGCGACTGGCGGCTCCTGCGAGCATGTTTGTGTTATGGGCGGTGCTTTGTGAACTGTTGAAGTTTATTTTGCCAGATTTAAATATGTATGAGTTGAAGATGAAGCATTTATGGCAACACAACGCAACACAACACGGCACACAGTGGCAGATAGAATGCTCGGTATGTGTCTGGAATATTTATGCGGGTTCCGGGCGGGCAAGCCGGCCCTTTGCCTTTCTCTATAAACAATTTCCTCCGAAGCCTGCAAGTATTTTCGGCACTCTCAGCAATTTTCCCACTGGCAAGTGACTGACTAATGTAACTTACGTGTACCCTCCTCCTCTCGTTTCCAGACCTTTCGGCCCTCCCATGCGTTCGCCAAGATGCCCCAATAATGCAAAGCATTTGTACCAGACAAGGCCGTTCCATTAGCTGGCCGGGATTCGTGGCGGCGTTGCCGGGTATCTCCGCCATCAAGTGGGGAGGAAGGTGGCATTTTTTGCGGCTCGCTGAGTTAGCCTAGCTCTGTGCCATTTGTTTTATGTTGCTAACTCAATTTATGAATACCACTCATGAATCATGGGGATTTTGAACCGTTCTTGTGGGCTTCTCCAAGAGCGGGTAAATGTGAAAGAAAGGTTATTAAGATAAAAGAGAATTTTGTAAATGCCTTTTTGGGCTTATAGCACTGCAGAGTTATGGCCCATTTCGAGTTGGTTGAGTCGAATTAAATCATAAAGTACCTATGCTTTTTTGGAAAGGAAAAAAAATCATATTATTTATAAAATTAAATATATATAAACATATCCTTTTCAACGTTAAAAGTGTATTATATTAAATCTCATCCGTCAATTTGTCTTTTCAACAGGAGAGCTAATCTTAAACCCAGTTTGATCGATCTAAGCCATATCCAGTTCCATGCCCACTTCGCACCGAACTCAAATATTCGAAAAGGAGCACGCTTACCCAGGTCTGTCCCGACCTCATCTCGTATGCATCGTCCTGTTGGCTTGTCCTTCGCATGTATCTTATTAACAGAATTGATGTGTTTGCTTATTTACTTAATGTCGGAGGGTATATGTTTCTCCTCCAGGCCCCCATTCAGCCAGTTGATTTTCCCTGCAAGGACTCACTTGCCGGCAACGTGTCCTTGCCATTTTACGTGCTCATTATCTGCGCTTCCGAACAATTAGATTCAATTACCCACCACCGCCCGCTTATTGTTGGGTTCGGGTAGAGCAAGCCCCTTGATTCTTCTATCCGCAGTGTCTGGCGTGTCTGCCTTTGATTAGATACGACTTGGACTGGGGATTATCATGCCCCTAACGCTATCCACCCTGGCTTCCTTGCCTGCACACACACATGTCACGTAGCTAAGTACATCCTGCCTCGGCTCCTGCTCCTCTGTATCGTGTACACAACAAATCCATCACTATTTACCGTACTTTTTAAATGATTTTCTTAGCTAACAGACTGGAAGATACTCCTTAACACCCCTCATACAGTCAATTACTTGTAAAATGCCCTACCAAGAGATTCCCTAAGTTTCGTCAGGATGGAAAAAACGGAGAGATATGTATAATGTATTTTGGAATAAAAAGAGCGCAAAAGCATCTTAGGGGTTTAGTAACTTAAGCTAGCTCCAGGGAAGAGAAAGATCGATCAGCGGCTAATCCATATCCGAATCCCTTACAAGTAATTAACATCGTAGTTGCGCATCTTCCAATTGAGCCGCCAGTACTTTTTCCAGAAGCCCACGTCGATAACGCGCTCGTGGAAGTTGAGGAAGCCCACCTTGGTGTATTCACAGATGGCCGGATATGTGCAGTCGTCCTCGTCAAACAGATCCACCCAGAGCAGCGTACAGATGCCCAGTGAGAGCAGACGGAGCTTCTTCTGGTTGATGGCTCGCTCCAACATGAGCAGATATTCCGCGGAAACGGGATTCTGCTGATCAGGCGCCACCGTGATCATAAGGTTGGTGTTCCGCCGCAGCTGCGTCATAAAGTACTCCTCGCCGGGATTGTTGACCACGGTCTGGTAGAGCAGAGCCAGTCCAGTGCCATAGGCCAGCGCCCACTTGGGATGGGCGTAGGACTCGCGCACTGCTCCAACCGCCACCTCAGTGTAGTCGCGCACCAGGCCGCTCCAGCACTTTATCCACTTCTCCACGAGCGTGTCCTTCAGCCGCTCCGGCATCACCAGCTTGTCAGCCAGACGCTGGCGAAGCGCCATGATGCGTACCAGTCGCATCTCGCTCCGTGTTTTCTGTGACAAAAGTCAATTTTGAGCAGTTTCGTCGATTCCTGGGAAATTATTGCAAGTGACACTTATTTATCATTCGTGCCGTGCCTTATTTATCATTGTGTTTCGTTTACCGGGGCAGAGACGGCAAGGGACACACAAATTGAACAAGGACTTAGCCTTAATGTGCAGTGATTTGTCAGCTCGGCGGGAGGATGTCCTTAGGGAGATTTCGAGGGCGGCTACAATTTAATTTCATACTTTGTTAAGGGGCAAATCATTTGTAATCTGAGATAAGCGAGGCCAGATGAGTTCAGATGAGTTGGGAAATGAATGGCGAATGGCGACATGTCTGCCCTGTCGCGCCCAAAAAAAGACACAATTAGGGTTACATAAAATTACGTATATTTAGTTGGTGTATGTGTGTGCCAATTTATGCTTGCTTAGCATGCTTACGATTAGTTATTGAAAGATCACACGAGAAATGATTTCCTTTCATGGTTACATCTGATCCTACTTGTTCTAGAGTACAAAGGTGAACACAAAATGCCTTTCGTCTAACTAAATTGTAGTTTTAGGTGCACAAACTTACAAATTAATATCACTATAAATGCTCAAAGGGGAAGGTGTGGTAAAGGCAACGCAACCAATAATTAGAATTCTGTGTGAAAACTGTTTGCCGTGTCTATCATCTTGGATTGCAGAAAGATCTCGGCATTGTCAGTCATCTGCAAGGATAGAAATCAAGTTGTATTTAATTAGTAACTTATACAAACACAGGAATATCCTTTAACTATTAATGAGCTTGATATCTACAGCTCTCCTGGCAATCTCACCTCTTTAAGGGTCAGCAGCTCGTCCTTGTTCTCATCGCACAGACTGAACAAGGTGGCCGCCTCCTGAAGGGCGTATCGCGGTGTCTTCGGGTTCACGTAGTTTAAGAGCTCGCCACGATCGGCTTTGCCGTCGTGGTTCTTGTCGATGATCCGCTTGAACTCCTCGCGACGCTCCACCAACGTCTTGGAGATCAACGACTTCCGCAGCAGGTCATCATCGTCGTCCACGTTCAGGTCGGAGAACTCCTCCAGCGTCAGCTGGTCGTCGCCATCCTGGTCGAACTGGCGCAGCAGGTCGTCCACCAGCTCTAGTAGATTGGACACGCTGGACTCGGGGTGCCGGAAGCTCAAGTACTCGTCGATGGTCAACGTGAACAGATCGGTGCGAGCGGCCTCCGACCAGCGGGCCTTGTCCCGCATCATGTCCTCCCTGGCCCGTCGATTCAGCGCCGTGTGCCGAATCTCATCGTGCTCATCGATGTCTGCCTCCGTCATGCCGTGCTCTCGCAGGAAGAAGCGATGGTATTCATCCCAGGTGATCAGCCCGTCCGCTGGTCCAATATCCACGCGCCGGAACTCGCGGGCATTGTTTAGGATCGCCTCGTCGATGTGCTCCACGATCCGACGGTTGATGTACTGGCCCATCTCCTGGATGGACAGTTTTCCATCGCGATTTCGATCGGCACTGAAACGAATTAATAGTTAAGGGTTAACATAATGTGAAAAATCAAAGGTTTAAAGTGCACAGTAATAATGTTATCCCAACCTCATAAATATTTTAAGTTACCCAGCAATTATGTTTAACTCTTTGAAAGTTAATGAACGCTATGTGTTTTAATGGCAATAATAAATCGTTTCTTCTTTTCAGATTTAATATATTTGGTGCATTATGAAAAAGGCTGATAATATTAAACTTGATGTATTACGGCAGCCTAATCAAATGTTTATTATACAATATAACCTACTGTCTGACTGGATCCACTGTCAGATGTTGCCTACTTCTCTGTTAGTGGTCCTTGCAGGCACTCCTTCCTCGTGCTTCCCAACTGCCTACCTCACCACAGAGAAGCGGTGACACCGAATGCTGCATATGACAGCTGTCTAATGATTTCTTAAGTCCTTGGGATTTGCACTTGGAAAAATTTATTAGTAAATATATATGAATTGGAAACAAAATACAGACAGGCAAAGCGTTAGGGTGTGGTCTGGTCAAGGTAAATACATAGTTTTGAAACAAGTAGGGCCACCAGCAGACAATCAAAAATATAATATTTATTAATAACATGTTGCTTATGCTTTAAAGAAAATATAAACATTATTTCAGTGGACCCTCGACTTTCCTTTCTCCAAGTGAGCCTGTGGGCGGTATACCGCCCCCGGCAATGAAGTGCGAATGCCCAAAACAGGTGTCAGACATTAAAGCTCCTTACTGGGGACTAGGAAACCACTGGAATAATCAGCGGATGCCAGCCGAGACCAATTGTTTGTGCCAGCGATTGTGTCTGTTTGTGTGTTTGTATATGGATGAGGTCTGTCGGTGTGTGCGAGAGTGTGGGAACCGGCAGGAACGGAACTCGCATCCGCAGGAGAAGCCGGGACACTGGCAGGAGACGGAAGCCCCGCCGCACTGTGGTTTCATTAGCATATAGTTGATAAATAAATAAAGTTGCAGCTAAAACGGTTTCAAGTTGCGCTTCCTTTGGCGAGAGAAAGTTTGCGCTTCGCCCGGCCCACCTAATTCCTCGCTTCGGTCACGTCCCTGCTCCAGCTCCAGCTGAAATGTATATGAGAAACGTTTGCGGTCTTTTCGAGTGGGATCAAAACGGAAAGGAGGGTAAATCCTCGAATATAAAAAGAAAGTTTTTGCTCTTTGCGTTTCTTCCTTTGGCATCTTTGGTACGTGCAAGAAGTGACTCGCAAAAATGTGAATGGGAACAACTTTTGCATTCGTTTTCAGGGGGAGAGACCCCCTGCAATTGAGGCTTTCGCAAAAGGGTTGGGGATAGAGTCGCCCCTTGGCCTAAGTTTCGGGGATTTGTTACAAAGCGCCAAGTGCATTTTGCATAAGCCTGCGGTTCCACCGAAGTTGGCCAATTGCTTCTGCCACAGACGATGCTCCTGCACGGCTCCTCGCTTTCTGCTTGTTTTATTTTTTGTGGCTCTGTCTAAGGATTTGTTAGACAGGATGCAATGCATAGAAGGGCTTTTGAGTGGTGCATAAAACTATTATTTGATTGCATATACACAGGGCTCCAGTGAACTTGTGTTCGCATTCATCTGCTCAACTCTTCTAGTCCCTCTACCTATCTCGCTCTGCGTCTCTCCGTCCTGCTCTGCCTCTCTCTTTTAGGACCGATGGCAGAGTTAGGTTCAACTGCTGAAAATTTAATGGGATTACCGAAACTTTATTTCGACTGTTTGGCCTAGGCCTCTCGACTTAAATTTCAAGTCTTCTTACTTTGGACAGTTGGTAAATTAGCTTTGCTTTTCGATCAAAAGTGTGTAAATAAAACATTTGTTAGCCGTAATTTTAAATTCAAAAGAAAAATCATATTCAAAAAGAAGCATCTTTGGCACTTAAAGAAGTAATTTTCCGTATGCAGTTGATAGAATGTTGTTAGAGTAAAGAGTAGCTAATAATAATCACTCACACAATTATATTTTACTTATGTACTTATATTTTGCTTACCTTTTTAGAAATTTATTTTCATTGTATTGTTACATTTAATATTCAATTTAACATAATTTAAGCCATAAGTAAAACAGCAAGTAGCTTCTGTAAGTAAGCATAAGTCTTTGGGTGTTAACTTCTCAAAAAATACATAAATCACATTAGCAACGCCGAACCATACACCACCACACACAGTTGGTAAGTGCACTAAAAACAATAGCAAAAATAGCGGCGAAAAACTTTTCCACGTTTTGCGCTCAAACTTGCCACCAAAGTTTATAGCATACTTTCGTGCGCTGCTGGAGGGAGACACCTTCTGCAGAAGGAAGTGTGCAATTTTAGCACAACGCCCAATCAAAGCAGAGCCGGCGGGGCGGACGGTGTTGGATGGGCGGGTGTCACGGCCGCCGCAGGCAGGACTAATTGGATGCAAAAGTCACCCTGGACACGGGCCCGGGACATTGTACATTGGACGGGGGACACGGAACAGTGGACATTAGCCCGCCTCACCGGTCGCGTCGGTCATGCATGGGGAATGAGATTGGAACTGCAAAACACAACTGTCGATGCCATGTGGCTGCCCATAAGAGGGGAACGGAGGAGGCTGGCGCCCAATTAAAATGTATGACAATGTCCCTATCAGCGGGCAGCGGAGACAGTGGCAGATACCATTTAATTGTTCCTAAAAATTGGACACCCACGCCCATGCCTAGCGATGACCGCATTATTAAAATGAAATTTAAATTCAGAAAGGGAGGGCTCGGCCGGGAATTGGGTTCACCAAATGACGGCTATTAATTTCAGCCACGCAATTATCACAACATTTTCTGGTCGGTTTAATTGCAGTTTAATTCGAAGGAGACAAGTGGAAATCTCCACATAACTCACACAACCCCCGAGGGGCCTTAAATATCCGAAAATTCGCAAAACAATGGGCATTTAAAGCGTTTGGTGCCCCCTTTACGCTTTAATTGCTTTCCAGTGTTTTAATTTGATTTGAATTTCGATTGCCCGAGAATTTCAAATTTAATAAATGTAACATTTTTTCCCCAACCGGGCTGGCATAAATTTTCAAATATATTGGGGCAATAAATGCTATGCAAATAATTTTAATTTCGTCAGAATAGAAATTCGACTGAACTCGGTCTCGGGTCCTTTGGGCTTCAATGGTTTTAAATGTTATCCTTCATCAAATATTAATAAAGCCTCTGCAAATGTGTGCCCCGAACACATGCACGCAGCAATGAATGTATATATTTGCAAACAAATACGGACACCAAATGCTTTCCCGGTATCCCCGCCAAAGCGAGATCCTCTGGAGTTGGCTGGACTTTGGTGGCGGGCATTCATAGTCGTATTTACTTAAAGCCCTCCCGTGTTTATATTTACAGAAAACTACAGCCATAGCTCCGCTGACGGACAGCTTCCTGGGGGGCTACCTTCGGGGGTTTGAACTGGTTATCAAAAGTGGCGAAAATCGGGTAAGAAAGAGCTAAAAAGGACTATGGAGGTGAACGAAGCCAATGAAAATGGCCAGGGTTGAGGCTGACCATGAAATTAGGTGACATTCATGTTAAAAAAAAAAAGGTTAGGAAACAAATGGAATGAGGTTAATTTAAGGGGGGGGTAAGGTATTTAATTTTTTTTTTCGTAAATTTTTTTTATTTTTTATTTTAAAAGTTCAATATCTTAAGAATATTGTGTCCAAGTTTTACATCAATCAAAGTAAAATTGACGAAGTTATGCGGAGTTGAACGAAGGTCGTCTGGTGTTCAATGCATGAGAATCACAAAGTTTAAAGCGCTCTCCTGAAAAATGCCATTTTGAAAATCGGTGTACACGATAACTAAAAATATACTGAACCAATCGGTTTGAAATTTGGAACATAACTTCTTTAGATAATTCTACAGGTATTCTCGTCGAGCTTTTTTTAATTTTTAATTTTCTTATATTTTTTATTTAACAAATTAACTTAATTTTTTAGTCAAAAATCGGGGTTTTGACTTCAAATTTTGATAAAAAATAGGGAAAAAATTTTAAAAATAAAAACGCTTCGAGAATACCTCGGGACACTTATCCTTTAACGAATGAGGTATAATTTTTGTAGATCGGATGATTCTGTGGACAGTTAGGATGTACACCGCAAACCAACTTTTTTGGAGGCGACTCGGGAGATTCCCTATAACTCCTCTACCTCTAAATATTTTTCAATACAAAATTTATCACAAACTGTTCAAATGTTGTGTTATTATATGGTATTTAATTCGTTAAGCTAGCTTTAGCCGTTTCGCCACAACATTTTTTTGAAAAGTGGGCATTTTTGCACCGAATTAACCTTACCCCCCCCTTAAGTAACGCATCTGCAAATGATTAATATATATTTACTCTTTATAAAACTGAAGATTTAATTAATTTACAACAAATAAAGCCACAAGTCAGAGAGTTATTTTCTCACTGCTCAATTTGTATAAAATCTGTCATTTAATATGCATCTTTCCTAATGAAAATGACACAAATTCTTATGCACACCAAAGAAAATATCAAATCTCTACTGGTAATTAAAATCCTGACTGGTTTAATCGCCTGAAGCGAACGTAATTTATCTTAATATTAGTGGGAAACCCAACAAGTAGACGGAAGCCTTTCCACTCTATTGTTTATTGAATCGAAATGAGTTTTAGCAAAAAGTTTCAAGTTTAGCAACCACAACTTTGACTGCTTTTAACGGATAAGAGATGGGAAAACTTTTGGTTAAGGGCAAGGAAGCAAGTCGAATAAATATGAAAATGCTGTGACAGTTTGATTTCCCTCTCTCTTATTTATTTGGCCCAAAATTTATTTCCTTGCAAATCCTTTTCGACACCTCAAGTTTTATTTTCCTGTTGCCATCTCGGTTTTTGGTTAAGAAATTCCTGGCATTTTGACTGCTTGATTACCCCGAAGCCCTACAGCATCGGATGCACTTTCCCCCTAGGAACATGACTGAAACTTTTCAGTTTACGTCTGACCACCTCGGTGCTCTCCCCACTACTAATCCATTACGGACTTTAGTAGATTCAAGCATTTGGCCAATTGCCTAATCGCTTGTGCAGAAACTGAGAAGGTATTATGAAGCTACTTAAAATAATTAGGGGGTCTACATGCTTTTCGTTTATAGTAAATAAGTATGAGTCTTTAAATGATATTACATATACATTTAACTATGTAAATAAAAAAATTCCAATATATATATTTATATTTTTAAAGACTTTCTTAAGCCTTATCTAACATTCTTCCCTGGCAGCCCTAATTTAATATGTCTTTTTTCAACAACAAAACTGTTCAATCAAAGTTTATTATCTTCGCATGGCGGCCAGCTTGTAATTCGATTATCCTGATTGCTCGGAACGAGTCAAGAGCGTAGTAGAAAACAAATCTCGGTCCGTGTCCCTATTGATCCGATTTTGCCCCCTGACGTTGCTCACCCTCCTTGCTGCTACAGGACATCCATCAATTTTAGCTGCCTTGGCTGCATTGCCACTAATTTTTACAATTTGTCGTACACAGAGTTATGGCGGTCACTTTCAGAGCTCCACTGAGTGGGGAAACGGGAACGGGAACGGATGAGTGTTGGGGCGATGAAAGCCGCAGCAACATCGTTATCCGCAACAATAAAGAAGCCACCGAACTAGTGCCAAATTATCAACAGAACAAACCGAGGAGGGCCCGGGCTCAAGGCCATAACTCAGGCACCCTTACAGGCGCAACTTACCGTTTGAATGCTTTTGCCAGTATTTGCTTCTCGTTCACATTGCTGGCCGCCAAAATAACTGTTTCGGGCTGGTTAGGGGATTGGCTGGCATTGCCCGCCTTCTCCTGTCCCTTTCGGCGGTGGGGATTCTGATGCTCACTCCCCAGATCAAAACTGTTCGCCACGGGCTGGGTCTTTAGTCTGTTCTGGTGTTTTTGTTGCTGCTGCTCTAGTTCCTGCAGCGCATTCAGCTGGCTTCGGCCGACTGTCCCACGTTGGGCGCCACTCTGGCCCGCATTGGGCGCCATTTTCGGCTCGGCCTGAGTGCTGCTGCTGCTGCTACTACTGCTGCTCTGCTCCTTGAGCTGCTGCTGCAGCTTGTGGCTAGTGCTGTGCAGGATCAGGCCAATGAAAAACATATAAAACAAAATTGCACACAATGTCGAGCAGCGCAGCCAGCGAAAGCTTTTGCTCAGCTTGTTAACGAAAGTCATTTTGTTGCCGCCGCCTTCGTCGACGTCCTCGTCGTCGTCGTCCTTTTGGCTCTCGCTTCCGTCGTTCTTGGTGCTGCCCCTGCCACCGCTGGACAATGGATGGCAGTGGTGTGGCTGATGGTGATGCCGATGATGCTGATGGCGACGGGGAGGCGCTGGTGGCGATGATGGGACCAGCTCTAGGTTCTGGTACACCGACTCCTCCTCCTCGGTCCACTCCGTTTCCGGGTCCTGCTCCAACTTGGACCGCAGCTTTTAGGACTCGTTGCGTGTAATTTGCTGTAATTTCGCTCCTCTCTCTTGCCTTGCCTTTTGGAGCCAGAAGCACCTTTGGTTGTTGGCGCTGCTCCTGTTGCCGTCGTTGTTGTAATTGTACATTAATTGACTTTTATGTTGCAACCAGCGACAGGCAGACAACGAAGTCGTTCTCGTTCTTGTTCCAATTTGCTTCACAGCGGCCACGCCCGGCTTCCGCCCCTTCTTTTATATAGTTAGGACGGGGCGCCAAAGTAACAAGTTCTAATACCAATTTGATGTGTTATTGCCTTTCGCACGATTCCCATTTCCTTTATGCCGGGGCTCCATCTTGTCTGCATTTTACACCAATTTCACATGATTGTTCGGGGCGCCATTTCCATTACGCGCGCTGATAATGTTGATGATGGTGGGGCCTGTCGAGCACAGGAGAAGAAGAAGGAAATGGATTTTGCATGAGTAAAATAAAGTTAAGGAAATCGTTCTACATTGCGAATTCGGTTCAGTGGATAACGATGACAAAAGCGGGATGCAAATTCCAGATGCTGCACTGTCATCTTGTTTAAATGTAAAAATGGATAAGATATATAAATTTGGGATGACTTCGCCTCAGAAATGCAAAGTTTATGTTAATGTTTATAATTAAAAGTTTGTATACTGTGTTTGTATATTATATTTAGCATGTTCTCCTACTGGTTGCTTATACTTAATATATGATACGTATACGTAATATGTATATAATACCTGGTAATACTGAGCATGTAAATATTCGCCTGGTAATGCTGATTTAACATATTTTAAGGCATTTCAAGCTTTCGATATAAATATGAATAAGGAATTGAAAACGAAGGAAATAATAAAAAATAAAAAGTTTATACTCAACATTTTGCTCCTTTAAGAGCTCGTACTTCACTTAAGCATTTCTCTCCCTTTCCAGCAACCAAACTTTTACCACAAAGTTATTAATTAGCCATTGCTGAATCTCTTTGCTTCTCAATGAGGGCGAAATCAAATAAATAAGGTCAAAAGGTGGAAGGGAATGCAGTCATTAAGCAGCCAACGAGCGCATTAAAAACACCCATAAATTTCACTTCTGTGTTATTATGGAGGAAGAGCGCTTCAGGTAGGGATGGGTACCAACGTTCTGCTATAAAAGGGGGCCATCCTAATGACTTGCATAATAAAAAGTACTAAGACAGAAGTCGTAAATGAGACAAGATTAGATGAGAGCTCAGATGAGATGAGCTTGTGGCACCCTATGTCAGGGTATTGACATTTATAGGCTTCCATGCACGGATCCAGGTTGTTCGCCATTAAACAGATATAAATTGTAAGAGCAGTAATATAATCTGCACTAGTGCCGGATTTCATGACCTATTGAGTTTCCTATGAAACGATTTCTCCACTGCGTACATTGATATAATTATATTTATTCAGACTGTTGAGTTATTGGAAATTTCTGTTGAACTGTAAACAGTTGGATGCGGAATTGCTTTTCCAACATTTGCCTACCGATTTCCCGTTTAAAGTCCAAATAATTATGTTTATACCCCTTTGAGTAAATATTTTATGCAATCTGGCTCTTATTCAGCGATGCTCACTTGTGTATCGCGAGCAGTTTCCAAACTCGTCGATGGCAACTCGCACGGTTCCGCGATTCATGTTCAATTCGATTTGACTTACTGACTCAATTTGCTCTTCTGAATATGCTGCACATGTGTCCATATGTGCTCATACGTACGCGTATCTGTTCGTTTTATGATCTCACTGGCTGTTGCCGGTGCCTGGGATGTGTTGGTCTGTTGCCACACTTTTTAACGCCATTGTCTCGCGTGGCTTGCTTTTGCTTTCGTTTCGCTGGCTGCGCTTGTCGTTGGTGTGCTCTTGTTTTTGTCTTTTATTGGCCAACAGAAAACCAGTTGAGCGTCTTTTTAAATCCATCGTACACTGGGGAAAAGGTTTGTTGGCCAAGTCACTCGGAAATATAGGTCTACTACTGCTACTATACTTGCTACCCTTAACCTGTCAAAATTTTATTATTATCCTTAAATAGCAACCTAAATTATTTTAACAAGTCAAACTAAACTTCTTTGTAAGCTTTTAAGATTAAACTGGTTTGTGGCTTTCTTAGTTTACATTTCTATGTGTCGAAGGGAGCATCTAAAGTCTTTCCTATTGTAAGTCTACTGGGGAGCTATTCAGACACTCAGAAACTCATAAGCGAGTCGCAGATGTTTCATTCATAGTCGGTCGGGTATTGTGTTTTGTTGGCCAACAACATTTACCCATTTCCATTCGTTGTTGCCACTTATACTGTTTGTCAGTTTTTTCGCTTTCTGCTTTTATGCCCTGGTTGGTTATACTCACATTTATCAGAAATTTGTAACGCCTTAGAGTCTAAACTACTGAACTTATACCAGTTGGCGAGCTAATAATCCTCAGACCAAAGGGTACATTTTTAGTTGATTATAATGTACTCCTATTTGTACATTACACTCCATTATCTTTAAATGCTAAATCACTTTAGGGTATCCCAACTTCGAATTGGGAGTGTAAGCTGCCTTTTCTAGTTATTAACTGCTTCTCTTTCGCATTGGCTCTTTGTTTCTCTCCCTTTTGGCTGCAACCTTGTTTTATGTCTCTGTGAACTCTTGTTGGTTATTAGCTTGTCCGCACTCCCAAACAGATGGCATCGGAGCAGTCCGGTGTGGGAATTGGGTGGCAGGGAGCGGACCCAGAAGGGAGGAACAAAAAAAAAGTTGGTAATAAATTTTTAATGAAATTTCTGTGCAACCTTAATGAAAATCGGGCGAATCGTTGGCAGGGACAAAGACAAATGGAGGAGCAGCAGAACCGGAGATAGAAGATTTTTTAATCAAATTTATTTCATATCGGGAAATCAAATCCAATTAGCAACTTTTTAAGAACTTTCCTCTTGACTGCCTGTTTTCCATTTCGCATTTCCCATTTTCCTCTTGCATTTGCCAGCCCGCCAGAAGAGCCAAAGTGGATGTGCTCCAGTAACTGCTCATTAAAAGTGTCCCTCGCAATGAGATTGTTATAGGGATCCATGTTGGACGCCCACTTAAAGGCGTCCCTCAGATAGTGTCAATTTCAATAAAAATCGATGACGTGGCAAAAAGTGCAGGGGCATAAAGGGAAGGGAAGCGCAATGAGGGAAGGAGGTTAAAAAAAATGCGTTAAACTTTATTGCACAACTATTGCCAGACAAGTGGAGTGGTGGTGGGGAATGGGAGCTGCCTGCCTGGAACAGCGATAATCTCTGGATGGTTGCACAAGTTTAAAGATTTGATTTGGCAAGCGCCGTGATGGGGGAATTCTCCGCTTCCGCCCCGAGCATTACAAATCGATGATAACGATGACGATGATGAAATGTTGGTTCAGTCACTGACGGATCTATCCTGTATGAAGGATGTGCGGGGCAGCACTGGGGGGTGGGTAAGGAGCGGATGATTGGCCAGTTGAGATGAGAAATATCGCACAGTTGAGGGATAACAGTTTGATTGTTTGCTCCCAGAGAAATTCACTTCAGAGCGGCACAGAGACAAGCTAAATACTGGCAGTTCAAGAATGTTTGTGCGGTATAGAAATGCGGAGAAACTATGTGGGGGAGAGGCTAATCGGAGATGGAAAATGCTACGATTAAAGGCTCCCAATGCAGTTCAAATCCTTAAAGACTTTTAACTATTTGCCAAAAGTTGTTTATGCTTATAATGGAAATTCATTTTTGAATAAGACTTGTCCTGTATTAAATCCAATTTTAATAACTGTTCAATATTTGATTTTGGTAAAGTTAATAAGTGCCAAGAAATTAAGTTAACTTACTTTATCTCGCCCTCTTTACTGCCTTCAGAATCTAGACTAATAATTAAATTTGTATGGCATCACCTGCAGCAATCGCATAACTTAATTTGTATTTAAACAAGAAATTAATACAAATTGTACAACTCTTCTATCACTGATTTTAATACGAGCCAAAGAATTTCAATATGCTTACAGGAGCACAAAGCTCTTGGATATTCATTCATTGTATAAACGCATTCATAAATTTGTACATTTCCCCCCTTTATTCATTTTCAATTTGTGCAGAAATAAGTAATCCAAAACGGAGACAAATCAATAGTATTAATTATGAAAAACTCGCACACAACTAGCCAACTATTTCTGTCCAACTATCTGACCATTCATCGTCTCGTTTCTATCTCTATTCCTAATTGAACATCAACAAAATCACCAAAAACCACGCAAAAACCCCGCTGGGCACTATATAGCAGCTACCATGGAAACGGAAAGAACAACAACGCAACATGCCAACATTCCATTAAATATGCATAGGAAAATCCATTTCAATTTTTTGCTCATAACAATTTTCGAGACTCTGACATTTCAATTAAAACGAAAAACGATTTGTTGAGCTTTTGAGCAGCACCACCGATGGTCATGGCGATGACGATGGTAATGATGTTGATGTTGAGAAGGATTATCATAAACAAACACCCAAGGGGGTGGATAGCTAAGTGGGCGATTATAGATTTAATTTAACTTTTTAATGAACCAAAGTTCATGCAGCAGGCACCCATTTGAGCCCATCATTTAGCCCAATTAGCAAATGTTTTTCCTTGGGATAATCCTGTGCTTAAAACCCAGTTCATGAATGTGGGTTTAAACTTAAATCTCCGAGGCTCGCAATACTGGCTACATCTCCTTTCTTGGTTGAAATATATATGTATTTTTTTTTTTGCGGCCATAATCAACTCTTCTTCTGGGCAAAGTCAAAGCTGGCCCATCTGCGTGTGTGCATGTGCGAAAACTGCACTCAATCAGTGCCAAGCAAACAACCTGCAACACCAACAACCAACAGCCAAATGGGAAGCGAATGGAAAAGAGCAGGAAACAGACAAATAAGTTGATTTGTTTGTTGTTTGTAGAGAATGAAAATGCCGAAAAAGCGCACTGCAAATGCAAATATCCACTGGAGAGAACGGAGGTTAATGAAAGAAAACCACGTTGCACCCTGAATACCCTTTATAGAAATTTCATCGGAAATTACTTCAGATATTACTATATAATTTAACTTAAAAATGTCTTAATTTTATTTTGACACAAATTTCCCATATTAAATCATTTTCACATAAGCTTGCCCGCTTACGTGTCGTATACGCAATGTGGTCGCTGCTGGAACATTGCTAGCAGAGCATTGCTCTGACACTACATCAGGTGGCAGGCATGGAGAAGGAGGTCGCAATTCTGGGAGAAGTCCCCACACCCGGTAAAGTGAACAACAAAACTTGGGATGCACTTTAATGCAAAAGCCCCGACCCCGAGCACAAACAGATGCACACGCGCACAGCTGCCTTCGGGGCCACGACATTGGCACTCATCGTCCTGCAGTCAGATGCCAGGTGATGGGTTCGCCACCAGTCTCAGTGTCAGCCGCGCGACCCGAGCTGAGTTCATTTCGCATTTTTGAACAATTTACACATTGGATTCCGACAAGGCATTCATATGCAAATGATCTTTTATTAGGTGTTCCATGACCGGAGAACGGATGAAACTTGGAATCGATTGGGGGGAGAATCGACTCCCAGTGAACCGGAGCGAATGGCAACAGACTTGAGGGCAATACGAAATGGAAATTGGAGTCTCGACTTGGGAGTGGATTGCTGTTTGGATTATTGAATTGATTGTCCCTTTCTTTCCTTTTCTCTGTTCGGTTACTTGCTTACTATTTTGCATTTTGTGGCAGTAGTTGGAAATGGTAGTTGGGCTTGTCAGCTCTTTTTAGATTAACAACCAGAAAGTACCTTAGTTTCGCTAAAATATATATCTTTTATAATTAACCAAAATAAAATACACTCCTTCATTCCGTGTTATCAGAAGCCCCGAAAAAGTACTGACATTGATGGATGGACCCCGCTGCATAGCTCAGAAGATAAGTTTCCCCAGCTCAGCCAAATCAATCAACCCGGACACTTGGCGGAAAATATAGGGAGGACATTGGAGAACAGATTGCCTTAGTTCCGAGATAATTACTGCAAAGTGGATTAACTAAGCTAATCTAGGCTAGCCACCGCCACGTGCCTGCCTCACTGAGCAAACCAACAAGATTATCGTCCAACAATTTATTATTTTATTTTTGTTTAATTGCAATTTGATTAGGCTTAATTTGGGTTGCCACAAAACCGACAATGGGGCATGAATAACACGTTGTTCCCCAGGCTTAGACAGAACTCATAAAGGTCTAACTTGGTACACCACGACGTATGTGTAATATGGTTGGCTTTGTCATATTCCAAACCGTATTAATCGTAACCAAATACGTTTCTAATTATAATGTATTTAGGTGCCAAATTGCCGGTTGGGTGATTGTGTTACGTTACCAGGAATTGGAATGGAAGCTGGGCTTTGTATAAATTTACATTACGGTTACATTAAGCTAAGCAAAAGACTTGAAGAGTCAGGGATATATATTAAGGAAAAAACATTTAATATCTGAATATGAATAATAACATGTCTAGATTACTCTTTCACTGCGTTGCAAACTGCTAATTAAAATTATTATACCCTATATAATTCATCAATAAATATTGATTATAAAACTTTAAAATGTATCCATAAATAAACGTAATGCAAGAAAAAGACTGACAGATATAGAAAGAAAACAAAGACAAAACTCAGGGGGGGTCACGACTGTCGTTTTGCCAGTTTTTGTCTTTGGTCGTATAAAAGTGAAAGTTTGCTTTAAGCCAACAAACCCGCACCCACACACACAGACCCGCTAATGCATATATATACACCAAATGCCACTTGTTAGCACACACGTGTGCGTTTGTAATTTTAACTGCAACTGTAGCTGTGACTGTGAGCCGACATTTAAACGTAACAGACACTTGAGTCGAGCATAGAAATGTCAGGCGTCGGACGCGTGGCGAAAAAGGGGCTCGCAGTGGAAGGGTTGGGGAAACCCCTTACGAACGAATATGCACCAGTGTGGGTGTGGGTGTGCAGGGTGTTGGGTGGTGTTGGGGCAACAATAAACCGTTGGGGAGTGCAACAAATGCATGAATAAACAACAACTCAATTTGAATAAAGCAACAGCAGCGCGGTCGACGTCGCTGGCTGATGACGGGAGGTGTGAAGTGTAAACTGTGAAGCTCAGCTTTAAAGTCAACTAAGCTTCTGGTAGCTGCTTTGGAGAAAAACCTTATTGCAGAAAAATGTAAGCCAACGCTCGCCTTTCCGGGTTAAACTTTAAGATTAAACCGATGTATGTACATATGTCAGAGTATATAGCAAAGTGCATATATTTTTTACCACCCTTGAGTATAAACACAAAAATTTCATTAGATTCTTTTGTTTTTAATTTCTGAAATCTAGAAAATTTTAATTTTTATTACCCAATAACACGATATTTTGAAGCGTCAGTTACTTAATTAAATACATACAAATGGTTTAAATCAAATATATTTAATTACTTTATAAATTATACACAAAGTTGACCACAAAGTGACAAACGGGCATAATAAAAACAGTTTCCAGAATATTTTCAATTATTAATTACAAAATAAAGGGGAAAAACAAACTGAAATTATTTGTATAAAATTTGATAAACTTGTTTTTCATCCAACAAACACTCGGGTGTTTATGTAAGCCGACAAAAAAAAACATTTTGGCTCCGCTACAAAAACTGGTTCGCAGCGCTTGGCTTGTCTTGCGTTTATTGCATATAACAATTGATTTTCGCTGCGAGACGGGGAAAATGCAAATGAAAATGGAAAAGGGTCTTGCGCCAGAGCGGGACAGGAGGAGCGGAAAATGTAGTTTCAAACAAACTTCCAATTGGCGAACACACAAAAGCAACTCTCAGCCAAACACGCACACACACTGGCACACTCAGTACATAGCCCGACGAGTGAAGGGGTGGCAGGGGTTGGCGCCACCTGCTAGCTGGGGCCACTGCAACAAAAATGACAAACGTGCTTTTGATAGACTTGTTGACGACAAGCTCCTGGCTGGCACTTGGCAGCTGTCAGCTACAGCCACATACGCCTCACACACGTATGCACTGCGAGAAACGAGGTGAGAGCTGTTAAAAGGGCTTCGCGAGAGTAAAGGCCTTGCGACTAATGCCTAATAGCCAAAAATAAATATATGTATATTAAAGGTTACTCTTAAGGCTTTTTTTATTTATTTTTATTACAGCGATATAATTTCTTGGCTTGACAAGATATTTATCTCTTATATGAACGTTTAGTTAAGTCGGCAGTTTTTAGTCCCAAAAAGACTTTTGTCAGAAGACAAGTGCAGTAGGTTTAACTTTCACGACAAAAACTCGATCTATGTATGATCTGGCATGTAGTCGAATATGTTGATTGTCTCAAGCCGAATATAAATTTTTTTATTATTTAATTATTTATAATATTAAAGGAAGTAATGTAAATTGAGTTATGCTGTTGAAACTATTTAAAATGTCAACAAAATCATATTTTATTTACTAATTATCGTTTTAGCGATTCGGAAAAGTTGTCTCTGTGTACTTTTGGGTTATTTTGGGTGTCTGGGCGTGCTGGTTAGCACAAGCGTAAGCGTGGTAGTGGCTGGTTAGCTGGTTGGCTGACGAAGGAGTTGCGAATTTTGTAAGCAGTTTTATTGTCGGGGTCCATTAATAAATAATGCCGAAAATCAATAGAATGACCCCTTGCGATTGCCATTTTTACGGCTGCCACCGCGCATTTCATACTGCAGTCGGCTGGAACTGTGCTTGTGTGCGTTTAATACATTTAAACGTATTTTGTGGTCCAATCCTGGTAATTTCAATTACAATCCACTTTGGCCAGTCGCGCTCATTGCAATCAATTTTCTGTGTTTATTACGGCCCGTTCACGGTTACTGCAGCAACAGTACCCGACTTGGCCAAAACTATCCCCCACTGCACTCACTTTTGCTTTTGGCTGGCTGCTTGTTTTGTTTCTCTGTTGACTTGGTTTACGCGCGCGGGCCAGAACGAGATGACGACGATGGCGTCGTGAGTTTCGTAAACGTGTTTTTGTTACGGCCCAGACGACGGATGACGCGAACTGGGTTAGCCGAACACGTCCGATTCGCAGCAGCAGCGATTACGTACTGACTTGGTCTTTTGGTCAGCTCAGAGCCAATCGGAGCCGAAGTAACAACAAGCCCGAAGTAGAAAGCGGAGCCGACGGTTAGTTGTGTGCGGTGGGTCAGTTACTTTTTAATATAGGCTATGATATATGCACTTTTATTTTTTATTAAAATTACTTCACGAACAACAAAGAATAATTAAATACGTTTCTTTTACAAACCAAACCGGAAACGAGTTTTCGGTAGGAAAAGCAAATCAATTTTGAATGTCGATGAATTAAATACAAGTACAATCAGTGTTGGTAAGTGTTATCGATAGACAGATAATAACGGTATCGACTTGAAAATCGTTGTTGTCGTTTCGGTTGCACATTAAGCATATTCACCAACCTTTTTGCTTGGCTGCTAAGGCTTGTAATTTTAATGAGTAATATTCAAATCGTGTTTTCTTAAAATTGTAGGAAAGGGAAAACACCTTAAGAATCTGAGGAATACTTTCTTAATCCTATTTTTATATTGAAACAACACTCCCATATTTAGATTAAGATTTTAAAGTACTTTACTACCTGCAACTGCCGAAAATTAAAGAATCTCGTATTCCAAAAGGTATACATTTATTGTGTCTAAATTCTTGGGTATTAGGTAATTCTCTAGAGGAAGGCTCTGTCCACGCTGCATAAGTCATCGCCACTGTCGTGAGTCGGGGTCTCCGTGACCTGTTCCCGAGGCCTCCGTCCGGACCGCTTGCTCCTTTGCGATTGTCTCGAGCAAGACTTCTCAGAGCCATAGATCTTGCGGAGTTGATCCAGCTTGGTCTCTCCATCAGCCACAGCGCATTCGGACTTCTTCTTCCTCCGCTGCCTATTACCCTCGCAGGAGTGACGCATACCCTCACTCCGGCAGCTGTGGCTGAGCTTTCCCACCTCCGGACCCCAAAATGTGGGTCCTTCGAGGAGCAGGGGAGCGGACTTCACCCGGTTCCGCATCATCTCCATATGGAGTTCATATTGTCGCTCCTGCAGTGCCTGCTCCGCTTTTCGAGTGGCCAAGCGGATGGATAAGAGAGCCTTGTGGGATTCGCTGAAAGGAGAGAATCAAGCGGAAATGTTATGAAGTTAGAATCTGGCTAGTGTTACTGTACTCACTTCAAGGACAACGACTTCCAGGCCGGCGTCTTTCGCACCTCCCAATCGAATTGCGGGCGTGGATCGTGAAAAGTGCAATTGTTCTTCAATTCCTTTACCTTCTTCCGCGAGACTTCAGCCCTCAAGGTGGCCGCCAGATTGGGACGCGCTACCGGATGTAAAGGAGATACACTGGGCGATCGTCTTTGGAGCGGCTCCTCGATCAAATCAAACATGCTCATCGCTGGCAGTGGTTTCTGCTCCACTTTTGTTGATACTGTGTTGGGCTTCCTACCCCGACCGCGTCTTCCTCTGCTCCTACCCACTGTGGATGCACTACTGCTCCTCTTCGAGGAGGCGGTGGGTGATTGTATTTGAATCTTGGGCACATGCTCCTCCTTGCTCGCAGGAAAGTAGTTGCTGAGTTTGGGCTTAGAGGATTTTAGAACCGAATTCAGAGGTTGCGATTCCGTGACAGTTCCTCCGATATCATTGACACTGAAGCACCTACGCAGCATCTCCCTGCGGCACTTGGCCCGTTCCGCCGTGTGTTGACCCGGATTAGCAGGGATCTGACAACGGGCAGGGGGCTGGCTATGAGTCTGCGTCTGAGTCGCATTACTGCAGATGGGCTTGGATCTTCGAAACTCCGCCTCAAAGCTCTTGAGAGATCTCTTGAAGTCGGCCACTTCCACAGCATAATCCTCTTTAAAACTCTTCAGCCGGCTCAAATCCCTTAGGCATTTGTCGTACTCCTCGCTCAGACAACTGGAACTAGGGGTATGCAATATGGCAGGTGTCACACAGCGATCTTGGGGGTCTGGGGTCTCGGCGATTACAGGTGGTGGAAGGACTGGACCCAGCACCAGCGGAGGCTTTTTCGTCTTCTTGCCCTTGGCTGATCGCTTTTTCGACTTCCCATGTCCTAAGATGCTGCTGCTGGCACTGGAACATCGATCTCGAGTGGGAGCGGGAGCTGATCCTGAATTAGTTGGTCGTGATGCTGAAGCTGCAGCTGGCTGAGATCGCAGCTCACGACTGGTGCTGCGCAAACTCTCCAACGTGGAGTAGAACTCGGCCTGGTGCAGGTGCCTTACATCACAGTAGTCTGAAAGGAATGAATTTATTGTGAGTTCCTTGAAACATTTGTGTTGTCATTAGGAAGATACATATCTATTCTTAAAACTTGTTAGTCCAATTACTATTTTTTGTGTTTAAAGATTTGTAAAGAGGTAAAAAGAACCCATACAAAGGTTAAACCAAAAATTCTAAGCTGTGTACTTCGAACATTTATATTCCCTATCATATTTTTCTTTTCCTTTAGAAAAGTTATCCACATCTGACCAGTTTTCCCATAATGGAAACTCACCAGGTATACTGTCGTAAAACTTGGCCAGAGATCTAATACCCATCTGGCTGCTCCAGGCAGGCGTCTCCGGTGGCACAGTGGGGGCGATATCTGAAGGCTTCTTTCCCCCCAGTGAACAGAGCTTGGGACGATTGTAGGTGGGAGCTGGACAGTTGTTGCACGGATCGATGGGCACCTTCACACAGGAGTTGAGATAGTGCGAGCTCATACTGCCACAGGCGGAAGTGCGGAAAACCCGAATACTGGCCTGTTGGAAAATTGTTGCAAACGAGCGCTTTATCAATACCGAGCACTATTTTGAGTTGTTGCCAGCGGTTACCTGGCACTGTTTGTTTTTGTACACTTCCGTTTTGGGCACACCATTCGTCAGGTCACACACCGATTAGCAAACTAGATGTCCTGGTTTCGGATGAACCTCGTCCGCGCAGCCGCAGGGTTCGGTCTGGATGAGAGTGTATTTGATTATGTTTACCTTTCCAAGCATGAGCTACTACTTATAATAAAGGAAACTGTTTCGAACTAAAGATAGCATAAAGTTAAATAAAATGTTGTAAAAGATCATTAAGTACTAATTTCGTTTTCATATGTTTACTTACATTTATTTCATATTTATTGGGCATGAGAGTGAACATAAAATAACTCACAAAGTAGCTGTAGCTTTGAAATAACTCACAACGTAGCTGTAGCTTTGAATTTATCTATTTAAATGATTTATTTTACAAAGTACATTTTTGTACTTCATGTCTCTATATACAGATTTTTTGAATCTGTAGCCGTTAGGCACAATCACAGACACTCTCATATACAAAAACAACCCCTATACATCAATGCTCTCAGTTTCCCACCTGTAAGCAAAAATGGGTCATTGTAAATTAGGTGAGCTTTCCACCAATGTAAACTCTAAACATATAAAAGGTTTATAACATGGTTAAGACAAAAAATAATAAGAGGTATGTAAATCCATAGACCGTTAGAACCAGGAAATGTAAAAATCCAAACTAAGACCAAACTCAAAATTTATTGAATTAAACTAATTTCATTTTTAACAAGAAAGGAAGCTAACTTCGGCACGCCGAAGTTTGTATATCCTTGCAGATTGCAATTGGATCATTAAGAATCGGGCCATTCTGGTTAAATAATTACAAAAAAATTAAACGAAAATACATAAAAGTTGTATATAGCATAAATAAAATGCTGAAAACACACACAATAAAAAGTTTCATAACATTTTACCTATACTTATAATGTTTACAGTTTGACAATTACAGTTTCACATTCCTAGCTTTATATTTTCTCTACATTTACCGATCGCTTCTATGGCAGCTAAATGATATAGTTGTCCGATTTTCATAAAATGTATACCAAAATTCTGAAATAATACCAAAAGCTCATGTCTCAAAGTAGATGAAAATACGTTGAAAAACAACGAAGTTATAATTTCTATTAATTTCCCGATCGTTCCTATGGCAGCTGTAAGATATAGTCGTCCGATTTTCATAAAATGTATACCAAAATTCTAAAATAATAACATAAGCTCATATCTCAAAGTAGATTAAAATACGTTGAAAAACAACGAAGTTATAATTTTTTCTATTAATTTCCCGATCGCCCCTATGGCAGCTATAAGATATAGTCGTCCGATTTTCATGAAATTTTTATTGAAAATCTGAAATAATATAGAATGGCCATATCTAAAATATGCAAAAATGTTGAAAAACAGCCAAGTTATAATTTTTTTCTTAAAATTTATGGCAGCTATATGATATAGGCGTCCGATCCGACATATATACCAGTGAGAGTATATAGAAGAATATATGCAAAGTTTCATTCAGATAGCTTTTAAACTGAGGGACTAGTTTGCGTAGAAACGGACAGACGGACGGACATACGGACATGGCTAGATCGACTCGGCTGTTGATGCTGATCAAGAATATATTTACTTTATAGGGTCGGAAACGTCTCATTCACTGCGTTACAAACTTCTGACTGAAATTATAATTCCCTGCAAGGGTATAAAAATTGGTAAACAACAGAAGTTTATAGTTAGTTAAATATTTTAATGTAGGCAGCGAGAAAACCGCGGAAGACGCAGACGCTGTTTGTGGGTTAAATTCCATATTATGGGCTTCGTCTTGACAGCCCCTATCAATGCCACTTTTTTCCTCCAACTTTCCCTCCATTGGAGGTATCTAAATAAATCAAATGAATTATTTAGACAGCGCGATATCAGCTGTTTACTATCTTGATCTGGCAACGCCATTCAATTTTCTCAGGCTTCATTTTAATCGTCAGAGTACCGAAAAAAACGACGTGTCTAAAAGTTCTTCTTTTTTTTCGACACCGTCTAAATTTATACAGCGGTTTTTTCTCGTCAGAGTACTAGGCTTAAAAGTTCTTCTTCTTCCTTTTTAGACACCGTTTTTTATACCCTTGCAGGGTATTATAAGCAGTGATGCCAATTTGTCCTTTTTTAACGCTTCATCCGGAAAAAATTGAAAATCATCCGCATACCGGAAATCTGTCCTTTTTTTAGATTTTTCATCTGGAAATCTGTCATTTTTTTGTAAATCTAATATTAATTCTTTTTTTCTAAAATACTTGCTTCGCGATCCAATTTTAATGTATTATTAGCTGCAAAATATAAAACAGGTGGCAGCTTCCATACTTATATCGATAGTTTGGTAAAAAAAATCATCGAAAAGAAACTCTATTTACGGTTTACTTGCACTCTCTATTTCTCAATATTCCAATATTCACCTAATAAATTGGGAAAATATTGAAAATACTTCAACATTTTGGTCAGAAGTGAAGAGGTATCGGGATTCTGCAGGCAACAACCCCTTTGAAGACCTGGTGAATTTTGCTCTCAGCCTGCTTTCATTGCCATGGTCAAATGCTGACGTAGAGAGAGTTTTTAGCCAAGTAAACTTGGTGAAAACCAAAATTAGGAACCGATTAGAGGTGGATACATTAAATGCCATTTTGGCAATCAGGTAAATATATATACATTTTCAAAAATTTACCACTTATAAATTCATGTATGTACATGTATTCTTTCTTCGGATTGCGTCGCCATAAGTTATGCTGTCATAATTATAACTTACCTAAGAAGTACCTCCAATTAATTGGCTCCATAGCTGCATATGAGGACAGCCAATGATGATGACGGGAAAATAATAGAAGATGCCTTTAAACTATTATCTTAATAATAAAAAATAATAATAGTGAAAACAAACTTTTTTTCTATCCTTTTTAAAATATTTTCATCCTTTTTTTCCTGTTTTTTTTTTCTCAATCTGTCCTTTTTTTCGAAAACATTTTGGCATCACTGATTATAAGTTCAGTCAGAAGTTTGCAACGCAGTGAAGGAGACGTTTCCGACCCTATAAAGTATATATATTCTTGATCAGCATCAACAGCCGAGTCGATCTAGCCATGTCCGTCTGTCCGTCTGTCCGTTTCTACGCAAACTAGTCCCTCAGTTTAAAAGCTATCTGAATGAAACTTTGCATATAGTCTTCTATATACTCTCACTGCTATATATGTCGGAACGGGCCGGATCGGACGACTATATCATATAGCTGCCAATAAAATGTTCGATACATTTTTAGAAAAAAAAATTATAACTTGGCAGTTTTTCAATATTTTTGCATTATTTTTTAGATATAGCCATTTTATATTATTCTAAAATTTTGGTAAAAAATATATAATAATCGGTCCACTATATCTTATAGCTGCCATAGGAACGATCGGGAAATTAATCGAAAAATATTCAGGCCTGCTCCGGTCATAGAAAACGGCAAGATTTTTTCGTTTTGAAAAACGGGCACCTTTTTCTGGCCGGAATGAAAACTAAATGGCTTTTCTTATATGAAATCAGATCTTATTTACAAAAGGAAAAAAATAGTTTACTCAGTGGTCTATTGATGTTTATTCCACACCACCATAAGATCATTCTTTCAGGTAGTTATTTTATAAATAATTTATTCCTAACCCCACCTCAGATTTGACAACAAAATTTTTGCCGTGTTCAGCCAGTTTTCTCGTTTTGGCGGTAGGTCGATGAGTTCACCGCAAAAAGTTATCGCCAAGGTTGCCATACTATTGGTAGAACGAAACAGCCAACTAAAAATACTTATAAAATATAAATGAATAATTAATAACTTTAAAGGACAGCCAAAATGGTTGTTTATAAATAATGCTATTTAATGTGATTACTTAAATGGTCCAAATTAACCAAATAATTATTTGAGACCACCGGAATTAAAACTTTGAAAAGTGTGGCAGCATCTTTGATGCCTAGATTTGGTTAACTCTAGCTTATTTTCTGGCTTAGAAAAAGGGCAATTGTAAATATAAAAGGCAGTACTTTACTTTGTTTGCTTATTACCAAAAACACAAGTTAGCTGTTTGAGCAGTGAGAAACGATGAGAAAAAGAAACATTCCGATAGCAGAAATTTGCCGAAAACCGGAGCAGCTAAAAACGAAAACGGTTCGTTTTCGCCCAAAACGAAATCGAAAAAATTTTACGATTACCGGAGCAGGCCTGATTATAACTTCGTTGTTTTTCAACGTATTTTAATCTACTTTGAGACATGAGCTTTTAGCATTATTTCAGAATTTTGGTAACAATATTATGAAAATCGGACAACTACATCATATAGCTGCCATACAAGCGATCCGCAGATGTAGAGAAAATGTAAACCTGGGAATGTATAACCAAAGACAATAGAGCTATAAGATAAGTAACGCCATACGATTTTTTAAATCTATTGTCTTTGGTATAACTCTAACTGTCAAACTGTAAACATAATAACTAAAGGTAAAAGGTTATGAAACTCTGTTTAGTGTCTGTTTTCGGCATTATAATTTATGATATAAATATGAAAACCAATCTGTAAGGGTATACAAACTTCGGCGTGCCGAAGTTAGCTTCCTTTCTTGTTTTTATTACCACTATTATGTCTGAACAATTCGACGTAAAGGTATGCTGTATATAGAAATCTAAAAGCCCACATTCCTTGGAATATTAAGTATTATGCAAAAATTTATTTATTTATTTATTTAATGCTAACTAATAGTTATAAACTAAAAAGTTAACAAAGGTTAAAGAGCAATGGCTACCGAGGCCTTCCGCTCTACAGTGTATTAACAAAGATATGTGTGTGGAATATGTTATAATTAGATTTTATGTATGAGATTCATTTTGTGTAGAAAGTATATAATTTTATTTGAGTTTGCTGCTGTTGGATTCGCAAGGAGATGGATTGGGTTATCATTGGAAAAGCAAATTGTTCTAACATGTGAAAGTGCAGTGCAGTCTGTTAAAATGTGTTGGATGTCTATCGCTGAGGTGTTGCAAAAGGGACAGATACTTGTTAGGGATCTATTCATATAATGGGCGTTTGTGAGTTGTGTGTGTCCTAGTCGTAGTCTATTTATTATAATTTGTTGTTGTCGGTTGAGGTTTGTGGTTTTGAAAGAGAAGTTTGCTGGGGTGTTTAGTAAGATCTGTTTGTACCATTGGGTAGTTTGTGCTTGAAGACTGTTCAGTTTATCGGTATAGTGTTTTTTAAGGAGTTTTGTGATGTCTTTGGTGTTGAAGTTGTCTGTAAATATTAGAGGGTATTTGTGTGTTTATTTAGCTGCTGTGTCTGCTCTCTCATTGCCTTGTATACCTATGTTTCTAGGGATCCAAATTAGTCTGATTTTGGGAAAGAGTTTGGTAATAAGTGATCTTATTGTATTAGGCTAGTAAGAGTAATTGTTTATGTTTGAAATGGATTTGATTGAGGAAAGGGAGTCCGAGCATATAGCATATTTGCCGGGTGAACCAGAGCAAATTTTTATAGCTTCATGGATTGCAATTAACTCACTAGAGATTACAGAGGAGTATTGGGGAAGGAGGCCATATTTGATTATGTCAGTATTGTTGGTTACACTGTAGCTTACAGTGTCATTTGTTTTTGAGCCGTCTGTGTAAATGAATTTGTGATCGTGTAGGGAGTTTTTAATAGAGTGGAAGAGCTGGTGGTATGTTATAGGTGAAGTTGTGTTTTTGTTGTATAGGGAAAGGGAGGTGTTTGTGGCTTTAAGAATTATTCCCGGATTGTATTTTTTTGACGTGTAGAATTTGGCGGGAGAGAATGGAAGGGAAAATGATTTGCAGGAGTCGATGATTCTGTCTAATGTGCTAGGGTATCTGTAGTTTCTTTTTGTTTTGGCTATGGATTTGGATAGTTTGCCTATTGGGGAGTTATGAGAGAGAATAAGTTTTGTTCCGAGCTTGCTTGTTAAAAGTTTACATCTGTTTTCTAGTGTATTAATTTTAGCTTCAATTAGCAGGTTATAAATAGGAGTTGTTCTAAAGGCCCCGAGGGCTGCTCTTATAGCAGAGTTTTGGGTCGATTTAAGGCAGTTTAAGATGGTGGTGGGAGCTTTCCCGTATATAGGTAGGCAGTAATCAATTTTTGAGATGAGGATAGAGTTTACAATTTGTATGAGGGAGGTTGTGTTGCAGTTGTATTTTCTTGAGGAGAGGTGTTTTATGATATTTAGGGGACGGGAGAGGGATGTTTTCAGGTTAGTAATGTGATGATTCCAACTGTATCGTTTGTTTATCGTGAGCCCTAGGATTTTTGTATGATCAGTGGTTGGGATGTTGATGGAACCAGTGATGATGTTTGCACTGCAACTTCTTTTCCGGCATATGTGGAGTAGTTGACATTTATCAATTGAAAGTGAAGAACCTGAGTAAGAACACCATTCTCCGATTTGATGGAAAAGAGTTGAAAGGTTGCAAAAATACTATCTTTTGTTTTGTAAAGTTATTTGCTTTCCAAATTTAGTCTAGTGGTTCATCTATCCCCGTGGTTCACCTATCCCCACTCTCCCCTACTTTTCTGAAAAAGTGAGAGGTAACTCTAATTTTGTTAAAAAATCCAATTGAATCAGTCAATATATGCAAAATATATAAGCTTAGTCAATATATTGATGATAAATAGTTCCATTATACTGTCTTCCACTCAGCGCATCTATGAGGAACGGTTGGTATTTTTCGCAGATGCGAAACTCGAGTTCCCACAGAGCTGCGTCAAAGTGCATCTGCATCCGATTACAGATCGATCAGCTGTGGCTCATAAAAACGTAAACAAAGATGGCTGAAGCGCCCGATGTGGGAGTAAAATAAATAGTTTGTCAACTTTGTTTAACAACAGCCAAAGGCGAATGGAAGATTTGTGGAAGAGGTCACAACTGTTAAAAATGCGCGACAATGCTCGGTCTGTGGCTTTAATGTAAAGTGATACGTCCAATTCGAAGGACACAAATGCTCAGAGGAAATTTATAAATGCGATTTCAACCTCTGCAATTTTAAAGCACCCATCCATCGTGGTCTTCAAATCCACAAAAACTCGCCTCATCAGAACCCAAATAAACTTCCGGACATAACCCGTAAGTTATTTTAAATTGTAAATGTTTTCATATTTTTGTATTAATTTATGTATTTCTTCATTTAATTTCAGACACATATAACTTTGGCGCCTACATGAGTGGAAAATCCCCACTCCGGAAGAAGACTTTGGAGATGCAAGGCAAGGACAACTGTCGTTGACGACTTTGTGCATCTTCTAGGAGCAAGAAAAAGGTGCTTTATTATGGTATCGCCTAAACGTCGATAAATACACAAAGCCTCCCAGCACCCGCGATCATTCCTATGCCTGCAAGCTTCCAAACGTCGATATGAACCTCGAAGACATTTTGGAGGAAGCCTTGGGGAAAGAGTGCCCAAATAGCCACGCAAGCTACACATCAGAGAGAGTTTACTCCGTATTATTTGATTGTAGATGATGCTTTTCCGCTACACAAGCGGATCATGAAGCCATACTACTCCCGCCACCTTACTAGAGAGGATTTTTTAATTACCGTTTAAGCCATGCGCGACGATGCATTGAAAATGCTTTTGGAATTTTATGTGCGAGATGGGCTGGTGTGCAAAGCACTTTACTATGCCATACTGAGAGAGCCCAAAAAATTATTTGTGCAACTTGTGTGCTGCATAATTATTGTATGACCATCCGGGCCAACTACGAGTTGCCTGTGATTTCGGTGGAGACTACAAATTCAGAAACAAACCGTGGGCGGCCTCACGATTATCCGAAATTTGTGCGAAATAATATTAAAAATTATGTTAATTCGGATATGGGATTTGTACAATGGGAGACGATTATGCAGGCATGTTAAATAATTAAGAAAAATACAGAAATTTTGGCAGATCTTTTATTATATCGCCCCAACGTTTGTGGGTAGGGGCGTGACAGAGGCGGTTCTGAGAACAAATAGTTTGAGTTTTTATAGTCATGCGAATCTGATCACTTATGCTAGTGCTAATAACCCGGACCACACTGCATCTCCTGGTCGACTGTCGATTATTATTATTAACATCCCCGCCTGCCACACCTTCCGCCGGGATTTTTTCCACTCAAATTCAAATTATTTGGCCGCGCCCGCCTATAATTACACTTGCGCTGGCCACTGTCACACCATTATGGTATAATCTAGCACAAAAGTGGCGGTCACACTAAGGCCGCTCTCAATTTCGGAAAATATGTTAATGAGCAGAATGTACGCTCTATTCTGTTAACAAACAGTTCTCTCTCTACATTTTAACATTCTACATGAGAATTCTACCCCAAAAACGAGAATTCGACCCCAAAAAAATGTTAACTAACAAATTTGACACTGTTATTCTGTTAGCGTGTAGGATTGATTTCGACATTTTAACAGGAACGTTTCCTCTTGCTGAATATTAATTAAATAAATACTAATTATAAATAGAAACTAAAAAATATAAAAAAATGTAAGAATTTAAAGAAAATGAATATTGATTTTTTAAAATTAAATGAAATAGTATTTCTTTGTCGATTTTCCCGAAATAAAGAGGAATAGCTTAAGCATTTGAAAAATAGATATTTCAATTTCGAGTCTAGAAAAACTTACTAATCTCTTTCAATTTTTTAACCAGATTACTTAGCAGCCGACTGCGATTGGGTCGAGTTAAACCCCAGTAGTTAGCCCGGGAACCCAGGTTCCTATTAATAAATCGTAGTTAGATTCCCTTTGCTGACTTTCGAGTCCAAATAATGATTCAGTTTTCGGCCAGCGATCGGCCAAGACCTCTAACAGGAGAATGCGCGGCATTCAAGCTATCAAAGAAAAGTGCTGCCTGAAAAGGTAAGAAATGGAAAATTAGATAATTTAAATTAAATTTAAATTAAGTACTACTTACATTTCTGTTATCCATTTTTCAGCTTTCTTCTGTATTCTATCCTTCCGCGTGGTCAGCGTTGCCAGATGAAAATTTGGCTCTCCCCCTAAGAAATTGCAAGAAGTTTAAATTTTCCCCATAAAAAATCCAGTTTTCACCCCAAATTTAAGAAATCAGTTAATTTCATAAATATAAGGAAGAAACATATATGTCGGAGATAAACGTTATTTAAACAGTAATTTTCATTTATTTTTCTCTCTTGTTTCTTTCTTTTGTCTCAACTTAACATTTCATTTTAATTGTTTTATTCATGTCAAATAAGCTTTACTTTTATTTCTTCGCCACTTCATTCTCTTCTCGTACCAAATCTGTATCTTCTTTCTCTACTCGTACCACAACTCTTACTCAACATCTCTTCATCAATTTATACAGGCTCTTGCTGCACACTTTGCAACGCTCACACGCACATCTTGCGTCACGGTCTCTCTGGACCCTCATAGCCTTATAAATGATTCCACCAACGAGTGCCTCAGTCGGCGATCTCTCGCTTACACTTCTAGTGTCTTCAAATGTTAGTTTGGCGGGATAACCTTTCGAAACCATAGAGTACAAGCTCTCTTCCGCACAAACCCAACATCTTCAAATGTTCGTTTTGCAGGATAATCTTTCGAACCTATAGAGTACAAGCTCTCTTCACATTTCAAAAGGCTCCGCTTCACATATTCTGACCATAGGAATAAAGTAGGCCCTGTTTCATGTGATCCGACACGGCCTTCCTGACATATCACACATATTCTCAAATTTCGGTACTCGTTACATGTTATTGTTAACAAACATTTCATCATTTCATTAATTTTCTAAACATAAGTATTGAGACATTTAGACAAAATAAGCATCTTGGTTTCATGATAACATAACAAATTACATCTTCATTTTAATCATAATTTACAATTCAGACTTCTCTAATTACATAGCTTTATCAACTGGTGTATTTCCTTTTACACCCACATACTGACCCCCGCCATAACAATTCCTTCTGTTATGGTGCGGTCATTATATCCCCTCTTGGGATTCCAAGGCATCAACCGTGCCATCCATATCATCATTCCCCACATGGAAATCAGACGCATCTCCACTTGAGTCGTCTAAATCTTTATCAACGTCAATGCTTATTTGTCCATTATGCCCTCAAAAACTCATGCGCTTACTTATAAGTTATTTTGCTTGTTAAGGATTTTAACATGTACCGATCTCCATCTTCATTTCTTTATCTCTTTCTTTCTCTTCTCTCTCATTCGTAACAATTTCAATTTCCAATTTATCCATTTTAAGTTAATCTTGCCTTAACAAAATTTGTGCTCTTCCTTGCATAATTTTACCAAACCGGCAAAACGTAACTTTAAATTTTTCTTTCTCTATACTTTTCTCTGTGTCATATGGTGGTATCAAGCCCAAAGGGTGGGTCCGATTGGCATCTCTTTAGGGCTTGCATTGGTTGCACTACTAACTGTGCAGTTCGCCGCAAGTTGCACCCCGCCAAGAGCATCTTGCCATCACCTCTGCGGTCCTAGTATCCAGCCAGATGACTACTTTAAAACTTTACACATGATACAACCTTCAACAATCTTTAAACTTAGTCATTTCCAACAATATTGATAAATCTTGCTGAGTCTATTTTTTTTTTTTCCACCCAAATACATAACGGATTTATAACCTTGATTAATAATCAACCAAATTTAAGGGACACTACTGGCAGATAACATTGCCTCACACCTCTCTGTATACTTCAATACTCCTCTTCGTAACTCAATTTAATTTCAATTATCTTGTTGTTTAAAAAGTTGTTTAAAAACTATATCAATAAATTCTAAATCCTGATGTTGATCAGTCATTCATTTGAGATTTCTATTCTAAGTTCACACGTTTTTCCGTCACACAAAAAGAATTCTACATTTGCCTTGCGCTTTCTCTTCCTCTACTCTATTTTAAAATCATACGATTTCAAGTATGTCCATCAATGTTCAGATAATTTTTTTTTTTAATTATTACATTTGCAATAAGTATAGACTAAAAACTCTCATCTGAATGAAATAATGCCAAAAATATCAGAATAATTGCACGCCAACCAATATTTCCAATTCATATAGAGATAGATATCAAGACACATAATTCTACCAATATATCCACAAGAGCTTATATCTGTTTCAAATTTTATCGGATGTTGCGAACCAACAAATAACGATTACAGGCTCACTTGTAATAATATTAAAAACGTTCGTTCCAATTTCTGAATATCGTCATTTCACTTAAAGATACTTGAAGCCGAAGAATATGTCTCATGATCTGAGAAAATCGAGGCACACGTTTTTGAAAATAAGGCACCAATTCAATAAATGGTCTTACGACGGAATCTTAATTGCTCCGATTAAAAGGACGGACCTTTAACGTAAGGATTTTCTAGGAACTGGGTCTGATTTCTCCACCGCACACCTCATAGCTCAGATACTGCGTAGTAGGTTCAAGAAACCCACATTTGGTAATGTTAAATGACAACCCTGGTACCGTCAACACATTTAATACAACCTTCAGCCTTCGGACAGCCTTTTCTTCCGAGTTTGCCATGATTAACACGTCATCTATGTAAACTATCGCAAATAATCATGATAAATTCCAAACGCCTTAACAATTGCATGATGAAGGTAGAAGATGCACGCTTCAAACCAAACGGCACGGCAGACCAAACAGACGGCAACTCGTAATGGCCCTCCAAGATAGCACAAATTATTATTTTTTAACAGAAACATTTTCCTTCACAGGGTCTGACATAAGCGGCAAAGGCCACTGTCCGAAACCATTTTCGAATATTGCTCCCGATAGTCTAAGCACAACCTATCGTAGCACAGGGCTCGCCAATGGGAAGGCAGATGGGCAAACAACATTGCAATCAAACACATCTCTATTCCCATCTTTAACCAACAACTTTACGTCCACACCATGTGTGTAGGGACACCTCTGCACCATTCATGTCCACTAGGCGAACTTCCAAAGCACCAGTATATTAGCACGCTAAATTTTGGAATTCGACACATGAAGCCATCCACAAAACTGTTTAAGGGGTTATATACAGTTGTGATAGTCGAAAAAATCGATTTTTTTTTTATTGCATATTCTTAAAGTATATACTGTTGAGAATACTCTCACAAAAATGCATAACGATCGGCCGCGTTATTCTTATTCTGCGAACTGCGAACTGTGAAAAACGTCATGGATAAAGGAGATTTATTCGAATTGCAAGCTGGCGAGGATATCAAGATCCGCATGGATGAGGACCAAAACTTGCCGATCTACGCCAAGCGCGAGGAGATAATGGCGGCCATCAATGCTAATCCGGTGGTCATTCTGACGGGCGAGACGGGCTGCGGTAAGACGACGCAGGTAAGTTAATGGGAACCCCATTTATGTGTGTACTTGAAGTTGTACTGGAAGTCCTGCAGTACCATTCATCAACATTTCATCAACGTTTCATCAGTAGCCGAAGCGTGTTGTTGATGAATTGCCATACAAACTGTTGATGAATTTAAAATGGGCATGTCATAGGCATTCATCATCAACAATTCATCAACTATTCATCATCATTTTATCAATTTGATGAATTGTTGATGAATCATTAATAGAAACGAAGCCCATGCAAATGAAATGAAATGTTGATGAAAAGGCCTATTGATGAAATGTGATACTTATTTATATTGACATACATATGTTCATATGTACATATGAACGGCTCCCGATGAAGATCTACAAAAATAGACACGATACATTTAATTAAAAATTATTTTTTAAATGCGCCCCTACCCTACCTATTTATGTACATATGTATTTATGAATGTTCTAATGCCGATAAATCGAAAAGAAAAGCAGATGTACTATCTAAGTATTTGTTTTGTCAAAGGCTAAGAAGTATTCGGCTGATCGGTATTGGCAAATTTTGATTTAATTTATCTTTTTTGATTTTAGGTCCCGCAATACATTCTTGACGAGAGCTTCAGGACCGGCGAGTACTGCAAAATTGCGGTGACCCAGCCGCGTCGCATAGCCGCCATCTCCATTGCAAACAGGGTTTGCGAGGAGCGCCAATGGCAACCGGGCACCGTGACTCAGTATACCCACATCGTGCTGGATGAGGTGCACGAACGCGATCAGGATATGGATTTCCTGCTCATTGTGGTGCGTCGCCTGCTGGCACACGGTATAATTATAGTTACGGCATATTCCTTGGCGTTCTACTCTGGGACCGCCATCTCTTTCAGCAACCACCTCAGACAACAAATAAATTTCTGAGACGAACCCTGGCCATCTTTGAGCCATAGGAATGACTAACCGTCACAATCTCTAAAAAAAAAAAGGGAAAAAGTTTCCATTTCCGCACCAATTGGCGGGGAAACTAAAGCACCTGGCCGACCGCTGTCGATCTATGTGTGCCCGACACTTTTGTACGAGATTGTAAGGATGCTATGGCCAGGATTATAACTCAGTCGGCCCAGGAGTCCTCTACAGAAATATTTATAATTTTACGGAGACAGGCAGGAGAAAGGACGGGCCCGAAGGCCGGTATGTTTATTAGGGTGCGAAAAGGGGCAGGCGATGGTCAGGAAAACTCCCGAAATCCGGGCAACCGGCTCCGCAAGCCGTAGTCCGATTGCCAGATCCGGGACGAGGGCGCATCTTCCGAAGTCGGACCGATCCCGCAAAGCCGGGGTACCGGTGTTCCCTGATCTTCGAATGAGCGGCCCGAAATGAGAGCTGCCGGCCACGCATGCCATGTGCCGGCCGCCCTGGGTCTTCGAGAAGGGATACCGAAACGGCGAGTCGATCCCGCAGGCCGAGTACCGTCCCGCCGCCTCTGGGTGAGATGGGGCCGCCCGGAATCGGAGGAGACCGGTCCCGCAAGCCGAGATCCAGTTTCCCCGATATGTCCGAACAAACGGGGTCCTAGTGGGGTGGGGAATCGTCCGGGAATCGGAGGAGACTGGTCCCGCAAGCCGAGATCCAGTTCCCCGATATGCCCGAACGAACGGGATCCGGGTGAGGGCCACCAGCCATGCAAAACCATGTGCCAGTCGCCCTGGGTGTCGGGGAAAAGGGCTCCAAAACGGAGAGGCGGTCCCGCAGGCCGAGTACCGCTTCGCCGCCTTGGCAGAGAGAATGTGGATGCCTAACCAGGAAGAAAACCGATCCCGCATGCCGGGGTACCGGCCCCTCCTCTAAGAGAAGGAGAAGCGAAGGGTTGCCGGCCACGCTGGCCATGTGCCGGTGGCCCTTGCTCTCCAGAAGTAATGGGGCGCCGAGAGGGTAAATAATTTTCCGCGATTGAGTTCTATTATATGTCCAGAGTTTATTTTTACAAATGTCGGTAAACCTAGCTGTTCCCTACATCTAGCTGTTCCCTAGCGCACTCCGAGTTTTTCCCCCCGCGGGGGTGGCCCTTGGCCAGCTCACCGATAATTTACTCCAACTCCATTTTTGGGGCACGTTGCCGGCGGCGTGGTTTTATTCCGATGTAATCCTGTAGCTCCGTGGCACGTCTGGTCCGTTGCTGGTGTTCTGAGAGAAGAGGCCGGGCTCGGCTTGCCGAGGCCCTTTTATAGGCCTCCGGCGATCGGTAGCGTCGTTTTACTTCGGGAAACTTCGGGTGAGCTTCGGGTGAACTTCGGCTGGCGTCATGGTCGCCGATCTGCTACTCGGGCCCTGTCGTGTCTGCCGACGCCATGCTTCGGCTGATCGGGCTTTGTCGTATGCGCCGACGGCATGCTTCGGCTGATCGGGCCTTGTCGTCGGGTGTTTGCCGAAGACGGTTCGGCTGGCCGTCCTTCGGCTCGGTCGGCTGCCGGCTGCTCGTAAGTTCGGCCGCTCTCGGCCGCTCGTTTCCTTCGGCTGTTCGTGGCCGCTCGTGTGTGTGTTCGGCTGCTCTCGGCCGCTCGTTGTCTCGTCGTTGTTTTTCTCTTAGATCTCGAGCGCGTTTTTTTCTTAACGCTAGTCCCTACCACTAAATCCCTAACTAGTGTGCCCTTCGTGGGTCTTAGTATTTAACACTTATGTCCTAATGCTTAATACTAAGTATAGATGTTCTTACGTACTAGGAAAAATGGACTTAAATACTAAGAAAATGAGCTTAAATATTATAAAAATGGAAATGATCTTACATACTACATAACATGGTTGTGAGGCTTCCTCACAAGATTATTCCGTCTTGGGGTGACCATCTCCAGCTTGAGCAAGTAAGATCGTAGCCGGGCGCGCCAAAATCAAAAAATCTGTAGGATAGAATTCAATAATAAGATTTAATTCGAAAAATTTGACATTTTTTTTTTAAGTTGGCGCCGAATTTAGATGGTTTTAGTTACCAGGGGTGCATAGTAATACCGTCGAGGTAATTACAACAATAATTAAAAATGCGAGAAATAGCTAATTTCTCCCAAAAGACTGGACGGATTCTGATGAATACCTTCCAAATTTAGTTAATTATTTTAATTTTAAGTTCCATAAATTGCTAATGTTTTTAAATCTAGTATTTCTTTAACATGGTTCCGTTGTCTGGCTTGGCAACTGGTTCTCTGCAGGTTCACAGCTGGTTCCATTTTCAAAGTTAGCGCCTCTGTTATTAGCCCACCTACACCACCCACTGCTACGCGATTTTCTAAAAAACTGACGGATACAAACTTATGAAATTTTAACCAAATATTCTTTAAATTTCCCTTAGTAAGCCAGTACTATGTATGTAGCAGAACCCGTGGTTAGTTTATTGTTATGCAATTTTCTCAAAAAAACGGACGGACAGAATTTAATGAAACATTGCATTAAACTACAATAAATGTCCTTTATCCTGGCATATCTGCACAAATTCGTTGAGCCGAGATATACAGGCCTGTTCTAGTTTCCACTTCCGAAAAATTCTTACGGATTCGTATTTCCCTTTGTTAAGTCTCTGTTAAATTGCAGGCGAAACGTTCAGAAACTATCCGTGTGCCATTGGGCTGGCGGATTCAAATCCGCAAAATCAGAAATTAATTATTTTAAAATAATGAAAATTACAAATGTTAATTGTATTTTATTCCTTGAAGTTTTGGGAACATTATTGCATAATTGAATTAATTAATACTAACATACTTGATTTATAAATAATTATCTTGTGGGTGCACCTTAAAATCGGTTCGATTCTAACCTTCAACAATATTGCAAATCCGCCGCCGCTGTTTCGTATTTGAGAGGGACTATTTAAGGGTTGTCAGCGTACAAAAAAATAAGCGGTGAAATATGTTTCATGTTAATTTTAAACAATCGTTGTACTATTTGATCTTTTATTATAAGAACTATTATTAACCTATGCTAAAAAAATAGTTTTGTTCAAAATATCTCCAAAGTTATTGTACAAACTGTGCGTAATGTGAAGGGTATTTTTTTCCTTGACCTCTTTTATGAGCTGCATTTCACAGCACTATTTGTAAAAAATTTTACAACACTGCCTAAGAACACCTGACTAACACACGCAATTTAATTTCAATCATTTAAGTAAAAATAACGCTCTAAAGTTTATTTAATTGACAATTTCTATTAGGAGAATGTATAAAAATCAAGCGCAGGTTGAGATTTTCATCTTATTTATGGAAAAAATGATATTGCCAGAGGCAACACAAAGGCTGAATTGGGACGGGCAAAACAGCTGACAGCCGCATAAGTTTTTCAATACTTCTTATCGAACTTTTCCAGTACTACGCCGAAAACAGATGACTGAAATTTGAAATATTTCAAATTAACATTTTACGGCCAAGAATGCTTGTACCTTTAATTTTATGTAATGAACTAGTAACCCACTAACGTACTTAGGTTGGCCGCCAGTGCGGGCCAAAATCTTATTAGCCCCATATTGACAAAACTCAGGCAAAATAAACGCGTTTGTCTATACCGGCCAGCTGATATTCCTTGGGAACAAAAGGCACCAAGGGGAAATTTTACAAAAGGTTCCTAAATCATCAAGGGAAATTCGCTTATGTTAAAGGGAAATCCTCAAATAAAGAAAATTGCGGAAGCTTTGTTGCTTTGTTTTGACCCAAAGGTAAATTCCCTGAAACCCAGTAAAAATCAATAGTAAATTATTTTTTTAGCATTTATAAACTTTATTTTGTTCAAATTAGTGCCTTATTTACGAAATAAATTAAAAATAAAAAATCCCTCAGTGTTCCATTTCGACGCTAACTCACCGACGCTAATTTGACGGACATAAAATAATAAGCCTTCTCCATATTCCTTTTCCCACCGTTCCATTTCGACGCTTATACTGTCTTCCCACACAGCGCATCTGTGAGAGGAAAGGATGGGGTTTTTCGCAGATGCGAAACTCGTGTTCCCACAGAGCTGCGTCAAAGTGCATCTGCATCCGAACAGCTGATCCAAAACGTAAACAAAGGCTGTCGAATCGGCTTCTGCAAAACTGAAATGGAGCATTTACCAACTATTTTGGCTGTTGTACAACAGTAAAAGCACAGATTGCGTCAGATTTTATCAGCACTAACTTAAAATGAATTAGATGACGAGGAACTTGAGTTTCTCTAATGATTTTTCTCTAACAAAGAACAAATTCCCCGATGAGTGTGTGTGTATAGGTGGTATAGGCTTCCCAAATCTATAAAATAAAGTAGAGATAGGCGTTTTATATTATATATTAGCAATTGGGGACACTTTAGGGCAAGAATATCAAAAAAAAAAAAAAAACTCCAACAACTATTTTGGGCATGCTTGCAGCTTTGGGGCCCCATTTTTAATTCCATATTTCATTTGTTCCTCGCCAAGTTTGTTTACATTTTCGTAGTGTTGGTCAAATTTTCACTGTTAAGAAGAAGAAATCAGAGTTGCACCGAACAACTATCGCCAAACAAACGGTCGTTCGATTACAATGCGCTTTGATGCCGGTCCATTTGAGAAAATTCGAAACGGCAAACCTTCTAAACCGTTTGTTCAACTGACGGTGGATGCGCTTTGACGGTGTGTGAGAACCCTTATTAAGCAGTCATATGAAGCAATTATGGAAAATTTTAAAATTTACAAAAAAAAGCGATGTTTTCAGCGATATATCGATGTTGAAAACATCGATGTACTCTATGTTTTTGGATCACGGCATCCCGTTGCTTACACCATCAGTTTAATAAGTAAAAACTTTAAATACAATTATTAATTCAGCTTATAAATATATTTAATTGATGTGTCGAAAATATCGATAGTCACGAACCAAAATCGATGTGTCTCCACCTCTAGCCCCATTGTGAAGTTTGCCATCTCCAACTCGCCAAAGACCAACAAACATTCGGGCGGCGTAATTCGTCAGCGCACCGAAAATTTTAAGAAAAAAGAAACAATCGAGTTTCACCTGTGCGCGACTTGTGCAAACGTCATTGCGAGCCGTTGAAAAGTCGGGGAACAGTACGTCGGCGGAGAAGAGCAGAGGAAACAGATAGTAACTGGCAAACATGAGGCTGTTCGCGGCAGCAACAGTTGCGCTTGTACTGCTTTTGGGGGGCCAAGCAGCTGGCGAGGAGCTGACGGAGGAGCGAGAGGTGAGTGCGCTGTTTTGTTTTGTTATGATTCAGCAACGACACTTTCGACATCTAACGCTTGTGCGGAAGCTAACGAAATCCCCTTGAAGTCACTAAAGCTTGATAGGAGGGATGTGCGGTTGGGATAACGGCTCACCATTAGGCGATAAATATGCAATTTTACAGTTAACTATCTCCTCACCCTGCTTGCCACACACACGAACACTCATGTACTTACACGGATGATTACACCCACAGCTACACCTTCCCATATCACCTATACTCACACACGTACGCCATATTGGCTGGCGGGCCATTGTTTGTTCTCGTTTTTAGTAGCTTTGATTAGGTTTATTGTGCCTGTCTCTGGAGCTGGCGATGGCGCCTTTGTTTATTCAGTTGCTTGCGTATCGCCGTGACCGAGGGAACCCATTGATGATATGATCCTCCTCGTACCCTAATGCTATTTTTGCAACTGTTTCTTATCTGCGTTTTTAATGGGTTCTCACTTGCTCGCCAGGCGGTTTACAGTTCCTTTGTGTGCGCTGAAATTGCGTTTCAATTTGCGACTTTCATGTGCTGCCTTTTCATAACACACCGGACCTGGAAATTTCAATTTGTCGTGAGAGAATTTTTCGCTGCTTCTGTCGCGGGTTGTTTAACCCTATAGAATCCCCTGCACTTGGACTTTAAATCAATTTTATTTAACCAGGTTGATACGGAGAAATAATGTAGCGATACAAAGAAATTCCTCGCCGAGGGTGGCTTCATCCCCTTCGTGGAAATACCACCCTCAATATTAACTTTAACTCCTCCTGATTCAAGCAATAATTCTTGGCAAAATCAGCAAAATTGCTTATAAAGTATTTCCAATTTGGGTTACTTTATGGCTCTTTTCTTTTAACCATATTACGATGGCCATAAATTTCGTAAAGATATTTTAATTGTCAGTTTGCATTTGAATTTATTATTTTTAGGTCAGGTTTTGTTCAAGTGCTGATTTTTAGGAAATTGCCTTACGAATTCATCTGTAAAACTTATTGTTCTTATATGGCAGTCTTAAGTGATTCTTTACTATATTATACTGTTGCTCACAGCTTATTTCGTGCAGACGTAAACATGAAATTCTAACTTGTATAGCTGACGAACTATACGAGATATGAAAAAATTTGAATGCAGTTATGAAAGGTAGGATTTAAATCATTTTATTAATTTTTGATTCCCCAAGATAAAAAACTATAAATATTTGTTATTTTCATGCCACAGCTTATTTCGAGCAAGGACGTCTTAAATATTTATGTTTTTTTAAACTTATATACTGTTGACGGGTATAAAGAGTATATGCATATGGGCAGATTAAAATTAAGTTTTCTGACAGCTTTTGTTATCTTTCTTCATTGTAATCTGTTTCCTATTCGTTTAAATATATCTTGCCATATGGAATTTATCATAGATAATTACTTATTTAATTTACTTATATAACAGATGAAAAGAGATTTATCATTTATATATACTAATTCAACGAAATCTCCACGATAAATATGACAAAATCGGTCAGCGAAGAGGAGGGCCAATAATTGATGATATCAACATAAATAAATAATTCCGAGAAATCGTCGCTAATTTATGAGCACACACTACGGCGAGAACCTGAACACAGATTCCAAATTGTGATTAACTGTTCAATAATTCAGAAGGGGAACAGATTTCAATTTAAATAAATTAAACTTTCTGTTTGTGATGCTCCTCTAGTACCCTGTCACCCCTTGGACCGACCACCGAAACCCCTGCATGCCACAAAGTAATGTGCCAGATTAATGACTGAAGAGCACCGCCTGCTGCCCCCCGTTACTCCCATTAAGAGAACTCGGCTAGCCTTTGGGCTGATGCCATTTGGAGCAGCGTCATCAATATCAATTAAATTGCCAGCAGAGGCGGCAGAAGGGCAAAAACGAAACAAGAAAAAAATCGCACCGTATTCATCATACTCCCGCAAACAAAAATATTTGTATATGCAAATAATTAAATATTACGTAAAAAGGGTTCAACGAGTTGAAGCCACAGCCACAGCCGCGTTTCTGTGTGAGGGGGCTAAAGTGCAGGGCATTTTGAATTATTTACCGACTCGCATTCCAAATGTTGAATTTTAATTTGACGCATGCCGCGTGCCATCGAAATGAAAATAACTTTAAATAAATCGAGCTAAAATGAAAACTTTGCACGCTTTGTATGAAGGATACCCAAAGATTAGCCACCGAAGAGAATACTACTTACTACTACATAGTTACTTAAGGTGATCCCAAAAAGTCTTCAGAGATACTAAATATTGAAAAGGGGCGTTGAATGAGCAACATACTTAAGAACTTTATCTTTAATTTCTATAATATTTACTATTTACTTTACTTTTTTAAAACCGTACAACTTAATGAGTAAACCATGAGTGTTAAATATTTGCTGGAATATATGTATATAGCACACAAAATTATTTCAATTGAGAGTTGCACAAAAAGGGGAAAAGCAACGTCGAAACACACATAAAGACTAGGAAGAACACATGGGAAAAAAATTTGCATAAATGAATATTATTGCGGAACTATGTATGTGCGCGGATATAGCCACACACCCTCGAATAAATTCTCGAAAATATTTATGTGTACATACTTAGCAGTATAATATTCGTATTCATTCAGTCAAGTCGGCGGCTAGATTGGCAGAAAACTTGCTGCCAGATTATGGCCACTATTGTCCCACAAGTATCTGTCAGCGCGATGGCTGTAGTAGAGTGGTTTGAGGGGTTTTTGCTGTCATTTAGGAAATCAAATCGGATGATTCACAACTCACATAAACAAAAGGAGAGAAAAAACAAGGGGAGAGGGTTGGCACAAATGTGAATCTGTCGATGTCTCCGCAAGCCAATAGCGTGGGGCTGTCTCAAACGAAATCTCCTTTCTCGTATTTAGCTTTTGACTTTATGCAAATCAGCCACTGAATTTGCTGAGTCTGCCAGCCCATCGATCCATTCATTTGTCTGCCGCGTCCTTTGTATAATTTTGAGCATGATTTGCCGTCTATTAGAAATGCCAAAGGAAATTACGCCATTGAACCCACTAAATAGTTTGGCCAGCCCAAGACAACGAGATCCAATCACTCCCACTCCCACTTCACGCCCCCAATCTGAGTTCAAATCCCGATCCCAATACCCCTATTCGACGACGAAGAAGGCGCAAATTAGCACCCAGGGGAGCTGTGAAGGCAAAGTTTATAATGAGCTTGGCCAAATGGGTGGCCAATCTGAGGATAGATGCGACGTGAGGGACGTGTGTGTCGTTGCTATTGTCTGATTGGAAATTTAAGCAGGCAGGCCTAGTGCTGTCATGTTAGCTACTTATGTCCATGTATTAGTAAAAACCATATAAAATAACAACTATTCTGTTGAAATTATCTAAAAATGTTTTCTATTTTGTGGAAATTGAGTCACCTTTTATAGCTTTCGTTTCATAATTTAATAAATTTTTATATTATAAATAATTTAGTACATATATATTGTTAAATAATTCATTAATTATTAAAAATAATACACGGTCAAGCACATGTGACACATTGCTGAAAATCGATGAAAATTACACATTATCATAATATTTTGGAGTCCCAAATTTCGTTGACAAATGTCCTTACCCTTTGACGAAATAATTATTCAACAAGTTTAAGATCTCAACACTCGGTTAAAGTCGTTAAATATGAGCTTGCCTAAGTTTTTAGCTAATGTAGTCAGCTTAGAGTCCGCATCCAAATCCCACTGAAAATCTATGTATGTGTTCTGCTAAAGAAACAGCTAGTAAAGTGCTATGGGTCAGGGTACAAACGGAGTGATAAGAAATATTCTATAAGAAATGATGTAGAATTTAATTGATAATATGCCTAGACGCACTAAAATCATTATTAAAGCTAAGGGAATTTGGACCAAAGTAAAAAAAAAAAAAATTGAAATTAAGGCGATTATTAAATTGTGCTCGCCTTTTGAAGATTTGATCCACATTATTTAAAACACGCCTGCAAAATTAAAGAAAAGTTCTTGTCCGAAAAGAAACAGGCTTTTTAGTATTAATATCTAATGTAATACTTTTTTTTACATATTTTGTTTAGAAGTTTGTTTTTAAAAACTTTAAGAGTTCTATGCATAATCCCAGTACTTGTGGAAACGTATTTTTGATATTATCTCATTTCACTGTGTAATTTACTCGTTTCCAATATTACATAATATTTCCACATAAAACTTGTTTTCCTTTTTTTTTTTTTTTTTTTTTTTTTTCTTGTGAATATTTATGTTAATTCCGGTTATATTTAAAAGGCCAAATTTTCATCAATTCTTTATTTTATAATAAAAATGTTCGCAAAATGTTTACATGCTATATTTCGTTTGATTTAAAACATATTTCTGCTAATTTTGTTCACCTCTCTTTTTTTTTAAAAACTTCTGCCAACACTGAGCAATTGTGCGGGTGTGAGGCAACTCGGATTGCGATGGTTAATGCATAAGCTTAAAACTATGAGTAGTCTGGTTGGGGGTCGAAGGTTAGGGGACTATCTATTGACTGCGTGGGTTGGAACTTCATGCCAGCATCACGTCGAGTTTGCTGACACGCAGGGGCGAGAGCTGCAGGTGTATTGATAGCAGATACCACTGAACAAATCTAATATCATTCCAAAGGTTCTTGCAAGAATCGTGGTCGGAATTTAAAATTTAAGCGTCGATTATTAGTTAGTGCAAGTTGTGGAGTTTTGCTTATATTGCAAACGATTGAAGCCGCAGACATATTTTGAAACATGGCGGTTATCGGGGCAGACCAATGGAATTTAAACCACAAGGAATAGATAAATTGAAGAAGAACCTTTTGTAACATTTGGAAGTCACAAATCAATCGATTTATTTTTAATTTTTTGTACACAGAACTTTAAAAAACACACATATGCAAATATGATATTGTTCACTCTTTATTGGTGTTACATATCTGACGATGAATAAATGAAAACAAAATACCACAACAAAAGTTTGTAAAGCATCACAAAACAAAGTAAATATTAGAAAAAATGGTTATATTGTTACAAACAAAAATACGAAAAACTTTAGCTAGGTGGAATCGGGATTGTCTGTTATTGTTTTATTGTATTTTCGTTTTTTACATCCTCAATTTTACGTCATAGTCTAAACTAGAAAAGGGGTGATAAGTGTTATACTTTAGTAAATGTCTTTTAATATGTGCTAACCCAGAAAGCGTCTTCAAATGAGATTCAGTTGGCACAGCAGGCGTCTGTGGAAAGCCCCCTGCCAAGGTTAATGTCTTTATTAACACAAAAACACGCGCAAAACGTGCGCATCTTAAAGCTCAAAAGTACGGCGACTTGACATTGGAGACAAGTGTGTTACACAACACTGAGAGCGACTTAAACTTAGATTCGGATCCAAGAAACTATATCCGAACGGTTTTCAACAATACCGGTTTGCGGATTTTAGGGTGGGGACGGGATCATCGACGGTTTCACCGAGAGCAGGTCGTGCGTAAGTGGATTTCAAAATGCTAATGGGCTGCGTGGAAAAATTAAGTTGCCAATGACAAAATCGGGCCGCAGCGCCGCTGTGGCTGTCGTTGCATTTATTTGTACGCCTAGCGAGCCAATCACTTTAATTAAACTTTAATTAAAAACAACACAAGCCAAATTGGCAATTTGCAGCGACTGCACTGCTACTGCGACGTCACGCTTGCTCGTTGATGTTTCCGATGAACCAATTAAAATTTTTTAACACTGCTTAATGCGCAACACGCGACTCTTTTCAAAAGCGCTCTGCTTTTAATATTTCCCCAACTGTTTACACTGGCAAATTTTGTGTTTACCCAAGAGTTCAGTAAGCCACGGACTGCAACACGAGGGCTTATGGTGTTGCAGTGTTGTGTTTACGCTGATCAGAGTATTACGTGATTGATAGGAAGTGTGCCGGCAAATACACTTACTTAAATACACACATTAAGAGTTTGGTCCAATTTAATTAATGCTCCCTTGGTCCACTGAAACTAATCCTATTATGTGATTACCGCAACCAAGACAATTTTCAATTAAGAACTTTGAATGTTATATGATGCCTTCTAACGGTGGTAAGCTCCTCCATCTTGGTTAATACCGGAAAATGCCGAAAGGCAGTGTCGGTTACTAATAACCTCTCCAATGCGCTCAGTGCAAGCAAGTGTATTAAGAGATGGCAACAGGCTTACGAACAACTGAGTATTGCATAAATTGGATGCTCTTTTGCCAAGGAGTTGCCAGGACAACCACTGGAATGGCGGAGCAGAACAACTTGCCAGGCAGGGATGATGGGGGACGCGAAGAACTTAAAAACCCATCATCGTGTTTTGGTATGGCTTGCGATGTTGTTTAAAATGCCATAAAGTTTAATTGAAAAACAAGCCCCGGCTGCTCCGAGTTCTGGTGCCTCCTCCAATCTCCTAGACTCCTCGCCAAACCACCCACTCAACATAATCAGCTTGAGCATCAACGTCCCCTGCAGTGACGCAACCGCTGTCAAAAGTTTTTATGCATTTTTCGGCTTTTTGTCACGACGTCAGCGGCAATGAGGATGAACGACCAAAACGTCAACAAGACGCTAAGTATTCCATTCCGTCAAGGCCCGCCATTCTCCCCGTTTTCCCCGCCTACTCTGGCAGCCATCTGCTGTCTGCTGTTGCTGTCAACTGCAATGCATCAGCGGCAATACCAGTAATACACTCGAAAAAGATAACCCACTTCTGCTCGGATCAAATGGAACTTAAAATTCAAAAATCAATTATAAAGCAAATTAAGTCTATGAAGTGGAATTAAACCTGATTAAATGAGATTTTTAAAACACTAAAAAATGTATATAAAAATAACCTATATTTTTTGCTAAAAAATTAATGTTAATGTCTAATCTATTTTATAGGTTTAAATCTTTTAGCATCTAAGTTCTGTTTTTTTATAAAACAATATAAGCATTCGGACTTTAGCACTAGGGAACAATACTCCTACCAAAGTTAATAAAACAATATGCCCAAGCTCATTTGAAACCAAAGAATCGTATGACGTTCCGCATGTTATTATTATATTGTCTTTGCTTTTACCCGTTGAGCACCAAGTATAACAGCACTTGTTTGCAGTGTATCGCCAGAAGCAGCGCTGGATGCAACCAGAGCTAGCTTTGGCTGTCTTTTTGTGATTTCAATTTTTTAAATTATTCAGCCAAATCTGTCTGTGGTCATCTGTCGATTCATCGCTCCGTTCGACCCAACTGACTGCCTGCCCGACTGTCATCGGTTTTTTGCTAGTGTCTGGGTCTGGAGTGTCATCATTTATCGATGGATTTGGCTGCAATGCTCCACACTCGTAAACCGGTTTGCATCGTGTCGCTTCAGTTTCGTTACGGCGGTTAATTAGTTTTTGCGGCCTGGAAAAGCCCAGCGATACGTTGGCCAGTGATTGACTTGGTTGGTCATGTGATGTCCCGTTCCGCTGCCACAGTTTCACCGCAATCACAGTTGCAATTATGCCGGGGTCATTAGGCTTAAGGCGGGGTCAGCTGGTGGCAGGTGACTGCAGGGTCACAGGGTGGCAGGATGGCAGGGTTTGGCCTTTGAGGGATATAATGCCCAGGCAATGCAGTGCGGTGCATTCATTTATAATTAACCCCAAATCCCCTCTACCGTTATGCTTTTCTGAAGCAAATCATGGGGATTTGCTTCCATGGTTTTACACCCCCACCCCCCCATTATGGGGCACTTAATTACACATCAAGTAAACAAGGGACTATGCTTGAATTGAAAAATACAAAATATTTGTTATAAATTGTTTAAGCATTTAATGTTGAATATTAATCCGTGGGTTTGAGTCCTGACACATTTAACCATGGCCTTCATACTTAGTTTTAATTAAATTACTCATTTAGTTATGATGGATTTATTTATTTTCGTGCTTTAATTACCGAAAGCTTAATATAAAAATCTGACCTAGAATCCTTTGAGTGATTAACCATATTGGTCAACTGGCTTAATATAATATATTGTAGGTCGCTGTACATCGCACAATCACCACCACAAGGACTTGCTTGGCCCACTGAAACACATCGCACATTGCCATTTCAATATGCTTTAACCATTACCCTCTATCCATGATCACCACAATTCAGACCAAAAAATCTATGTGTGTATCCTTATATGTGTTTTGCTTTCTGTTTTGTCTTTCCCACAATACACGAATCCCCAAACACCAAACAAACCCTTCAACATAAAAAAACTCCCCGAATCCCCGATAAATAGAGCTTGGAGACGGCTGAGACAACTACGGAGCAGCAGGCGGTGAGCGAGCCACCGATCAAGCTGGTCCATGTCCTCAATCCTGGAGAGCGAGAGTATCTGTCGCCCAATCTGATTGGGGTTCAGAACATCGCCATGACCTTCCTGCCCCTCTCGATGAACTTTGTAAATATTATTGACGCCTTTCGGGAGATCACCAGCGGCGTGCGCTACGAAATCCTGCTTAATGCAGAGAACACGAAAGTGAAGCCACCCGCGGAAGCGGACACCATCTGCCGGCTGGTCATTCTGGAGAAGCCCTGGTTGCGCACCCAATGGGGTGACAAGCACCGTGAGCTGGTCACTTCCAACTGCACTGATTCAGCGGAGAATTCGGTTGGTGGAGAACCGGAGGATAAGGCACGGCTGCTCAACGAGAAATACGTGAGTAACAGCATTTTCAATGGCGGTCAACGAAACGAGCTGACCGATGCGGAAATGGCTAATCTAGAATCCCAGATTCTGACTAACCTGGGCCCCATGAAACGGAAGGTCAGCCTGACTAAATCCGCTCCTGCTGCTCCTTCTGCTGCTGCTGGGGCTTCTCCTTCCGCTGATTCCGACGCTCCTATATCAACGTCCATAACAGTCACCAAATGGACTCCGCCAGCACCTGAATCGACTAATGAGGCCACCACGGTATTAAGCATTGATGAGGCGGAAAAAAATGAGGAGAAGGCAAAGGCCGAGCAAAGGTCCGAAGAAGAGGAGGGTGTTACCTCCACTACAATTGCCACAGAGCTCAACGATAATGAGAAGCGGTGGCTCGATGATTTCCTATCGGTGGGTGCGTATAATTTCGAAAAGAACCATCAGGGGCCGAAGGAGAAGCTGCAGCGGGAGGTGGAGGAGGAGGCGGAGGAGCAGCGGCGGCAGGAGGAGACCACTCCGGAGGAAAATGACCCAGAGGTGGAGGCTACTACTACTACTACACCAACAGCATCGTCATGAATATCGTTATTATCATCCTCATCACACACACACATACCAACACCCTCACCAACCCTTATCCACCGTTGAGTCTGTCTTACACACACATAAATACTCTTTATACATACTCTCCTAAATGCGAACAATAAAAAAGGAAAATGTTATTTAATTGAATTTATTTAAGCTTGCCTTTTCACCTGCTGCTGATGATGACGACGATAAGGGGTGGCTGAAGGGGCAGATAGGGCTGGGGGATTCCTCGTTATGGCGCCCCGTCAAACACTTATTTCACCTTAATAATCAAATGAGTTTCCGCTCTCAAATTACGGCCGCAATCTGTTTAACCCGGCCGTATCTTAGGCCGAGCACGGACCCACCCGAGGAGGGGCCATCTGCACCTGTCTATACGTCTTGAGGGGCTGCCTTCCCCTAGCGTTAAGTGTATGTGTGAGAGGTTAAGTGGGTGGGTGTGGTGAGGTGTGGATTCCCCTACTGCTACTACCCTGCGTGGTGTCGACAGAGCAGAGCGGCAGCAGCACACAAAGTGCGAACGAAGTGTTCTCATTATCCTTGTGCTCTACTTTTTACAGCGGTTGACTCTGGTGGGTTGACTCACACACAGTGGGTCCAAACTGATTTGTCATTGGGGGGACTGGGCACTTTCCACTTGAGTTGCTCCACAGAACGTAAGGGGTTAAATAAATAAATAATAAAGTACAGAATCTACAACTTTAATGGCTTGGCTGGGAGACTACTTAAGAGATTTGTGTTTTAGTATGCAAGTCGCACAAGCTATTTAAATTAGTTTATAGTTTATAATGAATTGAAACTTCTGCCATTTATCATAAAAGGCGGCTTCAGAAGGTTTTACTGGAATCGTGTTATACTTGAATTGCTATTGAAAACCATGTTAAACTCGCAGTTATTGGTCCAAGAAAAAGTAAACCCCAAGCGAATCGTTACAGCAAATCGGGTTTCTAGACACCTATGTATAATTCATTCCAACGAGAAAGAATAACAGCGTGCTGTTAGGCACCAAATTAACTTTGCCATTTTTCGAGGCGACAGGGACTGGGAGTTCGAGTCCGTATAAGCGTTAGCCCCCACATTGACGCTTGTATCTTTTCAGCATAGAGTTTATCTGTCCGAGAAAGTTTAAAAGTTAGGCAAAAAACCGGTCAGGAGAAAAGTAATAGTAATATTATATTATCAGGAATTCACTATGATAACCATTTTCTTATGCGAACTACTGTTCTCATACCCTTTCTTCGCAGAAAATGTTTAAACACGTTTTAGTTCAATTCCAAAGCTCATATGCTTCGAACAGATAATGAAAAATATAATTCTGTAACTCATTACGGTAAAAGCTCTTCAATTCGCAATCTGTTCAGCACCTATTGAACTATGTGAAATCTCTATCCTAACGATTCCAATACACATGATTCTCCTAATGAGCTTTTCGAAAAATCATCGCAGAAATCGCAGAATAAATTAATTAAGTTCTTTGAAAATGAGAGCCATTCAGATGCACTGCTGATTTACGAAAACTGTCAGCATTCAACGAGCTCGCGTTCAGCACTTAACTGTCAATATATCCGAATGGATTTCACGGACCATTGCGCACCACACACACACACCTCACACCCATTAAGCCCGACCACCTTGGCTTCAGTACCACTGTGCCCCTAGGGTCGTTGAAACATCATTTACGTTATAATTCTTATTGAAATACACATTTGAATTAACAGCTCTCGGTTGGGTATTGTGGGATTGGATGGATGCAGGGTGGAGCCAGGACACGGAAAATGGAAGTCGGGGGAGGCAGCTGGCTTAATGAATTCATGTTTGGACACAGGCTGCACACACATCGAAAAGGATGGCCTGGGAATCGCATCGGAGCACGGCTCGCTTGCTCTTTCCTTTTTTTCGGTTTTTTGTTCCTGTACTTTTAATTATACACACGTCGTAACCATTACATTTCATTCGGTATTGTTGTCGCAGCTAGATGACCTGCACTCAAACAGATTTTTGACCGCGGCATTTTCTGATGGACTAAGCCTCGCTTTCCAAATAAAATATAGTAAATATATATACCTTTTATTTATTTTTTGTTTAATTAATTGGTTGATGTATATATATGTATGTATGTAAAACAGGATCATTTGCAGATCGTGAAATATATTCTTGTTTTTTGAAGACAGAATTGGAATAAATACACGTTTCTTGTCCTTTAATGCAAAGATCGATTTTAAATCGATTTATATCGATATTTCTCCTAATGTAGTTTCTGGTATTGCTTCAGTTGGACTGTTTTAAGGGTTCGTTTCTCTCTTTAAGTTACAACTTCTGTTGTTCACTTTTTAAATAAAAACCTTAAAGTAAATCTAAATTAATATAAAAATAGGGAATATATGTAAAGTAATGAATCGCAACAGCAAATTGTGTCCGTTATAGGTTAAATTCTACATATTCCGAAATTGCCACATTCTGGGGACATTTTATTAAAATTGATTTGCTTCCTTTGTGGGCCATAAAATATTTTGAGTGTGACTCCACCTGCAGTCCGCATTCGCAACCACTCTGCTGTCAGACTTGCGACATCGTCAGCCTGCGCAGACATTTGACATTCCGGGTCCCAGTGGCGGCATGTCCGGATGCGGCTCCAAAGAAACCAAGTTCCACCAATGGCATCAACATATCGCCCATCATCGATGCCAGCCGGCAAACGAATTTCAAGACAGAATGTTTGGTTTAATTGGTTTTGTGTTGTTGAATGGGTCGCATGTGACTGCCGGTGCTATTGTTGGCCTATTCCTATGTCACAACTGCCAGGAGGCTGCCTTGTGGGGCTTTATGTTTCCTTACCGCAACTCTTCGATCCACCTTTCCTCTGGCGTTCTGGTATGTGTCGTTCCGTCAATTTTGGTAATGTAAATTCAGACCTGTCCTTGTTTCATTTGCATGTGAATTCGGCTGAAATTTATGTGTGACTTTCGCAGCATCCGCTCATGTCACTACTCTTTCTGGTGACATCTGGGGTGTCTGTCTGTTTGTAATGGATGAGTATAATCGTGTTGCATAATTATAACAATATTCGAGAAGTCTTCGATGGAAGACAAAGCCGGATTTTCCTAAAATTAATTGCTCATGGCAAGGTAAACAGCAGAGCAAAAGAGTTCTACTGAAACGAGAAACCTTTTTAAGCTATTAGACAATTAAAAAAATTTGTCATATAGGGGATTTGTATCCGACAAGCACTCAGGGAAATGAGCATTTTTTTTTAAGATTAGAAAATATATTCTCTTTCACTTCTTGCAGGTCCTTCGTAGCCGCCGCAGTTTTAATGACATACCCGTGGGTGAAGCTAAGCCTTACGATGAAGAGTCGGCAAAGGCGCAACTACAGGGCTCCCTGGACAAACTGACTGAAGGCGAGGGTCCCCACTACAAGTAAGACAAACATTTTATTTTTTGTCGCACATTTTAAATAATTTAGGTTTCAACAAGAAATGAAGCTAACTTCGGCACTCTGAATGTTATACACCCTTGCAGTCTGCTATTGGATCATTGTTAATCGATTTCAATTCTAAACAAAACAAGAAAGGAAGCTAACTTCGGCACGCCGAAGTTTGTATACCCTTGCAGATTGGTTTTCATATTTATATTATAAATTATAATGCCGAAAACAGACACTAAACAGAGTTTCATTACATTTTACCTATACTTATTATGTTTACAGTTTGACAGTTACAGTTTTACATTCCCAGCTTTACATTTTCTCTACATTTACCGATCGTTTATATGACAGCTGTATGATATAGTTGTCCGATTTTCATAAAATTTTTTACCAAAATTCTGGAATAATATAAAATATATACCAAAAATGATGCAAAAATTTTGAAAAACAGCCAAGTTATAAAAAATGTATCGAACATTTGTATGGCAGCTATATGATATAGTCGTCCGATCCGGCCCGTTCCGACATATAGCATATAGCATATAGAAGACTATATGCAAGGTTTCATTCAGATAGCTTTAAAACTGAGGGACTAGTTTGCGTAGAAACGGACAGACGGACGGACGGACGGACGGACAGACGGACATGGCTAGATCGACTCGGCTGTTGATGCTGATCAAGAATATATATACTTTATAGGGTCGGAAAGCTCTCCTTCACTGCGTTGCAAACTTCTGACTGAAATTATAATACCCTGCAAGGCTATAAAACTAAAATGAGATGTATAAAAACTCAAGTGGTTTTTGAGATTAATTTTCATTCAATTTGTAGTAGATTTCCACGGTACATAAAAGAAAGCGGCAAAATATTACCGCCATAGGTAATCGAGTTTCTTTAGCATTTATTTTCGAGTCGTTGCATCTTTTGAGTAATGTTAGAAAGGCAAAGTGAAAGCGTAATACTTTTGGTTTAAAAGCTGTTATCAAAACATAACATGTCCTTTTGTTGAGATGTTTTTCATTAAAATAATAGTCCTTGAGTAGTAATTTTAAACGGAAACAATTTTTTTAACTTAAGGGGGGACATCTGAGTAACTTTTTTTAAAAATCGAAAATTTTTTTTTTGCTTAAAAAATACTTTAGGGTCTTCAAAATAACATATCAAAAGATAGAGTCCTAAAAAAGTTTCTAAGTGTCGAAATTTTCTATTCTGCGGCGATGCCTCACATGTAATCATATACGATTTTAAAACTTTAAACGCGTTTTTCTCAAAAACACTTTTTTGAGTTGGCCGAAAACATAACTCGAGCAAATCTTAACCGATCGATCTGAAATTTTGACAGTATATTTAGGTAGGCTATCGACACACGTAGGATTTTTTTTTTTTTTGCTTACTTTTTTTTATCAACAATTTTGTGACGTTTTTTTTTTCATGAAAATTTAATATTTTTTTTAACCACTCACCAATTTGCAAAAAAATCAAAATATCGAAAAAATCCTACGTACGTCGATAGCGGTTGAGATATAGAAACTAACAAAATTTGATTTTTTGTTCTAAATCAAAAATTAAGGACATTAGGGTTTCGGCCATGAACCCCCTTTAAAAAAAAGGGCCAACGAAGAAATGCTGCACAGCCGCCATTTTGTTTTCGATTTATTCAAAAAAAATATATTTTGTACTTCACATATAACATTATAAAACCTACTTTAAAATTTTTCGATTGGGATTTTTCATTTGGCCAAAAAAAATTGCAGAAGAACGGCTTTTTTTCAGTTTTTTTCAGTTACTCAGATGTCCCCCCTTAAAACCAAACCTATTTTTATTTTGAAATTTGTCGTACCTTTGTATGTACAATATATTCCAGAATCGTGAAAGTTTACTCAGCCTCACGTCAGGTGGTGTCGGGCACCTTGACTCGCATTGACGCGGACCTAATCGACGGTTCTGGAGCTCAGCACCGGTGCATCGTGGAGATCTGGTCGCAAGTATGGACAAAAACCCCCACCCACGAAATCACTTTCAAGTGCCGAAACCAGCCCGTGGTCCAGGCCCGTCACAGTCGATCCGTGGAGTGGGCCGAGAAGAAAACTCACAAGAAGCACAGCCACCGGGCGTTGGACAAGGTGGAGCACCTGTTCCACAAGTTCCAGGTGCGATTCGGCCGGCGCTACGTGAGCACTGCCGAGCGCCAGATGCGACTGCGTATCTTCCGCCAGAATCTGAAGACAATTGAGGAACTAAACGCCAACGAAATGGGCAGTGCTAAGTACGGCATCACCGAGTTTGCGGACATGACTAGCTCGGAGTACAAGGAGCGCACGGGATTGTGGCAGCGGGATGAGGCGAAAGCCACTGGCGGAGCGCAGGCTACAGTGCCTTCCTACTCCGGCGAACTGCCCAAAGAGTTCGATTGGCGCCAAAAGAACGCCGTCACCCAGGTCAAGAACCAAGGATCCTGCGGTTCTTGCTGGGCCTTTAGTGTAACGGGCAACATCGAGGGCCTTTACGCCCTAAAATACGGCGAGCTGAAGGAATTCTCAGAGCAGGAGCTCCTCGACTGTGATACCACCGATAGTGCCTGCAACGGTGGTCTTATGGATAATGCCTACAAGTAAGTAGAGCACAGCTAGGATCTCCCTCCCAGTTTCAAATACATGTATCGATTTTCCGCCCTCAGAGCCATTAAGGATATCGGCGGACTGGAGTACGAGGCCGAGTATCCCTACAAGGCCAAAAAGAATCAGTGCCACTTCAACAAGACCCTGTCCCATGTTCAGGTCTCTGGCTTTGTGGACTTGCCCGCGGGCAACGAAACCGCCATGCAGGAATGGCTGGTGACCAACGGACCCATTTCGATTGGTAAGTGGATTCAAGTGGACTCACCTTCTAGAAACTTAGGATCATTATTTTCCCTGCACAGGTCTCAACGCCAATGCAATGCAGTTCTATCGCGGCGGTGTCTCTCACCCCTGGAAAGCCCTCTGCTCTAAGAAAAACCTGGACCACGGTGTGCTGATTGTCGGCTACGGCGTCTCCGACTATCCCAACTTCCACAAGACCCTGCCCTACTGGATCATCAAGAACTCCTGGGGTCCGCGCTGGGGAGAGCAGGGATATTATCGCGTCTATCGCGGCGACAACACCTGCGGCGTCGCCGAGATGGCCACATCGGCTGTGCTTGCCTAGACTTGATTTGCCACCATCTTATATATATATATATACACACTTGCGACTATATCTAGGTTAATGTTTGAGTAACAAGTAACTTTGTGTACAATCTCCCTTCCAAGGTTCTCCAAACGACGCAACGAGGAAATCGTTAAGTTCTACAGATTCGCATAAACAGTATAATCATTTTGGCCATCTGTAATCTCACACAATAAATCTGCATCCCTCATACTCCGCTAATAAATTTAATGAAAATAAATTGTACAAGAATTAAATAATAACTGATTCGTACATATATCGGATGTGTGTTTTTGTCGTTGACCACAAGGTCATGAATCAGGGGACAGAAACTGATTTCACTGCACAACTTACTGTATTTAAATATTTTCCAAGTCAAAAATTTTAAATTATTTAAATTTCTAAGTATTTTACAGTAGTATCATCTACAAAATTTAAAACGAAAAAGGGATATCTCAAAATTTGTATATATGTTTTGATATTTTTACGATTTTCGATATTTAAAATGTCAATAACGATATATCAAACATTTTCGATATTACTGAGCGCGATATTTTTGTCGATATATTATCTTAATTTTCCCATTTCCTTTTTATATACGGTAAATTCTTAACTAGAACTTTTTTTTACGGAACTATAAAAGATCTATCCATAAATGATGTTCACTTGCCTTTATTTTCTTTGATATATGTACATTTGTTTCCATGTTATAGTCACTCTCAATGCACAGAATTGCAATATGCTAATTAGATTTAGACCAGGGACGTCGCCCTATTGGAAGCCAAACAACGTATGGTTTCTGGCGCGGAACAAACTAAGCTCAGTAGCAGCTTGATTCGCTTCGGGGACGGTGAACGGAGCAATGGCTATGGACGACTACGATGATGACAGTAAGTAGGACTCCCAGGGCGAAAGGACTACCTCCGTAAACTTTATATCCAATCACCATATACCAGTGAGCAGCGTGGGAGTGACTACGGCACGGATCGAAAACCAGCACCACCAACAGGGTCAGCATGGGCAGCAACACCATCACCAGCAGGGTCACGGTGGCCAGAGCCAGTACAGCGCCGGGGCGGTCAAGGTGGGCGGATGGCGCTACGAGGACGCTAGTCGGTACATCGGCGAGTGGAACCAGCGGGGCCAGAAGCATGGCATTGGACACTTGCAGTTCGCCGATGGCACCCGCTACGATGGCCAGTTCCAGGAGGGTCTCAGCCAGGGAGTGGGTTGCCTCTGGTTCCCGGATGGAGCAAAGTCAGTGCCCACCAGAAAAACGGGAACACAGACCGATCGAAAAATAAGAATTAAGATACAATTAATGTTATTCATTCGATCGGAGTTGCATTCCCTTATTGTACAATCTGTATATGGCTTTACAGTCCATCTTTTTTGATGCAGATATGAAGGCGAGTTTCATCAGGGCTGGTTTCATGGCAATGGAATCTTTTGGCGCGCCGATGGCATGAAGTACGAGGGTGAGTTTCGCGGCGGAAAGATCTGGGGGCTCGGCCTGCTGACGTTCCAGGACCTTACGCACGGATTCCCCAGAAACGAGGGCTTCTTCCAAGACTGCCGCTTCATGCGAAGACGTCGCTGTCCGGAGGTTGTGCAGCGAGCCCAGAAATGTGCCCTGATGGCCCGATCCCAATGCGATCATCCCTACTGAAAAAAAGCGTTCCCACTCCCTGATATCCAAAATAAAATAGAAAAGGAAGACAAATGTTGTGTCTTGTTCCGAAATATATGGAAAAACTTAAAGATTATACAAAGGTTTATTTGTGTAGACCTTTGATTTTGTGCGTTCGTTTATCGACTTTAAAATAATAACAAAAATTTACTTGTTCAGTGGCTAATTCCCGCTAGCCGCCCCGACCATGAACCATGCATTCCTGGCCTTCACCGCCGTGTTACGCACCAGGCGCTTGGGGTCGTCCAAGGCGGCGGCCAGGGCCAGCGTCACATCCACTTTGTGGGGCAGCAGTACGAAGGTGGGGTACTTTGTAATGTCGTAGAGCAGCTCCAACGCCGCAATGCGAACTTGCTGTGGGGATTTTGGTTTAAATGGGAATCGCCAGACCTCTATAAAACCACTCACCATAGTGTGTTGGGCCTTGTACTTGGACAGCTCCAAACAGCTGGGTATGAGATGAGCCAAGTGCCCCTGGAAGTAGGGGTCCTGTTGCTGCACAAACCTCTCGCAGATGCCTAGGGCAATGCACAGCGACTGCGCCTCGTTGTGCTCCTCCAGACTCCTAAAAAGCAGCGGGCCAAGTTGCTCGATATTCAGCTTAATTACCGCCTGCGGCGTGGCCTTCAGAACATAAACGAAGGCCTTCAGGTGGTGGACACAGTAGTTTGCCAGCTTGCTGCCCATCTTGCCCATGATGGTGTGGAAGAGCTTCTGCTTGTATAGGAACTTGACCACGGGCAGGTCTAGTTCGGGATACTCGGCCGCAATAATGTCGAAGCCCAAGGCGGCCGCCGTGCTTAAGCTGGGATGCTTCAACAGGTCTGATAGCTAAAAGCAAAGGATGGATTGTCTTCAAGTGTTGACTTAGTCAGCATAATTTAATGATTACTTACATCGCCCACGATATCGGCCGCTTCATCAAATCCAGCCACCACCAGTCCCTTTGCCACCCACGCCAGAATCTCCACCGCCCGCACATCGCCCTTTTTTATAGCCACCTTCAGCTCGTCCGTGATCTTCTTGACCTTGCCCCGATTGGCCGGATTGCTCTCCATCTTGTTGACCAAGCTGCAGAGCAAGTGGTGAGCGATCACGCGCAGCTGCTCGTTGTCGGTGCTGAGCGAGAGCTGGGTGAGATCGCTCAGCAGTCGCTCAAAGTGATCGTCCAGGCTGATGTCCTTGTGAAGATAGCCAAGAAGGCCCTTGGTAATGTACAGATCAGCGGATAGGTTTAGCCTCAGCCCCGGTAGGTACTCGCTGACGATGGCACTCTGCTCGGAGAGGGGCAGTTGCTGGGTTATGCGACTTAGGGCGCCGGCAATTTGCTCTAGTGACTGCAGGGACAGGTTCTCCGTGCTCTGGCCCAGTTCTATGAGCTTGTGCAGCAAATTAGATTCCTGCTGCAGATCCACGATGAAGCGCTGGTCCTCCTGGGCCAGCACTTGGTTCAGCGCTTCCAGAGCCAGAAGACGCACTGGATCCGGTGTCGTCTCCTTAAACGATTGCGTCATAATCAGGTCCAAAATGCGTTGGGTAAATGCCATCTGGGGTAAGAGAGGCAACAAGTTGGCGTAAATCTTCCGCTTGACAAAGTTGGAAAAGATCTCGAAGTTGCGCACGGAGACGTCGATGAAGTTCGACTGCAGCTCCACGGGCTGCAGGGCGCCCAAGCTGGCTGTGAGTGTGGTAAAATCCAGATCGATGGACGGATGGCTGACCAGCTGAACCAGGGCTTTATAGACCAGGGCACGCTGCTTCTCGCTGAGAATCGGAGCGCTCTCGTTGAGCACTGAAATCGCTGCCCTTTGCAGCTCCAGAGTCTCCTGCTTGGCATCGAAGTCCTCCCTTTCGATCAGCCGCAACGAGGCGATCACATCGTCCTGCAGCGACTCACGTATCGTGGCGTCCAGCTTCTGCAGCGCGTCCCGCAGTCCACACAGCTTATATACCTGGCTAATGATGCCATAAATCTTTATCCGCTGCTCGGAGCTCACATCTCCGACCTGCTGCAGCTTAAGCAGGAAGCTATTGAGAATCTTATCCGCTGCATAGGGGGCATCGCCCGCGACACAAACCAAGGCTATGCCAGTGGCCGGATGGAAAAGGCGCTGGTTGACGTCGCTCAGGTGGGGCAGAACGACGCCCAGGATTGAGCTCTGGTAGCTGTGGCTGATATCGGGCAGATGGGAAGCGCGCTCTAGGAGCGCGGACAAGGCCTTCAGAGAGGCCTTCAGGATCTCCTCGTTGTCGTTGCCGGGAAACGTCTCCGCCTTCAGCGCCTGCCAAATCTGGTCGAAGTGCGGCTCCAAAACGGAGGGAGGAAACTTCACAGCTGCTTGGTGCTACATAAAAAGAAACTCTGTTACTTCAGGATCTGATTTTGTGATCAAAGCGTTCTTGCCAGCAACATTATAGAGTCCAGCTTGGCCACCAGCAGCTCGCTCTCCAGCTTCTCCACGGCCAGAACCACCGTTGCCTCGGCGAACTCATTGTTCGCCACCAGGCAATTGGTCAACTTCGAGGCCAATTCATCTCGCGTTATGGCTGTCGGATCCTGTTTGCTCGGATTAAAGTCGATGGGAAAGTAGCAGGCGAAGATCTCAAACATCTCCTCGGCCAAATGCAGCAACGGATACGTCGACAGGAACTCGGGCATGAAGCTGAATATAATGTCCAGGTTGCGAGGGTCTCGCTCGCCGTCAATAGAGTTGATCAGACCGTAGACAAAGTCACCGGCCATCGACTGCAGCTCTGTTAAAAGGGAATATTACTATTTCACGATATTTTTCAATTTTAATTTGTTTATAATTTATGACCGTTCTTGAGAACGTTTAATGGCTTTCAAGGTGGTTGACAGAAGCTCACCCGTTTTGAAGTTGAGCGTCAGGTACTTGAAGATATCGAACAGCTTGGCGCGGTCGCCACGGGTCTGCGACTGGCAGGTGGTGTGCTCGAAGAAGGCCTGTAGGATCAGGGGAACGTGAGAAGGCGGCAGAGCCTTCATGTGGACCAAAGCATCTATACCGTCGATGATGGCCGGCATCACGTTGTGGTGATCGCGCAGCCTGTCCATATAGAAGGTGCTCAGGAACTCCAGCTGCCGCGCCTCGAGCAGGTCCTCCGGCAGGGCGACGAGCACTGCGGACAGTAGATTTGTGCCGGCCACCCGCTGCTCCATGTCAGGTGAGGACAGTGCAAAGCCCAGCTCCTCGGCCAGCACGGATATGTCGTAGACCTTGGCCGTCAGATCTGGAGGAAACAGGGGAAGTGTTAGCAGCCGAGATTTGTACAAAACAAAACTTGCCCTTGGCGATCTGGATGGAAGCCTTAAGGAGCTTCGCGTCGCTCTTCAGAGCCTTCTCGAGGGTGGCACGCGTGGGCGTTGTCATTTCGGTCGCCGTCGCTGGGGAGTTGTCTAAATTTAATAAATGTTTTAATGCACGTTAAGCCGAAATGTTAAGAACCGATACCGATGACTGGCCGTGCGGCCTTATCTATAGCTTAGGGTTGCCTTCGTTGTCTCTAGAACCGAGCGGAGCTGTGCTGCCAGCCTGGACTTGGCTGGTTAATTTGAAATCTAGCTAGCTTTTAATTACGTTTTGCTGTTTCAAAAGTAGTTTATTTTTGATAATTTTGTTGTAATCCTAATGAAATATAATGCGAAATGCTATGCCCAACCCAGTGGAAACGTGCATTTTGAAGCGATAGTTGAATCAGTCATCGATTGACCCGCGCAACTCCCATCACTTGCCCACGTACATCACTATTATTACAAACAGGCAGCAGCAGTTTTTTTTAGCTTGCGCAGCGCCCAAAACTTTAAACTAAATAAGTTTCGCATTAACTTTGAGCTTGGAACGCCGCGTAACACAGCTAGTACACTAATGTCCATAACCGTAAGTGCATCGTCGCGATACGTGCCGAATTTTTCGCATCAGCCTCGGCTGCAGCGAATGACTGCTTTGTTGTTGTCGTTCTGCAGACGCCCCCACGTAGCTTCGAATAAATTGGAATGAAAATGGTTAAAAAGTGAAGCTTCCAAAGGCTCGCAGATAACTCGAAATCTATTTAAATCGCTCTATTCCGCCAGTGTTTGTGTATGTTCTGTGCCGCTGAAACCTGAGCTCTACATGTGTGTGTGTTTGCGTGAGTGTGTGCAAGCGGTAATTTTGTCGTATTTTTTCTTTTTCTTTTTTGCATACGACGTTTCGAGTTGAAAGAATTGTTGAAAGCCAACAAGGTCAGGCGAGCGCCTTATTTGGACGACTGCTTGTCTGTGAGCTTCCAATGCGGGCTCATAATAATTTTATTACATTTTCCAATCGGCATTTTGGCCACGGCCCGCGCCTTGGATGTGATGTGGGAAATGGGAACTCGTTGCGTTTAAAGTTGGTGTGTGTGCTTTATAATTAGCACCGCACATCGGTCGTTGCCACTGCTATCTTCTATTATTTGCAATTGTCGCCTTATTTTCCGCTTTTATTGCTCCGGCGAGGCTCACTTTCCATTTTTACCTGCGAGGCGCACTCTCGCGACAGTGCCTTGTGTGAGTGAGCAAGCGACGCAGTCGCTTCCGTTCTATTGTTCCCGTCCCACTTGCCGCACACACACACTCACACCAAGCGACAACGAACAGAGAAACTTACGCACTTCAAACGCTTAAATTGGAACTAATCTTTGTTTCGTTTTTGGTTACAATCACAACAACCTGTTCCGATCCGCGATCTGCGTTCTCCGATCTCCGGTCCGATTCTCCCCATCGATCAGTTACTGCGAGGTGGCAAGCAAAAGACAACCACTTGCGTAGGAATGACCGTAATGGCCAAGACTACGATCGAAGAAATATGCGAGAATGCCAAATTAGCGAGGGACATGGCTCTGACGGGCAACTACGACTCTGCCTGCATCTACTACGAGGGTCTCCAGGGACTGCTTGCCCGCCAGCTCAAGGCCACCGCGGATCCCATGCGAAAGGGCAAGTGGAACATGGTAAAGAAATCCCCATATTGTCCCCTCCTGAATGCAACGTCTTAGTCTCGTACTACACCCATCACATCTTTCCAGATCAACCAGCAGATCAGTCAGGAGCACGCCAAAATCAAGGCCATCCAGCGAACTCTGCAGGATATCTCGCTCGACCTGCAGACCACCAAGTTCGCCCACAAGCTGCGACACCAGCTCAGCGAGGAGAGCACCAGCAACAAAGATCCCTCCTCTTGGTTTAAGCCAGACCCCGACATATGGACGCCACCGCCCAAGGATCCCGACGTGTGGGGTCCCCCGAAACCACCTGCACCCGCCGCCACCACACAGGCCGTGGGCCGACGAGCAGCACCGAACAATCGCCGCACCACCACGGCAGCGCAGAGCAGCCGGCCCAGCAGCACAACCCCTCAGACCACGACCCGGAATGGTGTCTCCGCGGGCCGGAACTCACGCCACTCTACGGCAACGGCAACAGCACCGACCAGTGGAGCTCGCTCGGTTAACGGGCGGGCTGGCGGACGCAAGCTGTCGACATCGAACAACAACAACAACAACAACGAAGCCAAGGACGAAGAAGCCACTGCTGCCGGCAGCAATGGTGGTGCAGGCGGCGAGGGAGAGAACGGTGATCACCAGGCCAGCGGCCAGGAAGAAGAGCGCAAGTTCCAGCCCAACAATCACATCGAAGCTGAGCTGGTCGACATTCTAGGTAAGTGGCCCCGATAATCTAGATTTAATAAGACATAATGATCGCTATCAGCATAACCAGTATATGTACATATATTCCACCGTAATTGTTTTAAGTATATGAGCTAATTGGTTTACTTTCCTAATTGTTTCCAGAACGTGATATTTTGCAAAAGGATCCCAAAGTAAGATGGAGCGACATTGCCGACCTCCATGACGCTAAGCGGCTACTGGAGGAGGCCGTTGTGCTGCCCATGCTCATGCCGGACTACTTTAAGGTGAGTGAGTTGCCGTCAGAGTCGTCGGCGTGAATCACGCATGTATCATAGGGCTTATCTACGCTTGGTGTTGGTCAACAAACGATCTCTGTTTGCCAAGGCCCAAAACTATATGTATATAACAACAATCACTGTTTGACTAGCCCAACAAGATGCAATAATTTAAAAGTTTGTAGAACTTCTGTTGATGTGTTTATTAAGTGTTTGTATAATCTACATATTTAAATATAACTTTATTATTATTATCAGTCAGCCATTCTTATGGTGTATACCGATGGGAAGTAAATTAAGTTTGCCATGTTGCTCGAACAGTTCATGCAAAATGTTCGATTTGTATTACTACTACTCAGAATGTTGGGTTTGAATCCATTTCTATGTTTACTTATCTTATCTGCCAGTCTTACCATTTTCTACTGCGATCTATAAAAGACTGTCACAAACATATACAACCGTGTATATTTGAATTGATTGATTATGTTTCTTGTAAGAGACCAAGGAAAGCTGATTAAGTATTTTTCCTTTAACTATTTAATAATAACATACGGTTTTGTATTCATTAACTTTAAATGGTAAACAACGTAAATTACCATATACGTTAGCTACAACTTCATTAATTTCTCACTAAAAGTTCATCAAAGTAACTTTTCTCTTTTCCCATCTTTACCAAAACAGGGCATCCGGCGACCCTGGAAGGGAGTGTTGATGGTGGGCCCTCCTGGCACCGGCAAAACCATGCTCGCCAAGGCGGTGGCCACCGAATGTGGAACGACCTTCTTCAACGTGAGCTCCGCCACACTGACCTCCAAATACCGCGGCGAATCGGAAAAAATGGTGCGCCTGCTCTTCGAGATGGCGCGTTTCTATGCGCCCAGCACAATTTTCATCGACGAGATCGACTCGCTGTGCTCGCGCCGTGGTTCGGAGTCGGAACACGAGGCCTCGCGCCGCGTCAAGTCAGAGCTATTAGTCCAGATGGACGGCGTGGGCGGTGGCGAGGAGCAGGCGAAGGTGGTAATGGTGCTGGCCGCCACTAACTTCCCCTGGGACATCGACGAGGCACTGCGTCGCCGATTGGAGAAGCGCATATATATCCCACTGCCGTCGGACGAAGGCCGCGAGGCGCTGCTTAAGATCAATCTGCGCGAAGTGAAAGTAGACGAGACCGTCGATCTCACCTATGTGGCTAACGAGCTGAAGGGCTATTCTGGCGCGGACATCACTAATGTGTGCAGGTGGGTCGGCTGATCATAAAGAATGGGAAACTAGTCGCGGAAACTTAAAAGTCAGTCGGTAAATAATTTCCTTTGTGTTGCAGAGAGGCCAGCATGATGTCGATGCGGCGGAAGATTGCTGGCCTCACCCCCGAGCAGATCCGACAACTGGCCACTGAGGAGGTGGACCTGCCCGTCTCCAACAAGGACTTTAACGAGGCCATGAGCCGCTGCAACAAGAGCGTGTCCCGGGCGGACCTGGACAAATACGAGAAGTGGATGAAGGAGTTCGGCTCCTCATGATGCCACTGCGCCCGCAAGTCTGGCTAGCAATCGTAGGAATATATATTTTTGAATACCCTTAAATACGCGTTTAAGTCTCTAGGCTTTTAAAGTGGAAACCGTAACCGATCTAAACTGGCCGGAAGAAGAGTTGAACATATTTTATATATAACATTTTGCATATACACACGGTACAATCTATATATTTACATATATAAATTGGGGCGCGGACGCCTTTGGAATAATAAAAGACTAACCGTTCTCTAAGAGGAAAAACAAATGCGAAACTGAAATTGAGTAGAAGTCGAGACACTCCACGAAGCACAATCCTTCCTTCCAACTAATAGTTAACCAACAATCGCACCCTATAAGCAATAAGGAATCGCTTTAAACGCCGCCAAGCCTTGGCCATGGCCCCCACACACCCACGATACACACACGCACTCCACATCATTTCATTTTATGCAAATATGTATTTTTAACCAGCACTTTTCACTGTCTTATTATATTAATGTTAATTTTCGCTTAACTTATAGACACACAATATATATCATAGTTTAAAGCAGGCAACGATATGCCTCCGAGCAACGCAAATGTTAATTTTAAAACAGGGCAGAAAGTTCCATCCGATTTGCAATAAACCATTGTCTTCAGTAGGAGAACCTGAAGCAATATGTACTTAAAGTGAAGATTCTGTAATTTTAAACAATAAACACAGTTTTTAACTCGATTTGGATTTTGGTTTGACGGGTGTGGGTGCATTCTGATGGTGGGATCCCTGCTACTTTATCTGACTGTCTGAACTCAGGGGCTATCAAAGCAAGTATGATGGCTTTGAATGTTTTAAATGATTCATTTATTATATATGTTTGTTATTTGTACATAAATATGTGTATGTATAATATTTAAACTTTGGACACCATAAGAATTTTTATTCATTTCTCGTTAGATTACGTTTTTACAGAACAAGAAAACAGTACACTAATCCTATTGAAATGACTATGTTGCGTATGTAAGAAATTCTGAATTCACTTCATAATACTTCGCAAATTTTATTATGACATAATCGTCTGCTTTTGACTTTGAACTTGAATGATCTTATTAAATAAGATCACAATTTTCAATTAAAAAAACAAAAGATAACTGTCATAAGCTATAAGAAGTGATGGTCCATTTCGTAGCGTTATCATAGTAAACTATTAATATTTTACTTATTTATTATTTTGACCAAAAAGTGCTGGCATAAAAACAAGGCGACACTTCAGAAAGTTCTTATAAATAATGCAAAGAAAAGAACAAAGAAATGGGCCTAGATCGACTTGTCTGCTGATCTATAATATAAACTTTACTGTATCATCATTAATTAAGAATTTTACTGTGTAATATTTGATAATACCCTCCTCCAAGGGTATAACAAAGGGAGATCCCAGATTATGACTCATTTCAAAGGTTTTACTTGTTTTATTTTTCTTTTTGTTTACTCGTAGGTTTCTATATGTGCATATGTATGTATGTACTAATACGCTCTGCAGTAGCATTTAGAAATTATACATACATATGTACATACATACATGTTGCGTTTATTTAATACAACAAAATATTGTTTAAAGTCATGCAAAATAACATTATCTCAAGATAAAAACTTCTTGTCTTTAAAGTTAAACAAATAACGTTAATTTGAAATGTATAATTTGCGGGAATCCCCTAAATCAGACAGCGAATGCACCCATTTTTTTTACTCGCCTGCAGCAGGTCCGAACACCGGGGCAGTTGCTAAAGCTCACTTCTCAATAGGGTCTGGAGGGTGGCGGCATGGGCATTAGGGGACCCATCATGGGGTACGGAGCGGAGCCACCGGCAGAGGGATAGAATCCGCCGGAAGCCACGTTTCCATACGCGGGCAGTGATGCAGCTGGCAGCGGACCCTGTCGCTGCTTCCTCATGAGATCCTGCATCTTCTCCGCCTTCAGGCGGCGCAAATGCATTGTGCGACGGATGGCGAGGAACTCCTCGAGGAAGGCCTCCACCCCGAGATCGCTGTCGTTGAACTTCTTGACCATCTCCTCGGTCTGCTCCTCGCTCTCGGAGGCGGCAGTTTGCAGCAGTGCGAGCGCCGTCTCGGGACCCGTTCCGCCCGTTTTCTCCTTGAGCTGGGACAGCTTCTCCTGGACAGATGAGCACCTGGTGCGTCCCTCCTCCGAAATTTCGGCCACCCGGCCCCGGAGCTCGATGATCTGCGGCTCCTTTTCAATATTACGCTCTGCGCGACTCCGATTGTCCTCAAAAACGCTGGTCTTCTGCGTTCGCAGCACTTGCAAAACTTCGTCCACTTTCTCGTCCAGTTTGGTGTCGTCGTTCAGCAGCGCCTTCAGCTCATCTGAGCCCATGGGGGCAATGGTAGCCTGCAGTTGGTTCAGGTATTCCTGATACATTTTCGTTTCGTGAATTTTGCGACTCAAATATTTCAATGACTCTATTTTATAAAGATGGGAAAAACCTCAATGCTATCGATTACACCGATTACTTTTTATGTTATCAAGCATCGACACCAACTGTCATCTCTAGAACCTGAAAGGAAAACCGTTCTCAAAATTGTATAAAAGGTAATACTAATTTTGTCTGATTTTATTTGTTAAACAACAATTAAATAATAAATTATTAATAAAATAGCTATGTACGATATGCTATTTCCATTTATTTTCTGTAATTTATACACTGTACTGTTCAACTGTCCAGGACGAATAGGAGATTGACAAGCCTTATAATTTCTAAATTGCAACTGGAATGTGCTTGGCAATCACTTGATGAGAAGACTGAACGTCTGGTTGGGCGCGTATATCTGCAGAGGATTGGCCGCATAGATGGTAACAGGAAGATTCCAAACCATGGTCTCCACGGGCAACTCTGATGGGGCCTTTAGCTCGCCGGACTCCGGATTGGGGCTGCCAAAGTCCATCAACGTGGTAGTGACGAACTCAAAGTGCAACCGCCACCGCACGTCCACGAGATCCGTGCGGAAAGTGGGTGTCACGTGGAGTGGGATGGGCACCACTACCTGGGTTTGGAGCGTGGCATAGCACACTTGGTGGGTTGTTGAGATGGTCATCAGTTTGCCCGTTGGCGCCGACGCCTCCTTATCCCGAGCGCTACCCGATGTGGCCGACTTGTGCAGATTATCAGCTACCACTCCGCTGGCTATGCTGGCCATGTCAAAGGAGTTAATCGAGGAGACATCGTCGCCGACAGATGATTGGGAATGCAGCTGGTGGCTCTGACTCTGAACTGGCTGCGGTCGTAGGGGCAGTTCCTGCTGCTGCAGCTTGACCGAGAACTGGACGCAGCGCACCTGGCACTGGCTGAAGTCCAGACTGCCCACAATGTCCTCTCCCAGTTTGTAGGCTTGCTTAAATAAACAGAAACGGCCCACGAATCCGCGCTTGTTGGAAATGCGATAGAACTTGGGCGCCCGCCGGGCGGTTACATTCTGAAAATGTTTGAGTGATCAGCGTTAAGGCGTTGAAGCCAGAAGATAATCAACTCACCTTCAGATGGTGCCAGGAGATCTCCAGCTCGCTGATTTCCCGTTTGTCCAGGAAGGGATTTGTGGGTGCCAGCTCTTCATTAGTTTCGACCGTCACGGGCAGCTCATCCGGCCGGGCGATGACTGGAATCGGCAGGACTCGTATGGGCACAGTCAGCGTCTGCACCTTGGACTTGACACGCTGTGTAGCTATGGTGATCTTGTAGAAATAGCGAATGTCGTGACCTCTGTAAGTTGGTGGACCATCGCGGGGCACAAATTCGTTGAAAAAATCTGAAATTCTGCATTTAATCAGAAGAATCAGAAAATAAAACGTATGCTACTAACAAATTTTTGTCTCTCTGGGCTGTAGGCGTAAATCGCAGAAGAGGATCTTCGGCTTCGTGGCCACTATGACTTCCCCGGGCGCTTGGGTTACTGCATCCAAGGCGGTGCGCCCGATCATCTCCGTAAGTTCGGCGGTTCTGTCCGTCGAGGAGTTGGAGTAGCTTGTCTTCCGGTAGCAATGCAGCTGCGCCGAGGCCCAAGCCAGATTTTCCTGGCTTTTAGAAGAGATTGTTTTTAATGATTTGCCAATTAAAAAATTTGTTTTGATTACCTTGCTTCGTTGGCATTTCTGTTTTTTGTTGATCCCTGCTCATCCGGAAATACCTTGTGGGTAAACTCGATCAGGCATTCAACTCTTTCCCCGGTTGCATAAATGGCCGAGTCGGCACGCAACAATTTGGCTTTGATTTCAATCATTTATTTACTTTTAAGTCTATAAAATGTTTCCATAACTCCTATCGACTGTTCGATAACCCAGCTATAAAATATAGAACACTCGATTACAAGAGCCGTAATCGATAAGTGTGACCGTACCCAGGGCGCCAGTACCCGAGGGTTTAAAAATAATGTTGGGCGATGATAAGTTATTACCTGAAGACAATTTGCTTTGTTATACCCTTGCAGGGTATTATAATTTCAGTCAGAAGTTTGCAACGCAGTGAAGGAGACCTTTCCGACCCTATAAAGTATATATATTCTTGATCAGCATCAACAGCCGAGTCGATCTAGCCATGTCCGTCTGTCTGTCTGTTCGTCTGTCTGTTTCTACGCAAACTAGTCCCTCAGTTTTAAAGCTATCTGAATGAAACTTTGCATATAGTCTTCTATATACTCTCACTGCCATATATGTCGGAACAAAATTTATGAAAATCGGACGACTGATATAGCTGTCATAGGAACAGTCGGGAAATTAATAGGAAAAAATTATAGCTTCGTTGTTTTTCAACGTATTTTTATCTACTTTGAGATAAAAGCTTATTTTGTTATTCTAGAATTTTGGTATAAATTTTATAAAAATCGGACAATTATATCATATAGCAGCCATAGAAGCGATCGGTAGATGTAGAGAAAATGTAAATGTGTGAATGTAAAACTGTAACTGTCAAACTGTTAACATAATAAGTATAGGTAATATGTAATGAAACTCTGTTTTATGAGTGTTTTCAGCATTTAAATCTATAATATAAACATCAAAACCAATCTGCAAGGATATACAAACTTCGGCGTGGCAAAGTTAGCTTCCTTTTTTGTTTTTATTTAACAAATTAACTAATTTTTTGAGTCAAAAATCGGGGTTTTGACTTCAAATTTTGATAAAAAATCGGGAAAAATTTTTTTAAATAAAAACGCTTCGTGAATACCTCGGGACACTTATCCTTTACTGAATGAGGTATAATTTTTTTTGGAGGCGACTCGGGAGGTTCCCTATAACTCCTATACTTCTAAATATTTTTCAATACAAAATTTATCAAAAACTTTTCAAATGTTGTGTTATTATGTGGTTTTTTAATTCATTAACCAAACTTTAGCCGTTTCGCCATAATACCACCGAATTAACCTTACCCCCACACCCCCCAACCCCCCAGAAGATCCAGGAAACAATAATAGCCCTAGTAAATAGATTTTCATTTTCTGTTTATTTAATTTTTGTTAATAAAATATTTTGTATAACTTTGATCGTGCACCCAAAGAAAAAGGGCACGCATCCTAGCGCTATCATCTAGCCTTACTCCATAGATTTTATAAGCGTTATCAACGATAAAGCAGTCCTGCAAATCTGTAAATAAAAAACATTTAAATATTAAATAATTATTGAACGTCGCCAACATTACAGCAACAAAATTTGCCAAGTTCGCATCATAGAATCCGGCTCTAATTAGTACTTCCCGCTGGGACCGCATTATGATCATGGATAAAGATCTTCGTAAGTTCGGAGAAGCTAAATACCAGTTTGAGACCCTGACAGCGACATCAACCTGCAGACTCTGCAATAAACTAAATATAATATAACGGATATTTACTTTCAATTTCACAGACCTACCTCAACTTTAATGATTTCACCACCGTAACAATAAATAAATAATTGCAACATGATAGAAGCGAAAAAGGTGACGTACAATAACAGATCCATAACTGAGTCCATATGCTAAAAATATATATAATTTAATTATATTAAAAATGACTCTGAGTGTATGTTCATATACCAACCGTCACGAGTTGATAGATTATCACTCCCACTTGCAAGGATGTTATGACAAACTGTCCGAATACTGTGGGCATGTAGATCGAGCGTAATTTCCTGGACAGGGAGAGCAGTTCCTCGTGATAATCCACCATTGATTTCAGACCAGCGTTAGTCTCCCTTTCGGATAACGCCAAGTCGAAGTGCTCGATTTCCTGCTGCAAGGTTTGAAAATGTCCTCGCAGATTAATGGCAAACGAAATGAACAGACCGTCGACAGCCGATGCGTAGGCCACAACGACGACAGTAACGAGTACGGTATAGAGAAACCCAAATTCGTAGCCGGGACTGTCCACGTCGTTGAAGGGGAACCTGAAAGAAAGAAGCAAATCCGCAAATCGTACCCTGATCAGGGGACTGGTCTAGCTTACTTCATGGGCATTGGTAGTTCCCTGACATATATTGTGCCTCGCCAGTTGCTAGTGATAATTTGTACTATGGGTCCCAGCATAAAATATACTCCCGTTAGACCGCAGGAGATGCAATACGCTCTTCCCAGTAGGGAAGCCTGCTTGTTGGCATCCTCCACATAGCTGTATCCATCTCCTCCGCCTGCTCTCTGTCCCGCTGTGAAAAGTTTCAATAGGAGTCAGTTTATGCGTACATTATCAGAAGATCACTTACATTGCCGATGCATTTGTCTGAAGCGGTGAATCATTTCCCAAAAGTTCTGCTTAAACACAAGAAAGGTTGTAATCTTGATGACTGTTAGCAGGTTGGTGAACACGACACTCAGACAGGCTGTGATTTCCTCCATGTCATTTCGCTTATAGAAGATATAGGAGATAAGAGGATACTGCGCCGATACAACGAATAACAGTGAGATAACGTGATTCAAGCTCAGAGACCCCTTTTCGGTACTATCAGTGCCGGGGGGACTGTGTCCCATCGCTCGCAGGCAGTTTTCCTGCAGTTTAAAAAGTCGACCCATGACTTTGCCTTCACTAAGTGGAATATCAGAGGGTTCCGCTAGCAATGCCTGTTATATAAGCCTTCCAATGTTCTAATTATCCTATTGATTAATTAATTATTTGTTTTGCCAACGTCTCTTGACAAACATACTACTAATTACTGTGCTGATGTGTTTAGAAGGCTCTGACATGATAATGGCGGCATTATTTGTTTTAATTGATAATTGTTATTACCGTCTTACCGTGACATTTGATGAAAACTGCATTTATAACCCCCATATGATTATATGGGGGTGTCGTCTATATACCTAAAAAAATTACTTGAAATTGTTGTTTTATCTATCTCGATTTTTTGACTACGTTTCAAAATGTTTATATTTATCGTATAACTATTTTTTTGGGGTTTTTAATCTCTTTATTTGTTTTGGGCTATGACTTTGGATAACTATCATAGAAGACTTGTATTACTTATGAAACGAGTGAAATTGGTAGAGGCAGGGCTATTTTTACGAAAAACAGCTGTATATATTTTTACAGGGTCGTTGTCTAGTTAATCGTTTTAAGACCAAGTGCATCGCCCAGATTCTTGAGCCGATTTGTAATCTGTTATTCGTATGCAAAAATCAAATCAATTTATTAAAAAATCCAGAGGCATTCTTATCAATAAAGCTAAAGTTCGGCAAGACTTCAATCGCTGAATGCATACTTACATAAGTATGTATGTGCAGTCAATGCAATCTGATTAAGCGGTTCCGAAGCAGCTGCTCGTTCAGAGCCAACAATTAAGGCTCAACCAGCAAGGAAGTATTTAAAAATGAGCAACAGTAAGTCGACAAATATCACTTGAACGCGTAAATATTTATAGATTAGTTTCAAATTCATTAATTTTAATTTTAATTACCTAATTAAAAATTAATCCCAGAGTTGACGCTGGCAATGCTGCAGCTGCCCGTGGGCAGGGATGTGTCCGCGAACGTTCTACGGGCTGTTCGGAGCGTTAAGAAGCTGAAGGCGGATAACCCCAAACTGCAACTGGCCATCCTGCCGGAAAGCTTTAACGCTCCCTATTCGCAGGAGGACTTTCCAAAATTCGCCGAACCCGTTCCCGAAGGTCCCACGTGCCAGGCTCTGTCCAAGCTGGCCCGCGAACTGAAGATCTATATAATAGGAGGCAGCATCGTGGAGCGCGAGGGCGATAAGTTGTACAACACTTGCACCGTGTGGGCGGCCGACGGAAGTCTTATTGGTCGGCATCGGAAGGTAAGGTGTCGCAGCTGCCGGTCATTAATAACCCTACTTCTGGCAGATTCATCTCTTCACCATGAGCATTGACCCAGAAAATGCTGGTGGCGTGGAGTTCGATGAAGCGGCGGTGCTGACAGCGGGTTCGGAGGTGACGGTTGTCCAGATTGGACAGCAGAAGGTAGGCATTGGCATCTGCCATGACAAGCGATTCGATGAACTGGCGCGCATCTACCGTACTATGGGTGAGAAACTCAGCCGCCGGCTGTCAGTTAGTTTCTGATAAATAAATAAACCTTCAACAGGCTGCTCCATGCTGGTTTACCCGTCCGCCTTCTGCATTTGCCAGGGACCCATGCACTGGGAGCTCCTGCAAAGAGCTCGCGCCACTGACAACCAGCTTTTCGTAGTCACCTGCTCGCCTGCCAGAGACAACATGTCGGGCTATGTGGCATACGGACACTCGATGATCGTGAATCCCTGGGCTCAGGTGCAGCGTGAGGCAGGCGAGGGATGCGAGTTCATTGTTGAGGAGATTGGTAAGTTGGCCACTGCCGTTGTAGTAAAAGTTGTTCCACAGACTATACTGCTTCCCCTCGCACAGATTTCAATATGGTCGAGGAAGTACGGCGGCAAATTCCCATCTACAAGCAGAGGCGCACCGACGTCTACTCTAAGGTCAGGTCTGATTTGTAAAGCTGGGGGGAAGGGGCTTGGAAGAAACCTTCGTATCAAGCGAATAAAGCATTATTAAGAACAGCGGGAGAGAAATTTACTGATACTGCTTGACATGCTTATCGCAAAGGAAGTATACAAACAAGCTAAGCAAAGCCGACCCTCGAGAGAATGAGCTTGAGTTGAGCAATGGCAGCGGATGTCGATAGGGCTGGAGGAGCCGGAGCTCGGCTCTCAGTGTTGTAGAGCAAGCCGAATCAATGGCAGGCACAAATCTCGCGCTCGGCGCATCGCTCGCCCTGGTCCTCTGCGTGTGGGCAGGTGCAGCGCAGGGTCAGGTGGCATACATACGGAACCTCTCGGAGCTGCGGATCAAGGAGTTGGAAAGCCTGGCAGTGCGCTTACAGCAGACCATCAACCATGAGAAGTATGCCTGCGAGAGTTACTTTGACTACGTCTGCAGTAGCAACCGAACGCTCTTCTCTATTATGGGTAGATTTATATGACATGGGGCTTTATTGAAACACTAACTCAGGTATATAATAAATCGCAGGCCACATGCCGAAGCTGAGCGAGCTCATCCAACTCTTGACGGAGCTCCAGAACGACCCAGAGCAGTTCCAGGCAAAGCAGAAGCTAATAGACTTCTTCATCTCCTGCAACACACATCACGGCGTGGAGGATTGCTATAGGCAGACCTTCGAGTACTTCAAGCCCCTTTTCGGTTACATTATAACCAAAAACCAACTGGAGCCCAGTTCCCACGAGCTTTCCGATTTCCTGTACATTCTGAACAACTTCGTTCTGAAGACAAAGGAAGAATTCGGCTCTCATCCCATCTACAGCAAGCTGGCCACGTACAAGGAGAAGTTTCGAACGCCGCGCATATACTTTCACTCCGGAGACCTCAATCGTGAGTACCAGGACCTGCGGATCTACCGGGAGAGCTACGAGCACAACGTCAGAAACCTAGAGCTCCACCGCAAGCGGAATTCCACCTACGAGCTGGGCGTTCAACGGACCATGCTGGACTGGAGCCTGTACCTCTTCCAAAGCCAGAACAAGCCCATGTCCTACTACTACTCCACGTTCGCCGTGCACCTGTATATGACGCTCTACAACAGTACGGAGCGTCAGAGGGACTTTACGCGTTTCCGGGAGGACGTCGAGTGCCTGAAGCTGCCGCAATTCGTCAACGTTTTGGATGAAGCCCGAATGCTGGCCGTGATCTACCTTAAGAGCTTTCGCGCCGTGTGGGAAGATTATAGAACCTGGATCGCTATAAAGCCGCAGAACCAAGAAATATACGACCAGGAAGACGGTATACTCCACAAATATCATCTCAACAATAAGCGCATCTTCTTCACGCTATACGCCCAGAACTTCTGTGAGTTCGGCAAGGATCTGGCCGAACACGTGTTCTACCTGGGCCTCAAGCAGAATCCTGATTTCGTCAACATTTACTCGTGTGGCTTTCAGACGGAAAACTCTATAAGGTGTATTTAAATCTGAAAAACTGTATTGCAAATCGCCTAACTTAGAACTTAAGGAATCACATAATCAGTCAATCTATAAAAGAATCACAGTAACCCACAACCAAAAGTATTTATTTTAGTTTTGCAATAATTTTAAGATTTATAATTATTTGAGAATTTTTATTGTTGAACTTCAGCTTCAGCCCCGTTAGCGGGAATCACGCTTTTACTTGACCTACACTTGAGCACATTTTCAAAGTAGTCCGCCACCTGCTGCCTTCGATAAAGCTTTGCCAATTCGCTGCAGGATTTCCCAACGCCATCCACAGCCGTCAGGTCTGCCCCGTGGGTAACCAGTATTTTTATAATCTCCAGGCTTGAGTCCATAACCACTGAAAGCAAAACACCTATAACCGCCTCCTGGTTCACTCTTCCGAGTCTTACCTCCGTGCATGAGAACGGTCCAGCCACAGGCATCCCTGGCCTCCAGATTGGCGCCCGACTCCAGGGCGAACTTCACCATTTCGAGCTGATTTGCGTCGACGGCGCAGTGCGTGGGCGTCATTCCATTGCAGTCCGTCGCCTCCAGCTGAGCCTTCTTATTCAGTAGGATACGCGCCGATGGCAGGTGGCCGAAGTAGAAAGCCAACTAAATACATATACATACATATATGTATATGTATAATCAACGACGGCCTCTCTTACCCACATGTAATGGTGTCCTCCCGCTGCCAGAATTTCCCAGGTGGACGCTGCAGCCAGCCGATAGCAAGACGTCTATAATGCACATTTCGCCCTGAATAATCGCATTGGCCAGTGGCATGTATCCATTGGGATCTGGGTATTCTATGAGGCTCGGTCGCCGGCGCAGCATACGTTTCACCAAAAATTGCTGACCTTTTCTAATGGCTCGGTTAAGGCAATTGGTTGTTGGCAGTGCAGCCTCCGTGCAAGCCTGAAAAGTAAGTCAAAAAGGAAATTTGTGATGTTTAAGTTCACTCAATTACAATCAGAAATGCCAAAAGTTTTTTTTTCAATTAGAGATAACTCTCTCGGTCTTTAAGTGTTATACATATTTACTATTATGTCCGGAGAAATGGCCAAAGCCACGTAACGACTGCCGTTTTCAGCAATCTGAAGCGCTTTGATGCGCAACCGATACCCGAAGTTCTCCTCCAGATTGGTGACATCTACGGGAGAGCTGCTGGTCCACTCCGCCTGCTGCCAGCCATGTCGATTATGGTATTGCTCCACGCTGTAGACCAGTGCATCATCCAGCAATGAAAACTCAAGGCTGACGCTGTTAACGGTTGGATTGAAAATTCGTGCCTTAAAGTCCGGCCATGCTGGTCCAGGTGACTCCAGTTCTTGGTTGCACTGACTCTCTTCGGACATGCTGCTACAGTTTAATCACACTTTACTCCCAAATACCAACATTCTCAACAGAGACCATGGCAACAGAGGTCCATTTCGCTTTTCTGTTAAATCAATAACGAACAAGAAAGGAAAGCAAATGGATTACGGTTGAAGTTGGTAAAAGAAACGCAGGCTTGGCATGTTGAAAATTGTGAGTCTAACTGAAGAAGTTCCCCTACTTCGGGCCCATTCATGTAAACGGATCATTACACAAACCGCAAGGGCTCAAGGGGCATTTAGCGCAGCAGATACACCGCCAGTGCACAAATGTTAACAAAACGTTTCAAACATAATCGAAATGTTATTTATTCCCCAGAAAAGATTTTACCAACCAACCAGCAACCAGACATGATAAATGAACTGCATTGCGAACGGTGGAGAAACGATCGGTTTGCGAAGCTCGGCCAACTATTGCGCTCGACGGGTCATTAATTAAGCCTGACAACGCACATCAGCGGTGGCCGAGGTTGTGCGCTTCTACGGGCTCCAAGCTGCAGACTAGGTGCGACACGACTTGATCATCCAGAGTCCGGGCAGACTTCAGACTCCAATTGACTCATCGCAAAGTGAACGCTTCAATTCCTAGCCCCATGGCACTGTGGGTCACACTGCGTGATCGATGATAGAAAACTTTTTTATGAAGTGGTCTTTAAGATCATTGACAACCCAAAGCGCAAGTAACAGGCAGAAAAAAGCATCCGGACCCTACAGGGTTAAACTTTTGACCAACGTCCCCAACAGAAAACGGAATTTATAAATTGTAGAATATCAGGTCTCTCTCTTTAATGCTGTGATATCTCTCAATTCCTTTATATGAGCGGCATGATTTGTTCTATATAAATAGAAATTCAATTATGTGACAGATCACGAACAAATTGTTTATCAGTAAAGAGCAGTTGTTGTTCATAGAAGGGTTTCGCTTTCATCACAAAAAATTTTAAGTAATCTTTCCTAGGCATCGAACTTTAAAAATAGTTAGGTTATGTGTCTAGTACTTGGGAATTTCTAGTAATAGGCGAGGGACTCCCTCACGTATTTCCTTTCTCTGGATTTCCATGCCTTTTTAAGGATACAGTTATCAGACGTTCAGCTGGGATCTGTTTCCATCGCTGCAAGGATATATAGCACCCTAGGTTAGGTGTACTCCCTTTTTCAACAATCCCACTTATTAATTTTGGACAAGAAATGTAGTCGCTAGCTCCATAGTACATAGTATTGGGTCCACACTGAACTAAAATTGATTAAACTCTTATGCAATTTCACTTTTAATAACATTTAATCGACTCGCCGTGTAGCAGTAGCCACCGGCTAGAGGGCAAAAGCAGACTCGCAACGTAATGACAGCACCGGGGTGTCGCTGACTCGGTGTATCGAGGCATCGGAGGGAACAATTAAGCGGTACCACAAAGACCTGGCCGGGGGAACCACGCTAATTGACCATGTATTGCCAGCAACTACGAGCAAGTCTCGCCATTTAATGAGGGATGCGAAGAGCCGCAAAGGTAAATGGCGAAGAAGAGCTGCGCTACGCAGAAGACGAGCTAAAACAAATACAATGAACATGCAACAAATGGAGGCTGTGCGCTCTTTTTTGGCAGTTTTGCCTGGGACCGTGACTCTTTCTGGGGCTCCGTCGCGGATCATTGTTGAACTTCACCTATTAACTTTCGAGTATCGTTGGCGTTGGAGTTGGGAGTTTAGGCTATGTATAAAAGCGATCCGAGCAGCCGAACAATCATACAGTTCACTGCGAACCACTAAGAAAGCCAAATCACCGGTCCTACCCCGTCCAACCAACTCAACCAAGCCTTGAAATGCGTGGATTCATTGTAAGGACAACAGGCGACAGCCAGCAGGGAAGGCGGCTTGTTAAAGGACTAACCCCCAACTCTATTTCTCTTAATCTTTAGGTATTGTGCCTTTCCGCCGTGGCGCTGGCTGCGCCCCAGGGCTACAACTACAATCCTGGCCCGTCCGGCTTTGGTGCCATTACTACGGCCACTGGTGGAGCCACTTTCTTCCAGGGCGGCGCCCAAACGGCTCCAGCCCAACAGCAGGCCTTCTACCAGCAGCCGGCGGTGCAGTCTCACCAACACCACCAGCACGTCCAGCAGGTTCAGCAGGTGCAGCAGCAGCAGCAGCAGGCCATCGTGTCAAAGCGCTTCTTCATCCACTCCGCCCCGGAGGAGGCCGAGGACTACAAAGAGCGTCATATCACCGTCGGCGTGCCCAAGAGGAACTACAACGTGGTCTTCATCAAGTCTCCCCAGCGCAACAACAAGAAGACCATCAAGATCAGCCCCGCCGCCAACGAGGAGAAGACCGTCATCTACGTCCTGAGCAAGAAGGGCGAGAGCGATGTGCAGGCCGAGGTCGTTGAGCAGGCCAGCTCCACCAGCAAGCCCGAGGTCTTCTTCATCAAGTACAAGACCAGCGAAGAGGCCGCCCACGCCCAACAACAGATCCAGGCTCAGTACGACGCCCTTGGAGGCAGCAGCCAGCTTACCGACGAGGGTGTGGCCCCAGTTACCTCCGTGATCGGAGCTCTGGGAAATACCGACGGACATGCCGATGCTGGATCAGCGGTGGGCGTTTCTGGAGCTAACCAGATCATTTCCACTGGCTCCGCCGGTTCGCACACGGGCAATGCATACCTTCCACCCAATTTCTAAGCCTTTGAGTTGTTAAAAATGGATCGCTTAATCCAACGTCACTGTGACGAATGTTAATAATAAACTTTACTTGTTGAATTTAATACACTACGATATGTCCTTCTTTTGGGGAAGGGATAACTGGATATACATACATATTTTTATTGTTGCAGGACAATTGGTCTTGTACAAAATTCCTTCACCTTCTAAATATCTGCAACACTTTTAGAAACACAGAAAAACAACAAACAAAACAACAACCAAATTTTGGGTACCTTAGCAGTTTGGCCTTAATATGTACTTTTTCTACTGAACATGGCTAGATTGGCTAGGCTGGCGATGCTAAATATGAAGATATGGTATGTATGTGTATGGTATGATCTATTGGGTCTGAAACTTGCACACTAAAATTAAAATTCCTTGCAAGGGTATCATAATAAGCATTAAGGAAGGACAACAAAACATGGAAATTAAAAAAGCTAATTAAACAAATTTAAATTTACAGTTACAAATTAAATGCACCATTTGACTATATTTGACTAATATATAATTTTCAATTAAGAATCATTATTACAAGGTTTAAATTTAATAATTTATAATTTTTGCTCTTTTTGTATAAATATTATTCCTCGCCAAATTTGAGTTTTAGGTGGGGTTGTTCCCCCATAAGAGGAGTTTTAAATTAATTTTTGTATTCCCATCTTAAAGTTATCGCTACTAAATAAAAAAAGTTCCCATTTATATATATACTTATTTATTTTTTTTTAGGACAAGTGGTTTTAGTATTGCATAGTAAAACTAATTGTTTCATAACAACCAAGAAAGGAAGCAAACTTTGGCCGAAGAAACCAGTTTGTAATTTGGATTTCAAATGAAAAGAAAAACTAACTGGATATATAGTTAGCATTTAGCATTTAACAATTAGTTTTTGATAAAGTTCAAAAACAGTATTTTTATTTGTATACCCTTGCAGGGTATAATAATTTCAGTCAGAAGTTTGGAACGCAGTGAAGGAGACGTTTCCGACCCTATAAAGTATGTATATTCTTTATCAGGAACAACAGCCGAGTCGATCTCGCCATGTCCGTCTGACCGTTTCTACACAAACTAGTCCTTCAGTTTTAAAGCTATCTGAATAAAACTTTGCAAAAAGTCTTTTATATCCCTCACTGCTATATATGTCGGAACGGGTCGGATCGGACGACTACATCATATAGGTAATTTTTAGAAAAAAATTAGAACTTGACAGTTTTGCAACATATTTTCATTATTTTTCACATATGGCCATTTTTTTATTATTTCATAATTTCTGTTTTAATTTTATGAGAATCGGAAGACTATATCATATAGCTACCATAGAAACGATCGGAATATGAACAGAAAAATGTAATGTAAATGTATCAAAATCAAATTATTATTTGCTATGTATAACATACAACTTTTATATATTTTCTTGTATTTCTTTTTATTAATGTGACCAGAATGAATTGAATTGATTCTTAATGATCCAATTGCAAACTTCAAGTAAAGTATATATTCTTGATCAGCATCAACAGCCGAGTCGATCTAGCCATGTCCGTCTGTCCGTCTGTCCGTCCGTCCGTCTGTCCGTTTCTACGCAAACTATTCCCTCAGTTTTAAAGCTATCTGAATGAAACTTTGCATATAGTCTTCTATATACTCTCACTGCTATATATGTCGGAACGGGCCGGATCGGACGACTATATCATATAGCTGCCATACAAATGTTCGATAAATTTTTAGAAAAAAAATTATAACTTGTCTGTTTTTCAAAATATTTGCATAATTTTTGGGATATGACCATTTTATATTATTCCAAAATTTTGGTAAAAATTTTATGAAAATCGGAGAACTATATATTATAGCTGCCATAGGAACGATCGGAAAATGAATAGGAAAAAAATTATAACTTCGTTATTTTTCAACATATTCTTATCTACTTTTAGATATGAGCTTCTTTTATTATTTCAGAATTTTGGTATAAATTTTATAAAAATCGGACAACTATATCATACAGCTTCCATATAAACGATCGGTAAATGTAGGGAAATATAAAGCTGGGAATGTAAAACTGTAACTGCTAAACTGTAAACATAATAAGAATAGATAAAATGTAATGAAAATCTGTTTTGTGTGTGTTTTCAGCATTTAAATCTATAACATAAACATCAAAACCAATCTATAAGGGTATACAAACATTTTGCTTCCTCTCGGAAAAAGGATATGTATGACTATCTTTGCATCATTAAACCGTCCACTTCTTATTTCCGTATTTTTTCTCCTTTCGGACACCAACGACACTAGTAAAATAATGATTCAATACTATATAGTTTTCAATTGAAACCATCGTGAGTTTGTTTGTTGATGTTTCTCATAATATTTTTTTTCTAGGAATCGCATTAGCCAGAGTTTTTTTCTGTAAGCCTACCTTTATTTTGGTGGCATATCCTTATAGCAACTGCAGATCCAAATTCAAGTCGAGAGGCAGAGACATCATCGTCATAGGCTCCCCGTAAAATTACGATAATCGATGTAAATCGAAAAATGAACATTAAAACTTCATGTTGTTTAAGAAATCAATTAAGAGTATGAAATGTACAATATTTATTTGAATTTAGGCTGCTGTCGCTATGAACTTTTGGCTATAAAGCCATATAAAATTCCTAAACACAAATTAGTGATTATAAAAAACGGATTGGCATATCGACTGGATACCCTCTCTCCAGCCTCTTTCTAGCTGTAATTCCTAGTTCTCTGCAGCCTTTGCGCCAAATGGTTCGGGTGACCTGCGGGCTAAATGCTTTTTAACGCGTTTTTTGGAAAATATGTAACATACGAAATAAACAAGAAAGGAAGCTAACTTCGGCACGCCGAAGTTTGTATACCCTTGCAGATATTATTTCATTACATTTTACCTATACTTATTACGTTTACAGTTTGACAGTTACAGTTTTACATTCACACCTTTACATTTTCTCTACATCTACCGATCGCTCCTATGGCAGCTATATGATATAGTTGTCCGATTTTCATGAAATTTATACCAAAATTCTAGAATAATAAAATAAGCTATATCTCAGAGTAGATGAAAATACGTTGAAAAACAACGATGTTATACTTTGTTTTCTATTAATTTCCCGATCGTTTCTATGGCAGCTATACGATATAGTCGTCCGATTTTCATAAAATTTTCACCAAAATTCAGAAGTAATATAAAATGGCCATATCTAAAAAATTGTGCAAAAATGTAAAAAAACAGCAAAGTTATAATTTTTTTTCTAAAAATTTTTCGAACATTTGTATGGCAGCTATATGATATAGTCGTCCGATCCGGCTTGTTCCGACATATATAGCAGTGAGAGTATATAAAAGACTATATGCAAAGTTTCATTCAGATAGCTTTAAGACTGAGGGACTAGTTTTCGTAGAAACGGACAGACGGACGGACAGACGGACATGGCTATATCGACTCGGCTGTTGATGCTGATCAAGAATATATATATTTTATAGGGTCGGAAACGTCTCCTTCACTGCGTTGCAAACTTCTGACTGAAATTATAATACCCTGCAAGGGTATAAAAATATCTGAAAATTAGTAATCCTTTGGGATGATTCCATTAATTGGCCATAGATATTATAATCGGGAAGAATGGTTTCATGTGGAATTGCAGTCTTTATCGAGGAACCTATAATTAATGACATACTCAATTCCCCTGTCAGGTATCAACTCAAAATAATTGTAATATTATATTATGCACTCGAAAACAGCAAAGTAAAGGAAAAATGTGTAAAACTGCGGTGATATTAAAAGGTAGCATTGAATATATTACATTATATTTTTATAAACAACATTTCAAAAAGAGCGCACTTATGGTGGCGAAGAGCCTCGATCTTTGGGTTTTCGGTTATGGAGAGAACTAAGCTCGTAACTTTATTTGAATCTGAAAACAGCAAATGAAATGCAGCAAAAGAATTAAATACAGTTTTGACCAAAAAATTTAATTTTCATCAATTATAGTTTTAGATTCACTCCTATGTGTTGTATAATTTGTTGTAACATAAATAAAAACGCAATAATTAAAAGTGGAAAACTATTAGTTAAAGTTAGTTAAACTTATATACCGCGTTTAATGCTGGGACACTTATCCTTAAACAAATGCAATCTAATATTTTGATATCGGATGTTTTTGTAGACAGTTAGGAAAACTAAATTTTTGTTGAGGGAACCAGGAGATTCCCTATTACTCGGAGACCCGTACATTTTTATTATTACAAAAATTAAAAAAAATATATAAATATATAAATACTATATAAATTACTTAACCCTCTGGGCCCCAAAGAGACTTGAGCCACTTATTACATTATTCACAATTCCAGAAATAATAAATGCTCTTTCTACGTTTAACTATTTTTTAGCAGTTAAGAATAGATGGATAGATAGATATGCAGGTGCCTATCACTACTTCACTGCTACAACGCATGCCTATTACATTTTTGCATATCTCTCATTTTGTTTTAATTCTAAATTAACTTACATTTCAGTACAAACCAAATCATGTTTAGTTTTGTTTAATTATTTATCACAGTACAAGTAATCGAAAGGTTCTACGTTCTTTTTAATATCATATTTGAGTTTAGAAGGCACAAATCACTGTAGAAAAATGATTTCAATTAATTTCCTCCATTATTGTGGAAGGTGCCAATAGAGGGTTAAGCTACGGAAACTTGCCATTTTTATTTTATTTTAAGCCGATATTCTGTATTTTTATATGGAAAATGTGCTAAATAAAATGTTCATTTGCCCAATTTTCTGAGTACAATTTTTTTTTTACACATATTATTCTCTCCGTGTAGGCTAAAGTTTCGTTGACCAATATATCACACCGCTGGAAACCAATTATTAAAAAATCGACTGTCATTTTCAATAAAATTGCTATGCAAATGTATTTCTATTTTACTTTGAAATTTTTGAATTCATTTAATTATTTAATTTAATTTGTTGATGTTTATGTTAGCGCCGTATGCCTTGACCATGTTAATTTTCCGCGCACGAAGGTGCGTGAAAGAGAAATTGGAAATGTGGTGTCTGGTAAAAAAGTCACTGGCATACTATATACTATGATGCTTTAACGCGATTACCTAACTCAGAAAGACAATGACGCGCATGCATATCTATAGGGAACTAATTTGGATAAGAGTAAAGCGCCAGGAGACGGGGATTCCCGCCGTCGCGACGGCGTACTACGTATTGCGTATACGCCCCCACAGCTCGCACACGAACGGATGAGAGGTTGCATAAGCCGCATGTCATAAATGTGATTCCGCACTATTGGCGTACTTGTAACACATCCATCGGCAAGCAACGCACGCCACGCTGTCATTTGAAGGGATTGCGTTTCATCTTGACCCCCGAGATAGCATTTGTGTTTTGATAAATCTTCAATAAGGCATAAAATCATCATCATCATCATTCATCTCTCGTGGGGCACTACTGGCAATGATGGACATTAATACAAAGTTGTCTGACTTTAGAGGCTGCTCGCCAAAAAATACCTTAATTAATCTGCCAAAAAAGGCCCCGAGCCCATATCATAATCCATATAAATAATACAACCAAGCTTGGAACAACATACATAGAGCCCCGCAAAATGATCCAAACTCTTCGACAATAAGGTCATCGGAAATCAATGCAATTTATACATTTTTTAAAATCATCGTTAAACAAAACACAGCTTTTCAAGTTGACGCAATTGCTAATGCGATTATTATGTGATTTATGCAAGTTACGATTAGGGGCTGTTAATCCCAACGGTTCGTCAATTAGGCCGGGCCATCATAAATATACATATATGTACATATTCGTCTGGAAGTCAGGAACTGAATGAAAGCAAGCGAAATGGTCGGCAGAGACAAAGCTTGCGATGTGTGTATATTATGTGCATATACAATATACCCATACAGCCATCACATAGGTCTTCCAGCCAAATGGCTTTTTCTTCAACTTGAGGTCCACAATATGACGCAGGGCTTTGCGAAGTGGCCAGAGCCGGAGAGCGTTAGGGTTTTTCGGTAACTGGACACAATAGTCACCGCTACCTCAAGGTTTCTTCAAAACGCAAGCTAGTTTTTGTAAAAAGCAGTGGCTCTTTGGCCGCTCTTCGTTCACCTCTTCGTGCGGTTTAAGCCGTGGTCTCGGTTTCAGTTTCATTTAAACTTTTCGTCTCATCACCACGGGTTTTTCGTGAGCGACATTTTGGTGGCAGCAGCGCCTTATAAGTCTGGGCGGCCAGTGATTAGCATTTAGTTGAATAGTGATTGCCAAAGCTCCAGGTATCTTCATCTGAGACGGAAATGCGTGTCTTCATTGTAAGCTCTCGGATTGCTACGCCCCCAGTCGCTGCATACCTTAGTAATGTCACTGGTTTTATTAGGTTTCGTGCCTCCTAGGCCTGGCCGTGGCCGCGCCCCAAGGATACAACTACCAAGCCCAGCTGCAGCAGCAGTTACCGGCGCTGCAGGCTCCCGCTGTGCAGCAGATTTTGCCTGGAGGAGGCCTTTCCTTCTCCACGTCGTCGTCACAGCAAAGCCAGGTCTATCAACAGCAGGTGCCACTTGGCGGAAACATTGCCTACAATGTGCAGCCTCAGATATATCAGCAGCAGCCGCAGCCCCAGCACCAGCGGCAGCAGCAGCAACACCTAGTCTCAAAGGATATCTATGTCCATGTCCCACCCGTCGATGTGGCAGAGGAAGCGTATCCCCAGCCTGCCCTTCCGCCGCCACCGCCCCGCAAGCATTACCGCATCGTGTTCATTAAGGCGCCCACTCCTAGTGTCAGCAAGGCGGCGCTGCGCGTCAAGCAAGCACCTGTGGAGGAAAAGACCATCATTTACGTGCTGACCAAGAAGCCAGATCCCCTGGACCTGCAGGCGGCCTTTGAGGAAGCCGCACCAAAGCAGCCCAGCAAGCCGGAGGTCTTCTTCATCAAGTATAAGACCCAAGAGGAAGCTGCGCATGCACAGCGCACCATTCAAGGTAAGCAGCACCCACCACAAAGACCTCATGGTCTGAGCCACTCTTGAATACCTAATCTGATGGATATGCAAAAATCATAGCATTGGGGAACTTTTATTGCTGGTTTTCTGCCAGTTGACAAACATGGCTTTCATGACTGTTACTAACATAACTGCGTCTTCGTTTCCCTGCAGCTCAATACGACCAGCTTGGCGGCACCTCACAGGTTTCGGATGAGGGCGTCGCACCAGTCACCTCGGTTATCGGGGTTCTGGACAACCAGCAGCAGACACAGGGAGGTGCTCTAACGAGAGCCGTGCCAAATAATTACCTACCCGCCCTGACAGGTTAATTATTGCCAATTGCAAAGAACTGTTGTACCTTTAAGTATCCAACTATTGTATATATTCTTAGCTAAATAAACAAGACCACTTGCCAAAACCTCAGACTATTATTATCCCAATCAGTGGCAGTTTTATGCATTAGATGATGCCGAAACTGGTTTTGCTCCAAAGACTCCCAAAAATGTGTCAAACTGTATTTTCTATGGCCCATATTACCACATCCACATCCATTAGTGGTCCAGTGATCAATAAGCAAAAGCCAAGAGTTTCGGGGAAACCGGTCGCATTAATTAGCATATGATTCGTCTTACGTAACTATGATTAGACAACACGAAAACTTGATTTCAAAGGGAGCTGATAATTGATCCTACGGCCGACGAAATTTTCGTAGCATAGCATATTGCACAAGCCCAGTAGTAACATTTAAATCAAAGTAAAACCGCAATAATTAAAGCTCTAAAAATATACGTTTAAGAATTCTGATTAAAGCATTTCTTTATTTTGCCTCGACTTTTTCATTTACAATAAATTAAAATAGGCTACAATGGGGCGATTGACATAAGTAGAATGGAAGCGATAGTGCGGACACAGTCCCGTACTTATTTGAAGGTCTTGGCTGGCACATAGTTCCTGGACGGCACAAAGGAGGAGGTGGCCTGCTGCACAAAGGAGCTCTGCTGCTGGCTCACAACTGGCGACTGGACAATGGTCTGCACCTGAGGCTGCTGGACGATTGTCTGGATGTGCGGCTGCTGTTGGATAATAGCTGGGCCCTGAGTCTTCTGGGACACGAAGCTACCCAGGTTCAGGGATCCACCCGAAACGCTGGTAATGGGGGCAACGCCCTCGTCCGAGATGTGAGTGGCGCCTCCCAGGGCATCGTATTGGGCCTGGATCTCCTGCTGGGCACGCTGAGCCTCCTCCTGTGTCTTGTACTTGATGAAGTACACCTCGGGCTTGTGCACCTTGGCCTCGGTCTGAGTGACTTGCAGCTGCTGCTGAATCTCCGTGAGGTCGGGCTTCTTGGACAGCACGTAGATGACGGTCTTCTCCTCGTTGCTGGACTGAGCCCGCTTCAGTGCGGCGGCGGTGTACTTCAGGTTCTGGGACGGCGCCTTGATGAACACGATGCGGTAGTTCTTGCGGATGGGCAAGTTCTCCAGTTGAGGCTCGTCCTGGCGCACCTCCTCAGTATCCTCGGGCGCAGAGTGGATGTAGATATCCTTGGTGACTATGGCTGGCCGTTGCACATACTGAGTCTGAACGATCTGCTGGGGCTGCTGCTGCTGCTGCTGGTAGACGATCTGTTGTTGCTGAGGCTGCTGCACGGTGCTGATAAAGTTCTGCTGAGGCTGAGCGATGGGCAGAGGTGCGGAAACGGGAATGGAAACGGGAGCAGGAGCGGGAATTGACTGGACTGTCTGAATGGCTGGCTGTTGTGCCTGAACACTGATCTGAGTCAGGGCTGGGGCTGAGTAGATTCCGCTGGGCGAGACGGGCGTCTGCGGGCGAAGGTTGCCAATGGGCAGGGCGGGACCCTGGGCCTGGTACTTGTATCCCTGGGGAGCGGCTGCGGCGATAGCTGCCAGACACTGTAAGGACAACAACAGCCGGAATTAGATGCTGCAAGATGAATGCTGGAGGAGTGATCCAATCGCTTACCACTAGAACGACAACCTGCTTCATTTTCACTTCGTACTCTCTGAGCTGCAAAGGTCGACTGATGCCCTGGCCATCCGATATCAGTGTTTTTATAATGCAGCCACTTTTGCTGGTTGGTGCTACCAACGCATTAGAAATGATATTTAATTTCCAAGAGAAAGAAAGAAATATTTAGGCGCAGCCATAAAATGGCCGAATCTATTGTCGCCCGAACCACTCCGTATATGTAACTGGCTTCGTTAGGCGATTACCAAATCACGGATCCATCCGTATTCCCAGACTCAATGTGTTGAAAGGCACGGGCTGGCTGTTATCTAACGCAGAGTCTGGCTCTGGCTCGGACACCAACGTCGAGCTCACATTTGAATAATTGTCTAATATTCCCCCATTGTCATCTCTGAATCTATATAAATGCAAAATATTAATCGTTAGGGCGCCACTTCGATTGACAAAACGGGGCTGAAAGAAAGAAAGTAATTTCCAACCCACCTACCCAAAGGCACGCTCATTGGCAGTGTGGGGAACGATCTGCATTCATTATCGGAAGATGCGAGCAGTGGCCACCAGATGTGGCTGGCGGTGCGACAGCGGCGTCTATAAACAGGTATGAGGCATAAATTAACCTATAGTTCATTTCGTCCAACCGGAAAACAAACCATGAATTTGTAATATTCTCTTTGACACTTGCCAAGAGTTTAATTGAATGCCAAGCTTGTTGGTGGGAATAATATAAAGTCCACACATGGAGGGAAAATTAAAATATCTCTGGATCAGAAATATCTTGTTTGTTTCATGCAATTTGATGGAGTACAATAAAGTTAATGCGATTGAAGACAGAAAGATAAAAAGGATGTATTTGCGATTAAAAATCAATAATAATAATTCTTAGATAAAAACTACTTAGTGATTATTTGCTTACTGCTTGCTATCGTCCTCCCTGTTTATTACTATATTTTATACCTTTACTCGATTATTAGTTGGGCCATATTTGGGTATATGAAAGAAATATCTGCATAGAAATACTTAAATTACTTAAATTACATATATTCGACACTTAGATATCCAAAATCCCAAGGCGTTGTTTGCTAAATAAATAGTATTTATTTAATAATGACAAATATCCGCCAATTAAAGCCAACCCTTACCTCCAACCAAATACGTAAAGTTTTTTATTGAAATGTCTGATAGTCCTCTAACCTTGAAAGAAATGTTACATTACAGAACATAAAGGAAAAAAATATATAAGAACAGATTGCTAGGCAAATGTAGGAAAGGACTTGTTGTGAAACATCCTTTGCCTTGCTGAGTTTTAAGAGGTTCAACAGTCAAAAAAGCTTCATTGTTTGACAGCAGTGGACAATAACGCACGATCCTGCTGGGAACTGTGTCGTATACGTAATGTGGCTGTCAATGTGCAGCTAAACAAAAACTAGTTAATGTTTTAAATTGAAGTTTTATTCATGAAGAATGTATGAACACCCCGAACATTTTACTTTCGACAATAGTAGGAACATTGGGAAGCCAATTAGAACAAAATCAAGAATGAAGCTAAATGAATTCTGCTTAAAATCTGATTTCCTTTAAATAGAGGTAGAACAAGCACAAAAGCCTGATTTTTGGCATGCCAAAAACTGTATCAAAACTATACGACACATGTCAATTTGTTCGATTCACTTAAAATTTTATTCTTGTAATATAATGGAAAAGTATATACAAAATATAGAAGTATATACAATTATATACAAATTTGATTAATGATTAATGTATCCACGTTGAGCTTTTGAAACCTTAAAAAGTACCTTAGGCAGTCTCTTAGTCTTTTAAAAAGGCTCTTAAAATTGTAGATAAATATTTAAATACTTTCTTGTATTCTCCTCCACTGTTCATATGGGAGCTATGAAGCACATATCAAGCGTTCTAGACTGAAAAGCTCCCCAAAACATTGCGTATACGCCTCCAACACTGCGTTTTGGCTCCCGATAGAGCCAAACACATCTTAGCCGTCAATATTAAAGATTTTTTATCGTAAAAAATATGCAATTGAAAAATATTAAGAAAAGCTGTATTATCAAAATAAAGGTAAAATTTCAGACCCAGGTTCTCCCCAAGTTTTTTCTTAAAATTTAAGTCGTTCTGTTTTGTGGCGTGGCTTTAAGAACGGAGCCTTCTTTAATTCTGTTCTTACAATGCACTTCGTTGATTTTAGTGCTATTAGACGTTTACAGCGGTCAGTAAAATTGGGTTTCTACCAGAGCTATCCTTTACACCATATTCATCTTGGCATCGTTTTAATCCTTTATTCTTCACTCCTTTCCTTCAGATAACAAACATCGTGGCAATTTATTTCAAATTATTTATATTTTTACCAGAAATATAAAAAAATTATTGAAACCAAATCTTGCTATAGCCGCAATAATTGAAACATGTCATATACCAAAGTAGTTTTGATACAGTTTTTGGCATGGCAAAAAACAGAGTTTTGTGATTTTTATCGCTACTTAAAAACGCGAGATCCAATCAGAGATAAGCAAATCAGATTTTAAACAGAGTTGTAACGGGGCTCCCGATTTTTTACGAGGGTCGAAAGTTAAATTATCGGGGTCTCGAATAATTGTGGGCAGGAGTGTATATTTTACTAATATTTAATTTAGTTTAATTCAATATAGTTTAGGAGGTTGGTAGCAGGAAAGTATTTACTGACCAGATGATAAGTTGGAAAATCATTGAAACGCAGTGCCTGGGCAATTCCTGCTGATGGTATATAAAATCCAATCGACCAAACCTTGAGTTTGCTGAAGCTTTTTACAATATTTGTTACAAATACTTTATCTGTTTAAATGGATTTCAATATATTATTTTAAAATCATCTGTATGATGTATTTTATTATTTTGTTAAACCATAAAAACAAGTCAAAATATTTTTCGTCCTAGTCGTCGCTCCACGTGGTCTGCTCTATCCAATCCAAGTAGGACGACACTCGTGTGTAAACGGATGGATAATTACTGCGGCAAAAAACGCCGTAGGAGGTGATGCCGATTAGGTGATAGTGGATTCTTTCCCGTCGTCGGCGACCGGGAAGATTAAGCTGCAAGGGGCCGCCAGAATCGCCCTGGCAGGTGTCCCTGTTGAGGTTGTAGTCCTGACCGCAGATCTGGCTATCAAGGACACCATTGGGAGTCTCCGCGAGGGCCGGCAGCTCCTGGTTGCACTCTGCATTCGGCACAATGGTCAGGTTGAGGTTCGTGAGACGGTTGGTCATGGGCTTGGCGAAGGCCGTTGCTCCATATCCCATTGCAAACGCAATCGTCGTTGGCAGTTCCGAGAAGATCCAAAGACGTATGGGCCTGACGTACACCGTCAATCTTTCAAAAACAACCAAATAAACATGTACATATAGAGGGGCAAAACCAGACTGCTTTTGGGATTACTCACTTAACCTTGTTTTCAAGCTTCAGCAGGGCTATATCGTCGTAGTAGAAGTCTTTGTTGTAAGCGGGATGCGTGATGATTTCCTGTATCCTCATAAGTTGGGGCTCCACCGTCCGCTCTTCGGCGACCAAATTTAGGTCCCCGATGCGCACCCACTTGGGGGCCAGGCTTAAGGAAAAATAGTGGTACTCACGGAAGATTGGATTGGATTGGATTTTTTAAATGCTCACTCGTATATGGAAGTACAATGGGCGGCGGTGAGCACAAAATTTTCGCTTATCAGGCTCCCACCGCACTTGTACTCGATTTTGCCTCCGTCAGCCTCGAAGCCCACGGCTGCCTGTGAAATCAGATTTGACGGGCTTAGGTTAAGCAGTACAGCGGCACCAGCAGCTCGGTCCTCTTTACCATATGGGGGTATTCACCAGGCCTGACCAGTATACGCCCATCAAAGTCCGCGTCATTTGCGTCGGCCGCCACAGCCGTGTCGTTGGGGAAGATGCGCTCTACGTACTGTGAGTATTCTTGGGATGTGACCAAGCATATGACTCTGGAGCCGAACAGAGCGAAACTTGAAACTACTTACTCTCCTCACATATGCGGCGGCGCTGGTTCTTCTTCTTTTTGAAGCCCCCGGGTGGCGGGGGAAAGGGCTGCCCCGGCTTCGGTGGCGGTGGGTGGTGCTTGCGCTTGGGCTTGGGCCGATTCTCCTCTCCACCGTACCTAAAGTCATTTATGTGGTACCACATCTTCTCCGCCGACTCGTTAGACCCACCATCGGAGTCGGGAAAGAGTATGTCACTCTCCACCGGAAAGTGGATCGCCGATCTTTCGGGGGGCCCCGGTTGACCCCTAGGCGGTGGTGGGTGTGCAGCTTCAAAAACGGTCAGATAGCATAGCCCGAAAAATATAAGCAACGGCAAAGGCAGAGCCATCTCGGAGGCTCTGCGAACGCGACGAGAGTCGGGAGCAGACTAAATCCCCTACTGGTCGGTAAATCCCCAGCAGCCGAAGACGCACAGCCTTATCAACACAGGGCTTTAAATGTTTTAAAACACACAAAATTTATAACATTTATTTCCAGCAGGCGCATTACAAGTTGACTCTAAAATTTGATGGGTTTATAACGTTAGCCTTGAGCGGAGCGTGCACTTGAGTGGTTCCTCCGATCTGGTTGTACTGCGCAATGATAGCTTGCTGAATGGCCTCCAGATCCTGGTCATTACGATACCGCAGCACGGATACGGTGGGAGCGTTATCTGCGGGCTTACAGACAACTAAGGAAGCCATCACGGCGAGCACGGCACACAATAGGATAATCTGCAGGTGGGTCAATTAGGAACACTTCCGACCATGTAACATTTTAAAGCTTACACTTATCGCCTTCATTCTGTCGCAAATCTCAGTCTAGACTAAAAAGCGCTCCCAGAGCCTCTGGCGTTTTTATACCAAAAATTAAATCTCGACTTATTCATAATTTGCAGCGATGAACTCGAACAACTTGTACTAAACCCGTTTTCGAATTTATTCGCTACTAACTGGTAGCTAGGTTCGGCTGGCGTTTGATCAAAGAGCTGTGAATACATGTATGTATTCGTGGTTATATTAAGTTCAAAACTAGATGGGCATATTTTCCTTCGTCAGGTCACTTTGCACAGAATGTGAGAGATGACTTTATTTAATAATATTATTTCATTTGCTTGTTTTTCAGTTATACATATTACTTGAGTATCCACCAAAGCTTTTTTCTGACTGATCACCCCGTAAATCACATCTTTAAGTACCTCGAGCCGAAAGATGAATTTGAGAACTTCAAGCTATCAACTATAAGATACTCTGTACAAAAAGCCCTGTTCTTTAAATTAAAAGAAATTTGCCTTTTCAGCAATGTAATAAGCTTCAATGTTCATACAAGCGTACATGGCTAGATCGACTCGGCTTTTGGAGCCGATGTCTTCGTCACTATTTCTTCAAGGGCATATATTAAATACTCAGTCGTGTTTATTGAGATAGGCCTCTCCAGAAAGCTTTAAATTGTAAAGAAAAGTGACTCTCAAATAAAAACTTGAATCACAGTAATTACATTGCAAAGTTGTTTGCTTTATTATAAACGTATATTATATGGATTTTAGTAAGGCAAAAACAAACAATTTTTTGGTAGATTTTGCTGAGAATTAAAGTGGTACACCTAGACCTCATTGTTGGCATCCAAAACCTTCTGTTTGACGTCTTCGTAGGATTGCAGTGTCTGTAGATGGTCGAAAAAGATGGTCAAAGTTAAAGCAATTTTAAACATTTGTTTTTGCAGAACGATTTGACGTAATAAAGCATGATGCAAATGTATTAGTAGTCTACTTACGTATCGGAATGTCGATAGTTCTAAACATGCATAGTGACGTTACTGAGTTCTGATAATGTTAAGTACTTGGACGAACACCAACGAGTATTTAAGAATGGGAAAAATGGGTTAAGGCAATCCTCCGCACACTAACCTGCCAGTATGTGTCGTCCCATTCGGGGAACATGCGCTTGAAGACTCGCGGCTCTTGTCCCTGAGGAACACGGATTATGCTCACAGTGGCCATGGAGCGATCAGTAGGCTCCAATCTGATGTAACGCTGTGGGAAAAATAATCGTATATGTTTATAAATATTAATAGAACAAGTTGAAGATCGCACTGTATTCACCTTAGCCATGTCCAGAATCTTGGCGTTTTCCTCCTCTGAGGCGCCAGAGCCAACCCACAGGTAGATCTCGTCACCGGCATCCAGCAACATGACGTCATCGGAGTCCAAATCCTCTTGTTCGTACTTAGCCACTTCCTCGACCTTAACCAGTCCATTCGGTGTCAGGCGGCAGTGGAAGAGGCGCGGCTCCAGAAGCGGGCGACCGTGATCGACCAAGCTGCGATCATACTGACCCTCGCCGTTCAACTCCTCCCAGAAGTCATCGGGCTCGGCTCCCTCCTCCACCTGCTCCACCTCGGCATCATCCCAGTAGTGAGCGAAGCGCTCCAGTGCTGCATTTTTCTCGAAAGTGGATGCACCCAAACCATTCCAAACGTAGATCTTGTGCGACTTTGCGGACACCAGGGCAAAGGCATCTCCAGAGGCCAAAGAAGAACTGTCGGCGGGCACCTCGCTTGCGTGAATGTCGCTCTCAACGGTTCCGCGGATGCGGAACAGCTGTGCCGTCACAGGCAGAGCGGTGTAAGAGGCTAGGAGCTTTCCCTTGAAGATCTTATAGAAGTGACGCGGCTCGTGGCCCTGAGTAGTCAACACAAGAAGAGCGTTCTTCTCCACGGCAAGGGCCAGTCCGTCCTGGAAAGCACGGTCCTTGACACCGGCAGTGGTTTTCGCTCCCTGCCACACGTAGACAATGGAACCCTGCTCCCCGTTGTTGGCCTCGTAGTTGTAAGTAAGAACGTAGGAGCCGAAGCCCAGAAGAGGAAGGTTATCCTCGAAGGGAACGGTGTTGACCAGGATCTCACTGGAGCCTGGCTTCGCCACGTACTGCGTGATGGAATCAATGGCGTTTTGGCCATGATCCGGCATAAATCCAATGGCGCGACCGCCGCTCTTCTTCAGCTGCGTAACCACAGCATCAATCTCGTCGACATCAATGGAGTCATCGGATCCCATGGCCAAGGCCGACCGGATAAGACGAGTGTGCGCCATGCCAGCATCACGCCAGGTGGCAAAGTACTGCTTGAACGGAGCTGACTCGGCGCCCTCAACAATTCTGTGGATTTGGGTCCAGGCCGGATACTTCTTGGTGCGCAAGAACTCCTGGGCCTTAGCCATGGCGTCGGTCTTCTCCTTCTGCGTAGCACCCTTTCCAACCCACACAAAGATGCCGGAGCCGGTGTCCAGGATGAAACAGTCGCGCGTGTCGAGCATGGCCTGGGTCAGCGGCTTCTGGCCAATAGTGTCGACCACCAGTTTGCCACTAGCGTCGCTGATCTTGTAGAGAGTGACGGCGGCAGCGTCGGTCCTCTCAAAGGCTCCGTCCTCCTCGGCCGTCGACTCCTCGGGCACCTGGTCGGCAGAGCCGGATCCGAGCACGTCAAAGAACTGCTGCTTGTCGGCGTCAGTGCTGAAGTCATCGATGATCTGGACACGAGCACGGCCGTTGTGATCCTGGTCCCTGATCTGGTTAGCAGCACTGATCGCCTTCAGCTTCTCAACGCGCTTGGCCTGGGCACCCACGTAGACATAGATATCGTTGCCAGCATCCAAAATGAAGCAGTCACCCTTGTTCATGGAGGATACGGACAGATTCACCTGTCGCACGCGGACGTTGCGCTTGCCCTTGACCTGGAAGAGACGCTTCTGTCCCTGGGCGTTGATTTCCACGTGCTTGAACCCAGTTCCAACACCGCCCTGCTCGTAGCGAACGCCTGAGGGGATGAACAGATGTCTTGGTTAATTATTTGTCTGAAGAGTCTACGACAGGTCTTACCATTCTTAAAGTAGCCAAGGAACAACTGCGATTCGTGGTCTTGCACTTCTCGATGCTGAACAGGAGCTCCGTTCAACAAGTCATCCAACTGAACGGTGAGGATAGCGGCAGCTCCAGCCTCATCCGTAGAGGTCTCTGAGCCCAGCCAGAAATGTACGTCCCAGGAAAGTTTCTTGTCCTTTTTGTTTTCAATTGTCTGAAAAAATGTATAATTTATTTTAGGTTTTCTTCATGTATACGAAAAATATATTAGAATCGATTAGATGAAAGTTAGGAATCTTTTTATTTAAAATTTGAGTAAATTTAATCGTAGGTCTTTAGTACTTTGGTAAAATATGTATAAGAAGAAAGGAAGCTAACTTCGGAAGAATTAAGAATCGATCCTTTCCTGGTCAAATTAATAGGAAAAACAACAGGAATTATATTAAAAAATAATACCATGCAAGGGTATAAAAAGTATTGTAGTGTCAAAGTATAAAGAATTGATCACAGAAAATCCTATTCTCAGATAAAGGCATTGAAGTCACAGTTATTTAGACAACTGGATGAAACCTTTGTTAATCAGAACAATTACTCTTTCGTCTTGGTTAACACGTATCACATTTTAATGTCATTTTATAATGACTAGCTCTTGTGTGATTAATGTGTATTTCCGTTGAAATAAGCAGATATTATCTCAGATTAACAGGCTGTTGACATTGTATTCGTAAAACAGCATATCCGACCCTACAGAGTATTTGTGTGTCGCTAAAGTGTCAACAACCTCCGTTGGGACAATTCAAACTTCTAGCCCAATTTAGCTTGCTCTCCAGCGTTAAACAATTACACACGTGAATATATGTATCAAAATTTACTTACATTTAGAATTATAAACGAGTCTCCAGTGTAGAACTTGCCATAATTATTTTTCGGATAGGCAACGGGTTCGAAGTTCTGGAAAAAGTCAAATAAATTATGTGAGAAATATAGGAATGAATGTTTATGAAATGAGTGTTTGGAAATTCTGTAAAACTCGTTGTTCTATTAATATGCACAGTCAAAATATTTATTCTAGGAAGCGCCTCATGCGCCTCGCATTTAAAAGTGAAAGCATCCGATTCCGTGAGGTTCATAAATTTCGATAATGTCCGAGTTAATTAACCCGAGATGCGATATATACATGACGATATATGTATATAGTACACTTTCCAATTACGAACATGTGGCAGCCACCCTGCGTGAATTTAGCATAGAAAATGGGAAATCAGCAACTCTGATGGCACGAGCCACGAATAGGGAGCATGCTCCACCCGCTTTTTGCGCCGCTGGACGACTGCATGAGCTCCCCTGCAGAAGCAACGCATTCGTGCGTGGGCGATGAAGTCTAGCGAAGCGATGTAAACAAGCGCCAGCTATTTATAAACACTCTTCTTTGAACTCGCACCAAAGTGAAATTAAAGCCGAAAATACACTTAATTTACCTCGATCCGCCAGATCTCCATGCCGGGAGTGCGGCCAGCATTGGCGAAAGCCGGATGCATGATGCGTCTGCCGGGCTGCTTGCTGTTCTGACCGGAGGGCTGGATCTGGCCGGTTTGAACGGGGAACGCGGGACGAGCGTTGAGGGTGCCGGCTGAGGAAAGACTGGCCGATAGGGCAACCAGTACCAGCAGGCTGAAAGTAGGAAAGCAGATAGATAAGCCTTATCCGAGTACCATTATTTGTTTTCGTAATTCGCCAATCGAACTTTACACAGTTGTAACCGGTTCCGATACCGGGGTGAAGGTTTTTTCGCTATAACTCAACCTTGCATCCTTTGAGCTTTCGAGATAAAATATCATTTATGGGGTCAGAAATAACCATAGAACCCTATGGCTTCAAGCATTGATTTGGATAACAACCGATTTATTAAACATATAGACTTTCATCTCGATTTCTCAAGCGACAAGCACATCCATATATCTGTGCAGTTGAAATACGACCAAAAAAGGTCATAAAAAATAGACACACCAAAAATGTCACATGCTTTGAAGGAGAGCCCCGACAATGAGTAACAATTGTACAGTATGTGCAAACACATGTCTGAATACGATGTCTATTCTGGAGCTCTCCAAATTATTCCGCTTCCAACACGCCTTTTGACAGACTCATTAGCGGTTTTAATTGCCCTCCGCAGGGTAACTCCTACCAACGCACTTACATTTCAAACGAGATATTTTACTGACGGTTGGCGTGCGTCAGCTCTACTATTGTTTACACTTTTGAAACCGACTCGGAGCAGGTCTTGGGAACTCTAATGAAGCTTCTGGACAGCGAACTGCTCGCTTGCATTACCTTATGATGACTGCCATGGTGGCGTCGCCTGGCGCTGCCTTTTCGCGATTCTCTTTCTCGTGTCGTCGGCGGCGGCGCGGTGGTGTCGGAGGCGGGGAGATCCCCGAGAGCTTTGTTTATTGTTGCGATAAATATAAATGTGCGTATATAGTGCGCGCTTTCATATACACTATATGAATGTAGGTTTGTATTCAGCTTTGTTTTTATCGCAGTGTTTGCTGTTCAGGCCAAACAGAGATGATTGTTCCCAGCGTCGAGTGTTTGAACTGTAATTTTTAGTTAGTTTTATTAGTTAAATAGTTTAAATAAGGTTATAAAATTTTATAGATACCTACAAAAAGAAACACTATTTATGATCTTGTGGCTAACGGAAAAAACGAAGTACAAAAGATACCTGACAGTGTGCTTGACTATGAGAAACCCGGAACATAAAGCATTGTACATTTATTAAAAAAGAAAACAAACACTTACATATTTAGTAACAAGGTTTAAGACGCAGCTAACCGTTTGAGCCATGTGTGAGCGAGATAGAAAGATGGTTACAGCTTGGTTATCTTATATTTCCCATGCTAACCATACAATTGTGATTAAATTTGTAAGAAAACGATCATTAGAGTATTTATTATCCACATAAACTCGATGATCAATAATAAATACTCTATGGAGTCTGAGGTTCCATTTTCAGCCTATAGGCTGTATGTTATAATGCCCTTGTGCACGGTGGCTACTGAATAAAAAACTTGTGTGAGTTACATGCTTATGTAAAATCAGTAAGTATAAACTTATGTACCTTGTAACATTAGAATATTCTAAATCATTGCAAGCTAAAACATATATTTGAGTTTACGAACGCTTTTACATTTGATACAACACAACTTAATAAAAAAAGACAGTTTCCTTTGTTTTATTACCAATAAAAAAAATACATTTTCATATTGTTAAAACAATGCATGTTAAGAAGTTGTCATCCTATCAGATATGATATCATTGTTATATCTACAATGTACATCTGATTTTGGGATAGAGTAAGGCCAGCTGCCGAAGCTGTGAACCAAATGTCAGCACGCATGCTTTTACAAACTGCTTTTCAGATAATTAGTTTTGCGACATTGCGGCTTGACTCATCTGGGATGATATCATGATTGCCAAGGCCAAATGGAAAGTTCGTGCAGGCCTTTCTTGCAACAGGGTAACATATAACCCAAAAAATATAGGCCTTGTTCCCGTTACCTTAGCACTATAAAAAAAACTTGTATTCCTCAAAAGAGCAACTGGGTTTAAATTTGGAAGTATGTTCACAATCCAAATTTAATTATTTTTAAAAATAAGGAAAGCTATTCCCAACATATCAAAACTTGATCGTTTAAAAAGAATAGTTCTCTAGATGTACATATCTGAAGACGAGAGTTCTAAGTTAATAGCTTGTAAACTTTTCGAGAAAATCTCTTAGAAAGTGTGTCATGCTGAAGTCGATACATTATCTACATATAGTGCGTTACAAAACTTTGATTGAAATTTGAATACCCTGCAACCATGTAGAAAGTATTTGCAAACGGGAACAGGGCTGTTTATTTTATTTCAGCCGAACGTGTACATATGTTCAGTGTTCGTATTTGCCTTTTTTAAGATCACGATTCTCCCGAGGCAGCACTCATAAATATTATCAACGGGTTTCGAATATCAATTATGCTTATTTATGTGTACCTTTGTATGCTTTTGTGTATTTATGCCCAAACAAATATTGTAGTTTACTCAAACCAGCTCATCAGGCTCATCAATCACAATTAATAGGAAGTTAGACGTGTCACAAAAAGTTAAGTCGTTTAGAACCACATTTTTTCAAAAGGTAAAAATTAGAGAAGAATTGCCTACAAATTCCGTATATTTAATTTATTTTCTTGTTCAAAATAACGAAAAAATATATAATTTAAAGGCTCTAGCTGTGACTGGAAAGCAGCCAGAAAGTACGCAATGATTTGAGAATCTGTTTTTATATATTTCCTTTACATACACAAGTCATTCCTAATCATACGTTTTAACCTTAGTTCAGTGATTACTTAAGCATCAGCTCCTGATAAGATGAGCTCAATAATCTGTGTATGTTTCGGCTGACAATCAACAGTAGCGATTTGTAAATACTTGCATTTTCATTATGGCAATCAGCCTAATTCTGTACATAGTCTGCTTTGTTTTTTTAAATCCCCTTTACTCGACCATTTGCCCCAACATACATCAACTTTAGCTAACCTGATCGGAGACAATTAAACAAATTAGCCCCTCGGGGAAGACAATTGAACACTTACCGTAGAATAGATAAATACGATCGGCGCAGTATCAAACAATCGGAATGGGAACTGAGAGCGAGGTGTGAACCACTGGTATCGACTCGAGACACTGAAGGAAAGGCAAAGCTCGTCTTCGCTTTTATAAAAGTCCGCTCAGAGGCAAGCCGCGCTCACGGCGTAAGACGGCCCGCTCTCCGGGGTCGTATGTAGATGATTGATAAGCCAAAAGCTCGGGGTGATAAGCAACACAACCTCAAACCGTAAACAAAGTGAAAACAATTTTTTAGAAAATTCCCAGAATTCAGGTTGAAAGTCTCCTTTTGTTTTACTTATGTATGTAAACATATATGTAAGAAATCTATTTAATCCCTTTGTCAACTAATGTACAATTTTCTTATAATTATGCAATCGGTGGCCACAGATTAGTAATCCGCCGCAGTGTTCGACAGATAGTCCCGGCGTCCGATGTTCGAAGCCTGTTTGTTTTGCACGGCCTCCAGCTTGGGGCACTCTGTGATCCGATGGCCCAGGCCGCCGCAGTAGGTGCAGCCATGTGAGTCGCCCAGGTCCAGGTGCTGGTGCTCCGCCTCTGGCGCCAATTCGTCCAAGAAGTCGGGCACTTGCTGTTTGGCCTCGATAAGCAAGTGCTTTAGGTCCAGAAGAACGGACTGTTCGGTGATCTTGTTAATCAGCGTGGTAGCCAATCCCTTAGTGTTGGACCGACCTGTGCGACCAATTCGATGCACATAGTTTTCGATATCGTCCGGCATGTCGTAGTTGATAACGTGCTGCACGTTGGGAAAGTCCAGGCCCTTTGAGGCCACATCCGTGGCCACCAGAACGTCCTTTTTGCCCACGCGATAAGCGTCAACGGCTCGCGACCGTTCCTCCTGGTCCTTTCCGCCGTGAATGGCGACCGCTTCCACGCCCTTCAGAAGGAGGTATTCATGTATGCAGTCCACGTCCTGCTTTTTCTCGGCAAATATCAGCACGGGCGGCGCAGTCTTCTGTAGACAGTCCAGCAGATATACCACTTTAGCCTCCTGTTTCACGTACTCAACCTCCTGGGTGACGTTCATAGACGCTGCTCCGGCGCGACCAACATTTATGGTAACTGGCTTCACGAGCGCCGAACGAGCAAAGTTTTGGATCTTCTTTGGCATAGTCGCAGAGAAGAGAAGCGTCTGGCGTTGGCCCTTGAAAAATGAGAATATCGTGCGCACGTCCTCCTCGAACCCCATGTCAATCATCCTGTCAGCCTCATCCATGCACAGGTAGCGGCACATGTCCAGCGTCAGAATCTTCTTGTCTAACATGTCCATAAGACGTCCTGGCGTCGCCACAATAATGTGCACTCCTTTGGATATCACGTCCAAGGCCTCGCTTACTGGTAATCCGCCCATGGCCAAACAGGAGCGCACCTCAGGCATGCCGCAGGCCTGCAAGTGCTTGCTGTAGTGCTGAATAATCTCGTGCGTCTGCTTGGCAAGCTCCCGAGACGGGCAAATAATTAGTCCGTAGGGGCCCTCGTTGCGTTCAAAGGGCAAGCTGTACTCTTGCTCCAGAGCAAACATCACCACAGGCAGCACAAAGACTAGTGTTTTTCCGGAGCCGGTAAAGGCAATGCCAATTAGATCGCGACCCGCCAGTACAGTGGGCAATCCTTGAATCTGAATAGGTGTTGGAGTCTTGATTCCCTTGGCCGCGAGGCCGTTTAGAATGCCTTTGGGAAACTTCATCTCTCGGAAACTGCGGATTGGTGGACTAGGATTCTCTCCCTCGACAAGGATTCTCAGCTGCTGGCGGATCTGTTGCCGCTCCTCTTCTGGCATGGCTTCAATGTATCTGGGCGGTCGCCAGGAAGTCTTAATGGGTTCCTCGTACTGAATACCTTTCGCTAACTCTGCCACGCCCATCAGGGCCTTTTGTTGGGCAATGCTTTCCATGATCTTCTCTTCCTCGCGGAGCTGCTTTTCCACGGCGCTCAGTTTCTTGGCCTCGGCAATTTTCTTGAGCTCTGTATGTTGATCCAGCAGACTGATGTTATATTTCCGGCCATAGGTCTCCGCGTCGTGGGCTCCCTGGTAGTCATCATCGTTTTCATTTTCGCTGGATGACTTGGGCTGCGCCGTCTCTGAAGCTAGTTGTACGATACGGCCCAGTTTTACCATGTGCTGCTTTTTTCGTTCCTTCACCGGAACGTACGGCACGTAGTCCTCGTTGTCCTGCTCCCCGTCATCGGAGGACTTTGAGGATCTGCGGTATCGCTTTACTTGGGACATATCAGCGAATTGATTCTATGGTTTTTAATTTCATGCGATTGTAAACAAAACATATGAATATAAATTTGACATTCGCGTTGCAACGGCTTTATTAGTGTTACCAGGTTTATCAGAGTATCCATTTCAGGAGGATTAATATAGGTGTTTCCACTAGACAGGATTTCGAACATTGTTTGGTGATTTTAAAAATGTATTCAGAAATTTCGTATGGGTACAAATTATTTGTGTATTTGTTCTTAAAAAATATTCCTTCTCCATGCAAGAATATTAACTGTTTTATTGAAACTGATAATTAGATAACGATGACCCTGGAAGGAAAGAGTGAAACTTGTTACAATGTTATGAACCATTTTTGTTTTATAGATTGCATAATGTAATAATTTTCAAGAAATAACTACTTTAGTCAGTAATTAGGTTTAGAATCTCTATAGTAAGATCATTAAATTTATATGTGATTGTAAAAACGGTATTAAAATTGTATTTCTTGAAACTAGTATTCAATTTTAGACCGTATGGTATTTTAAGGCGATTTCGGCGCGGTCACACTCCTTTTCACTTTAGCGAGGCGAAATCTGTCACATTTTTGACAAAATTGTAAGTTTTAATAAATTCTTGTGCCAAATTCGCCCGTAACAACGCTTTACTCCCTCTCCAGTCGGTGATTAACTGTTTAATACTGCACTTGAGCATCGGTGAAACCCCGCAGACAGCAGACAGCTAAAACAACAGCACCAAGATGCCCAAGAATAAAGGAAAAGGTGGCAAGAACCGTCGTCGTGGTAAGAACGAGAACGAGTTCGAGAAGCGTGAGCTGATCTTCAAGGAGGACCAACAGGAGTACGCACAGGTGACCAAGATGCTGGGCAACGGTCGGCTGGAGGCAATGTGCTTTGATGGCGTCAAACGCCTGTGTCACATTCGGGGGAAACTTCGCAAGAAGGTGAGTGTGTGGAGCTCTGCTCTCTTTACATTTCGCCACTCTCTCTTTTAGCTCGCGTTCTCTTCGGCGGCTCTCTTGGGGTGTTTGCTCTGGCATTGATTGCCACCGAATGCGACGTATTTATATTTATTTATTTGTTGTGAACAAAATGCAAGTACATACAATGACAGGCTGTGGCTGTGTGTACCTTTGTTTTTGGGGGTCTTTTGCCAGTGCTCAACTAATTCGCAATTTTGTTGCTTCAACTTTTAGTAGTGCCTCGTCATTCGATTTACCTTCCCATCGTTGGCTTTCCATTGGTCCATTGTGCGTAGGAGTCACCGTCCTTGCTCCAGTAGATAAACAAAGGAGCGCTCGGGTCGTTATTCCCCTCTTAATACATAATACACATGTGCTTATGCATGTAAATGCCCTTCAAATAACGAGCATTGCGAATCAAACAATTTATTCATGGCAAATTTAATTTTCCTTAAATGTGTGATTTTTGTAATAGTATTAAAGATCTATAAGCGATTCCCTGGGGTTACTGAAAACTGATTTCATTCACACGGTTTTATTTACCTCGGAATTCCTTAAAACAGAATGACCACCATTATTTTGTTTATTACAGTTTACAATTTATAATTTTAGATTGAATACTTCCATTGTATCATACCGATTCCCGATGATAACTTTCAAATTATAAATTCATTTATAGTAAACACTAATGCTAAGCATGTAGTTATATATAATATGTTTTAAGTGAAACTCATTAGTATTCAAGGACAATGTTTATTTGATCACTTTTCTACGAAAGAATATGTTCATGTAGCCCATGTCTTCTCTGCATACACACTATTTATTGTATGTATTCGCCTGCATTTTAATGGCAACTTCAGTTACCTGATAACTACTGCGAAAATCCCCTGGGCAAGTTAATAAAAGTAGGTCTGCAGTTGCAGTTCTGTCCCCTTATCGCGCCTACCTGCGTCGGCCTTGTTCGTGGTCGAGGTAATGGTTCTATCCGAATAGCGATTAGATCGTGCTTCCTTTGAAAGGCATGAGCGCACGTCAGATTTTGGATGGTGCTTCACCACCCCGCAGGAGACGCGCGTCATAAATGCGATTTTCGATCGGCAACGTCAAGATTCCTAGCGTAACTAGTGACGTCTTCAGCGGCTGGCTGTCAAGTAAATGTACAAGACCAGAAGTGGAGTCCAATCAAAGATAAAGGAAATTAAAACAAGATGCTATAAATAAGGGAACGTAACCGAAAACTGAACGGGGAAGAACATGTTTCAGGTTAATTGGTAGACGCAGTCGAGCCGTAAATGCAAATAAGCGAATCGAAATCATTAATGGAGATAGCAATCATTGTTTGCCCTTCAAATTCCAATGATACTGGAGTTCTGTTTGCAACTTCCAACAATCACAACGATGAAATTCTCTTGGAACTCACTTTTAAAAAAGATTACCTTTTGAAATTTGTACTTCGAACAAATCCAGGTGAAAGAGTTTTAGTGCCACGTGAGTTGGAATAAAAAGAAAGAAAAACTCATTCAACATTCTGACTTGACAAATAATTCTTGGATCGAATTTCGGACATAGGGCTGAGTATCAGCATTTATCTAATCTCTTGCTGAAAGTCAAGCCGAAGACATTGCTACGAACATGTTTTATACCGCGACGCAATTTTTCGATTTCTAATTTGCGATTTAAATCTCCATGAAAGGGAATGTTAATCCTGCTTGATACCACCACCTCGGCCGAGAATTGGCTTATGTAAAATTTCGTTGTTGTTAGGAAGGTAGGGGATGCGCTCTGTGCAGGTGCCGTAATTAACATTCAATTAGCCCCCTTATCTCTCAAGTAGTTGGCGTCAGGAATTTATTACTAGATTTATGGGAGGTTCTTCAGTAGATGTACGACAGCTAAAACTTTTTCAGTTCGAATTTCCCCGAAAATAAGTGTTCTTTACCTTGAATTTATCTGTAGAATTTAATACACTTGCTAGTATAGCTAGGAAACCAGGAAACAAAAGTAAATTCCATACAGTTTAATAAATAATATTACATAAATATAAATAATGTTGACATAATACGCATTAAACAGTGGTTATTGATTATTCTCTGTTCCTGTGTATATATTTTTTATTTAATTTCTTTTATTCGTTATCTTTAGCCAAGAAAATCCATAATAATTGATGTGATCATTGCACACTATTTGAATACCTCATGGCCTCCTTGTGTGGGGCTTCACCTGCGCTATCTTCGGGTCATCTGTCAAATTGAATAATTAATAATTCCGAGAATCGCGGAATTACAACTTTCTGCCAGCCCAATTACTCAGTCTTTCCGAGGGCTCAAAGTGCAACAGTTGGACGACTCCAAGGTTCAACGAGCTCGCCGCGAGATGTCTAGACCCAATTTTCGGTGGCAGTAAACAATAGAAGTGCCATACTTTCCCCTCGAATGTCAGTCAATCATCCAGAAGCCAGCTGATGGCCCCAATTTAGCGCGCTTTACGAGCTTCCTGCTAATCTACTAACAGATCCTAATCTTCTGACATGCTCTGCATGCGCTCTCTCCATTCCCTTTTTCGGCCCGACGTGCTGCTCGTCGGGAGCATGACTAATGCATGGCGAGGCGCTAGCGGATTGTGTATGCTTGCCACCCCTCTGAACTCCGCCAGTTCCGCCCTCAGCAACAGGCAACCAACTGGAATCTTATCTTCGTTGGCTTATTTCACAATTAGCTCCCACTTGGGCCAGAAGGAATGCCTTCTCCGCCTTCTCCTTTCAATTAAATCTGCGCAATTTGCTTAGGTCCGCACTGTAAGTGGAGCATTCCCCAATGGAGCGATTATAATTAGATAAAAAGAAAAGGTTGACTTTCTTTTTTCGTGATCCCTTTGCTATTGCTCTATTTTCGTACATATTTGCTTAGCTAGATAGCTAAAAATAAGAAGGGGTTTTCTCTTTAAGTATTCACAATTTTATTCATGTTTTTGTTTGCTTAAACTACAACTTAAGTTACTAGAATCAGAGGCAGTATACAATTCTATATTTGTTCGTCTTAATCGCCTAGTGAGATTAGCTAGAGAATCTACATATTTTTCTTTGGGATTTTTGCATCTTTTGTATTTTTTTTTCAGTTTTCAGTTTTACTTTTTCGATATCTTCACATTCGAGCTCATTTTCGTGGGTTCATCCATCCCTCCTTCCGCCCATCACCTTACATGATCTGGGTGGCTGTGCTGATGACTTGGTTGATCCAGTCCGTAAAGGCGGAGACTCGGACAAAGACCGAGGGAGCGTTCTTCTGGCCGCAGGGCATCTTGCCCCAGGACACGATGCCGATGACAATGTTGGCCTGCTCGAAGCGCTCCTCGCAGCACTGCTGTATGAGCGGTCCACCGGAGTCGGCGGTGCAGATACTAACGCCGCCGGTCAGGGGACCAGTGCACAGGTTCGTCTCGTGCAGTTGGAGTCCGGAGCGGGCGAGGATCTGCTCGCACAGCTCCATGTCTAGGATGGGCATGTTGGCCTCCTGCAGTCGGTGCGGATAATTGGGAACGGCCGTCATGGAGACATTGCCCCAGCCGTACAGGGTTCCGTAGCCATCGGGCTGGGCATCCTGCTCCGGCAGTGTCGCTGGCTGGACGTAGTTGTCGAAGACGAGCGGCTCCTTGGTGTAGATCAGGGCGATGTCGTAGGGATTCACTCCGCCCAGGTAGAGCTCGTGGCGCACGTAGTAGTCGATGTGTCGCATTTGGATGTTGGCTGCCTCTCCCCTCTGGTCGTGGATATCGTGGCTGCCCGCCACAATCACCGAGTTCTCCACGGTCTGGGGTGAACTGAGGCAGTGGGCCGCCGTCAGGATCCAGTGCTCATTGATGACAGTGCCGGCACAGTAGTGAACCAAGCCCTGGTCGGGTGTCATCATCTGGATGCTGACCACGTAGGGCGCCGAGTGGGGAGTCGCCTCCCGCTTGGCCAGGAACTTCTTGCTCCAGTGCGTCTGTCGCGGTGCTTCCAGAGTGCTAATCCGGTTCTCCAGCAGCCCGTAGGCAGCTAGGTTCATGGCCATGGTGTGGGCTGCTCCAGTGCCGCTGCCGCCGCACTTGCGGACGGTGGGCAGCTGCATGGAGCCGGATGAGGCTGAGCTGAGCACCACCATAATGCTGGCTATGGTGGTCAGCAGGACCGAGTAGATGCATCGGTAGGATAAGAGCATGATGTCCTCGCTCTGGTAGCACGCGCCGCACGAACCAGTTGAGTAGTAGTAAGTAATTTTGACGGATTTGGGGTTTGGTGGGCGCGATTCGTTGGGGATTCGATCGCGACTGTGTTTAGCTTTTCGCCCTTGCTTTGGCGTGTCGATAGCACTTCACTTGTATTCCGCTTCGCTTTGGCATGGAATTCACTTTTTGCGGCCCGATTTTGCCGTTTTTCTTGTTTGAGGTGTCTCTTGCTTGGTGCCGGTTTTCAATTTGCCCGACGCCAACGAGTGGGCCTGTATTTATAGGGAGGTCTCTCCGCAGAGAGGTCCCCACCATTGGTGGCTCCTTATCGCCAAGAAAGCGGTAGGGAGGTGGGTTCTCTCTCGCCCATTATCGTTCGCTATCAGTGACGAGCGGCAAGATAGCGAAAATTCGGCGAGTGCCAATCGTTTTTCTGAGGTTCTGCCTTGCCCGCGAATTGTCCTACCTCTGTGAGAGATGGCCCTCTAATCGGTCGTAATCTCCACTAGCTTGGCTCTCGATTATGTAAGACCAGTGCGTACCCTTAGATAAGAAAAGCGTGGCAAGCAAACACTAACTTTGTCCTGCATTGGAAATTCATGCTGGACACAATAACATAATTATGCGAAATCATATTAAAACATTTTATAAAATTCTCCATTTCTGGAACATATGACCGTTATAGAACCGTTTATGACGCACTGAATTCCAACCGAATTGGGCCGAATTATGGTTTAGCCCACTGAAAACAATATCTGTTGTGAATCAGCGTATAAATGTTTATAGCTTTACAACTTGAAGGCTCAGAGTGAATCGGATTTAATGGAATGTTTCGATATATTCATGAGCGATTAGGGAACGGCGTTCAAATTGCCTTTTCCTTACCCTAATGCCAAGGCCAAGATTTCTCAAAAAAAAACCAGTGCAAACCTGTGCACAGACTGGCCGATAAGAATCGGAAGTTCAATGATGTCTATGGCTATATATAGTATAATATCGAGACCTGCTGCCTCGAATACCAAACCCCTGACGGGGCAAACACACACTCGATCACTTACTCATTGGCACACCACATTGCAATCAATCGAGGAACTGGGGCTTCCCGGCCAGCTGCCTTCGCTGGGGATTGTGTGTGCCCATCTAGCCAATTGCTTCGCTTATCTCCTGGGGATCGTAATAGGGCAATTTCGATTCAATTTAGTCACGCCTTTCGCATTGGCATGATCTATCGTGTTTGGTTTTCCGCGACCAAGGGAATACTCTGGGAAACAGATAGTGATGGCGCGACGCCATCTACTTGGTTATAGTGGATGATAAATACTCCAAAGTTCGTTTATTGGTTTATTTCTAGCGGGCGTACGTAATGAGGGAATTATTCGCGCGCGGCTACTGTCGTCGCTCCGATTCCGTTTAATTTATTTTAAAGCCCACCCTTCTCGGGCTCGTATCGTCGCTTATCGATCCATACGTGGTCAGAGGAGCCTATCTATGTGTCATCCTTGGCTTTTGGAATTTATATTGCAGTATTGGCGGTAGAACTCACTACCGACAGGAAGTATTAGAGGAGAGGAAGTGAATTTATGAATGAATTGGAATGTATTGAATCACTCCACGAATGCAGCTTGTCGCAGGTCGTTGACTTCGTCGACGTTTGCGTTGAGTTCACCAGTCCGTAGGATCTTCCCTTGACGTCACAAATGGGAAAATCTCAATCCTCCTGCGTAATTCGCATCTGATTAGGGGAATGTTTGCTCAAGAGGCTTTTGCTGCTTGTGATCTAGGCTGAGATATAACGCAGCACCGAATTTCGGTCAGCTCGTGATTGGCTTTGAGATATGTCAGGGAACGGGTTATCTCTTCGGTAGCGAAATTCTCCGTCTTTCGTGGAATTAGCCACTGCCATTCAAGTCACAAGCTATCTGTGCTATGTGACTCCTAACGCATTTTGGGGCGTGTTCTGGTCTAATCTGAGTTCCTGCACCGCACCCTCTTGTTTTATCACTGATCGAGTTCCACTTGAAGCGTGCTGATTGCGATCCACGAGGAGTTAATTATTTCAAAAGTCTCGTGAGCTCCTCCCTCTCAGCCTTGTGAAATTGCCCCCAAAACAATGTCCACCGATTCGCTCTTTTTATTGAATATTTATTTTCGTATTGAGTAGAACCTTCTTCTTTGCCAAGGTCAGTTTGCGAGCATGCCACAATCGTTGCGCACGTTTGTGAAATTCCCAAGAACCGAGGGGTCTTTGCTCTACGCCATAGATCAGTTATCTTTTATCTACTATCTGTGTTACACGGAATTCGAGCTGCAGAATTGTTGTTTGCTTTTCCCCAAGAGGAATTACTCACAACGCAAAAATACGTGGTCTTTCCCAAAAAAAAAAGTTCAAGATAACAGTGTTTTTAAGAAGCATTCCCTCTTTACTCTCGTTTCAGGTGTGGATTAACCAGGGCGACATTATATTGGTCGGATTACGAGACTACCAGGACTCGAAGGCGGACGTCATCCTGAAGTACACTCCGGACGAGGCCAGGAACTTAAAGACGTACGGCGAGTTCCCCGAGTCGGTGCGCATCAACGAGACAGTCACATTCGTGGAGGACGGCTTCGACGAGGACATTGAGTTCGGCGACGAAATCAGCTCGGAGGACGATGCCGATTCCGTTGACAACATCTGATTAACAAGAAACAAGGTGACGTCGGCAGGGACGGCGGCAGGGGCAGCACCAGTAGCAGAGTCACTTCGAGAATAGGGAATTTAACAAATTGTAAAAAGCAGAAGCAGCGAGTAGACCGAATCCTGTTCGAGAGATCCAAGCAGACCATCCAACCAATCAATCCAATATCCACAGTGGCGGCGGCGGAGAGAGAAGCAACAGAAACCAAAACGGACGGCGATCAAACTTTCTTTATTCAGTTAGTTAGTGTAAAGCCAAGGTCGATATTCTATAAAATTTCTCGAAGCTTTTATTATTCAAGTAAAGTAAGTTCAAAAATTCAAACGATTCAAATTATTTACGGCCGCCGTTAAGCAACAAAGAAGAACAACAAAGTGTGTAAAACAAATAGTGAAACTGTTAAGCAGAGCAAAACAATGCAGCTTTCCCTTAACATTATTTGAATTAAAAAAAAGGAAAAACAAACGGATATAGTTATTATTTTACCCAAATGAAAAAATTAATCAACAATGAAAAATGCAGTAATTAAGTAAACTTACAACTCATACAAATATGTATAGGAGTTTAGAGCAAACAATAACACTAATGTCTAAGGCAGGAAGGTGATCGTGCGTATGAACAAGAAGGAGCAGGTTAGGGAGTTTCAATTGTAGCTAGCGAGTAAGCAAAATCAATCCATGAGTTCTCTCCAGATGAATCTGGTCTCCATCCACCACCCCTGAAGTGTTCCTTCCCAGCATTTCGTCTCACGTTTTGTTTACCCTTAAACATAAACTTTTTTTATATTTGAATGGTTGGTTCTTTATAGCGACATCTCATATTCCGAAACCCCCTTTTGTTTTTGCTGTCCGTGCATTCAGTGTCCTCTCTATTTTAGTTGTAATCGAATTCGAAACGAGCGGGATGAATGTGTAAGGAGTACCCAGACTATTATTGATTTTTGTAATGAGTTGAACTCCAAATAAATGGCGTTGATTAACCCGAATGCAAAACAGCAAAGAGCCCCAGTCGTTTTCACTTCTGCTCAAGTTCAAAGGGCGCTTAGTTACAATTCAAGCTACAGTTTATTTGTTAAATGCAGGTTAATTCGAACATTTCAAGTGATAAACCTATCCCGACTCATTTGGCACTGCCGCGACACACCTCTTACAGCTCCTCGTGCCGCGAGGGGAACTTCTTGAGGATTGCATGGTAAAGGTTGTAGAAGGCGTACACTGAGACCGTGATGATCACCAGCAGAGCTCCCCCAAAGGCAATGCTCAGGAAGTTGCCATCGATGATGCCCGCCGATCTGTGCCGCTTGGTGGAAAATATCTCCTCCGTGGTGGCGGGATTGTTCTGCTGCTGGGCCGTCCGCTCCGCCATTAGCCGCTTCATGGTGCTCAGGCGTTCCCGCAGCACCTCCACGGATTCCGAGTCCAGGTCTGATGTTCCTGCGGAAAGTTGCAGAGTCGTGTGGCATGGTCAAGGAAATAGAATAACAATAAAGGTGTGTGGTTACCAGTTGACTGGGAGGCGGAAGCACTGGGATATGCAGACATTATCAACTCCTTATTAACTATTCTATTTTATTTGTGCAAATGTTGCAGATGAAGCTGGTCAGAGTCTTTTCTGAGGTTTTGGGGTGGGTTCTCATACTTGCTAAGAACTATAAATGCGACGCAGGCGCGATACGAAAGCAAGATATTAGGGGTATTCACTCAAGAAATCAATTATTTTTCAAGATAAACTTTTGTTCGCCAACCTTTAAACTGAAAAATAAAAAAAAAATATTTTATTTTAATACTTAGTAATGGATTGCACTCAACCAAAAATATGACCGAGGTTTCTTTTATTTTATAGTAATTCCAAAATTTAAAAAAAAAATTAAAATTATTGCTTAAACGGGGTTTAATCTTCTCAAACTTTATTATCCGTTTTAACAACTTTTTATTGAGAAACAAAAGTTGAAGCGCTATCCTAGCCTCCAACAGCCGATGGCCATACATTTCAAAGGATATTCGGGGATATTCCTATGCCTGGTGAATTTGCTAACCGAATCACGTCCGTAAATACTCTTCTATCGTATCAATTCAGAATTGAATGATCGGTCACCCTGCCATGGCGCCGCACTGGCTGTCCATCCAAGACTGCCGACAATGACCACCAGGCAGCTGGGGAGAAAGGGCTTCTGGATGGGACATTCGACTATAAAATCTTCCTAGCTTACCTCAAGTATGCAGGGGGATTCATCTTGTTACTGAAGTTCTAGATTTGATTAAAAGTCAAGACTGATGGCTGATCCAACAAATGGTCCTGTTTTATAGGACCTCTTATCTTTCAAAAGAGATGTAATACCACACACTTTAATATTAATTAAAATTAAAAGTCGAATTCCATGTAAGAATTCTTGGAACACTTCATTTGTACATTACTTTTTATATTTATTTACTTATTTATTACCTTGAAACTGTACCTGCAACTGGCGTTTTTAAATTGCATTTTTTTATAATGTAATATATTAGGTGCTAATAATGAAAACAATTACAAACAAAATAATGAGATGGTAAGGGGCTCTGGCTCGTATATTACTACAGGGGTCAGAGGTAATTCAACGCAGTTAAATATTTTTCCAGACTTTCCAAAGAAATCAACTCAATGGAATGCAAGAATTCTAGGAACTAAAACTTGGCCATATTAGCCAAAAAATAAGAATACATCAAAGTTTTAAAGTTTAAAATTTAAACTCTTTTAAAAGGAAAGCTACCTTCGGCAAGCTAAAAACTTGCAGTTTGCACCTGAATCAGGGTGCCACGTTTTAAATCGACCATAACTAAGCAAAAAAAACATTATTTTTAAGACAGTAAGGTTTTTTGTTTGTCTACATTACGTTAATAAATCTAAACCGTGATGCCATACACTTAATAAATGTTGACTGCCAAAAGTCAAGTTTGTGAAAGTGCGCCTATCTACAAATACATATAATATAATAAATAGATTTTAATCAAAATTAAGAATATGTTAAAAACAATGAATTTATATTAATATTCATTGCATTTGCATCATTACAGTCATACATAAACAAATCGTTCCTATGACAGCTTTATGATATAGTTGTCCAGCTAAAATAATTACTATATATATATATATATAGTTGTCCGATTTTTAGAATAGTAAAAGCAAAATTCTTAAACTAAAAAAAGTAACAATATCTTTGAGCGAGCAAATAACAATAAATGAGAATCGGCGAAACTAAATTTTTCCTTGTTCAATTTCGAGCGATTGCTTGGCATGTATTTGATACATATATTACAATAGTAATTTGATTTGAATCTTCTGTACCCCTGACTAAAATTATAATAATCTGCAATGGTATAAAGACAAAAACATGTAATACAAATTTTACGAAAAGGTTGACATTTGTATGACACTTTATATTCTTTGATTCGCACAATTTCGTCATCTATTTTGGCGGTTTTGAGTTTGGGTAACACTCAGTGATGCGACTTAAGCCGTTTTTAGCTACTTTTCTGTCCGAAAATGATGGCAGCACTGCTGAAGTGGGGCGGTCACACTACGTAAACACGTGAAACGCGCTCTGTTTATTTCGGTTTGATTTGTTATTTAGATGCTGCAAAATGGGCTTAACTAAACAATATTTGGCGTACAGAGCTATAGATAGCTTTAATATCATCTCATCCGGACGCGCCAATGTGAACTTTGCCGTTGTCGACAAGACGGAGGGTCGGTATGTGGCCGCTCCAGCCGCCGAGAATGTAATTCTGTGGGACCTGCGGTGAGTTTTGAGCACTTGTCCTTTAAAAACCAATTCCTATTAAGCAGTGACTTATTCGTAGAATGGGGGACCGCAAGCTGACGCTGCGCCGCGAGAAGGTTGAGGTCACCTGCCTGCGTGTGTCGCCGGATCATCTGCACATTGCCGTGGGCTATGCGGACGGCATGGTTCAGATCTTCGACATTAGTTCGGAGCGTTACTTCGATCCCATCTGCTCGCTGGCGCTGCACAAGAACGCGGTAAGCGTCCTGCGGTACGATATGCAGGGCATGCGATTAGTTAGCGGTGGGCTGGACACCGAACTTCTGGTCGTTGACGTCGTGGAGCAGGCGGGCAGGGCGAGACTAAGCGGCCACAATGCCGCCATTACGGACGCTCACTTCCTGCAGCGCCTGGTGGAGGAGAGCGTCGTGGTGAGCTGCTCGAAGGACACACAGATTAAGTTTTGGAATTTGGAGACGCAGTTTTGCTTCAAGACCATCGTGGATAACCGCACGGAGGTATGGGCTCTGGCCTTTATCGGCGATTTAATGGTGGCGGGAGCCGGCGAGAGCGGCATGAACGTGTACCGCCTGAGGAAGCAGGAGGGAGCAACAATAGCCGAGACCCTGGAATCGGCCGTAGAGGGCCTGTCTATAGACGACGAGGACACGATAAGTCCCATCAGCGTGAGCAACTGCGGTACCATTCAGCGGGCAGGCAAGGGACGCACCGTTAACTTGGTGACCGACCCCAGCGAGCGGGTGCTAAGCTGCCACGGCACCAACGACCTAATCGAAAACTTCTACATCTGCACGCCGGAAGAGGTAAAAAAGCGGCTCAGCAAGCGCCTGAAAAAGGAGAAGAAGGCCGCCGAGGAGGACGCATCTGGTGATGGTGCCAAACTCTGCACTGAGCAGTCGCTGAGCGACGAGATCAAGCGGTTGGAAAGCGTGCGAGCCAAGCAGAAGATCAAGTCCATCGATGTGGTCTTGGGACAGAACCAAGAGCTTCGTGTTCTGGTCAGTCTGGCCAACAACAGTCTGGTGCTATACTCCCTGGAAGCTTCTATTAAGACGCGCAAGGCAGCCGATCCCAGCGTGAAACTGCTGCGGTCACTCACCCGTCTTGGCCACCAGTCCGAGGTGCGAACCGTGTGCTTTAGCAACGATTCCCTGGCCATTGGCTCGGGAGCCGGGGAATCCTTCAAGTTCTGGGACCGCGATGCCATGCAGTGTCTGCGCACAGTACCGACGGACTACATCCTCTGCTCAAGGTTCGTGCCGGGCGACCACTACGTGCTGCTGGGCATGAAAAGCGGCAAACTGCTCATTGTTGATGTGGCAGCAGCCGATGTCGTGGAGGAGATCCCAGCGCACGACAGCGAGTTGTGGTCCATTGCCCTGCTACCCGATCAAAAGGGATGCGTCACCGGAAGCGGAGATACCACAGTGAAGATCTGGACATTCGAACTGATCGACTCGGGCGAGGACGCCGCGCAGACCAAGGTGCTGTCCCTTCTGCACAAGAACACACTCAAGCTAGAGGAGACCGTGCTCTGTGTGGGCGTCAGTCCGGATATGAAGTATCTGGCCGTGGGCCTGCTCGATGCCACCGTCAAGGTGTTCTTCCTGGACACCTTCAAATTTTACCTGTCTCTGTACGGCCACAAGCTGCCCGTTCTCTGCCTGGACATATCCTATGACTCTAATCTAATCGTGACCGGATCGGCGGACCGCAACGTGAAGGTGTGGGGCCTCAACTTCGGCGACTGTCATCGCTCCATCTTCGCCCATGATGACTCCGTGATGAGCGTGCAGTTTATACCGAGGACCCATATGTTCTTCACCTGCGGCAAGGACGGCAAAGTAAAGCAGTGGGATGGCGACTCCTTTGAGAAGATTCTCACCCTGCCCGGCCACATAGGTGAGGCGTATTGCCTGTCTGTGTCGCCCAACGGCCGGTACCTAGTCACCTGCGGCTCCGATCGGACACTCCGGATGTACGAGCGCACGGACGAGACGATTGTGTTGAAGGATGTTCAGGAGGAGGAGCGCGAGCAGCTGGAGAACGAGCAACTGGCCACGGGCGAGGACAATGCCGTGCCCTTGCTTCCTGGTCTCAAGATGCCATCCCGCAAGACGGTGGGCTCGGAGCAGTCCGCCGAGTCCGTTCTAGAGTGCCTGGAAATTTGCAAGCAGTTCGAGCTTGAGTCTGAAGAGAAGCCGGAACTGCATCCCCTCATGCAAGCTCTGCAGGCGAAGAACCCCGTCGACTTCCTGGTCAGCACACTCGTGCGGATACGAGCCTCCGATCTGGAGGAGGCGCTCTTGTTGCTCCCCTTTTCCAACGTGTGCGAGGTGCTGGAGCGCCTGCCCACCCTGCTGGCCCAGCGACCCGATCAACTGGAGCTGCTCTGTCGCGTCACCATCTTCCTGTTCAAGGTGCATATGAAGCCCATTGCGGCGGCCAAGACCATGAAGCCGCTGCTGGTCAAGCTGCTCTCCATGCTGAAGCGAGATGTCGGTCAACTTAGGGACATCTTGGGCTGGAACTTGCACGGCCTGGCCCTGCTCCAGACCGAGGTGGAGCAGCGCGAGGGCGTCCAGCTCTTCCGAGAGGCGACGCAGGCGCGCAAGAAGCGCGACAAAAGGCGCAGGGAAGCCGGCAAGCGGCGCCTGCAGATCCAAATGCTCTGAGGCAGAATCCTCTTGTATATTGTATTTGTAATAACGTAATAAAAAGGCTAGTTAGTGTATGGTACAAGATAATTTGTGGATTTACTGGATCTACATATATATTCTGTGAACATCATCAATTTTTTGGGAGTACTGCGCCACAATTCGTTAGCGAATCGATCGCTGGAAGACTTTCAATTTTCTATGGACACAGAGACATGGCAATCGGGTGGCGGTAGTAATTCAGGTGCAAAGAGTTCAGATTGCCAAGCGAGGAGCGCCGATCCCCAGATATTTAAAAGCAACACAAACGTCGACTGGAAGATTTTGGACTAAACACGTAACATAAAACGAGGGATTCGCCTGCCACTCCGAGTGAACTGCGAGCTTAACAAATGCCTGCTTTGGGGAAACCATCGCCGCCGCCAGTTCCACAAGGACCTGTGTGCGATCATTAAAGGTTACTGGAAAAACGGAAAAAGTTTAAGTATGAAAGGTTACCGCCACAACGTTGGAAGGCACCGGGCGGCCCGTAGCTGAGCTTCTGAATCGTGCACTTCTCAATGGGACCAGATGGCCGGCAGTAGGAGGTGTATCTGGCCCAGGGCAGCGGCTCCTTGGGCGGAATGCAGTTGGGCAAGTAGCTGAGCTTGTACGTGGTGCACTTCTCCATCGGGCCCTCGTTGCGGCAGAAGCCCTGGCGCGGCCGGACGGACTCGGCCCGTGGGAAGCAGGTGACATCCACCGGCATGTACGACAGCTTGTTCACAGTGCACCGCTCCATGGCACCGGTGGGTCGACAGAAGGCGGTGCGCGGCATGATCGGTGCCCGTCGCACATGAGGCTTGGCTACAAAGTCGTGCTTCTGGGTGGTCATCGCATACATGGGTCCGTCGAAGCGCAGCCCGTTCTCCATCGGGCGGATGGGCGGAGTCCGCTCTGTACAATTTGGCTGGTAGGAGAGCTGACAAGCAAAGGTATTCGGTTAGTTTTCCTGTCTAATGAAGCTATAGCTATGGGTGTGCACTACCTTCTGAATGGTGCACTTCTCCAGCGGGCCTGTGGGCCGGCAGAAGGTGTCTCTGGGCAGCACGGGCTCCGGCTTGGTTCGCGAAGCATCCACCGGCATGTAGCTCAGCTTATAAACCGTACTGGCGGTACCGGAATCGTTGCCGCAGAAGCGGAGCGTCGTCAGCGGCATCACCGGAGCAGTGCGCGCCTCATTGCAGTTGGGCATGTAGCTCAGGTTGTAGGTGGTGCACACATTCGAGTAGCGCGGCGGCACACATCGGATCTTGTCGGCCCAGGGAGTGGGCTCCTTGGCCGGCAGACAGACCGGCATGTAGGACAGCTTCTGGATGGTGCAGCGCTCCATGGGTCCCGCTGGCTTGCAGTAGTGGGAGCCCTGGGTCATGGGCTTGGGCGGCGGATTCTGGCACACGTCAATTGGCATGTAGCTCAGCTTCTGGATGGTGCAGCGCTCCATGGGGGCGTTTGAAGTGCAGATGGCCACCCGCGGCATTATAGGATCCCGCTTGACTATTCCCTTGGGCACGTAGTCGTGCTTCTGCGAGGTCATCGCATAGATGGGACCCTCAAAGCGTAGCCCACTCTCCATGGGAATGATGGGCGGTGTCCGCTTCACCGGACAAGGCGGCATGTATGACAGCTTCTGGATGGTGCACTTCTCCAGCGGCGCGGTGGAGGCGCGGATCTGGGAACACGGCATCACGGGACGGGCCCTGAAGTTGTCGCCACAGTTGGCGTAGTAAGAACGCCGGTAAATCGTGTCCGTGTCCAGTGGCGCCGTGGAGCGCATAAAGTGCGACTTGGGCACAATGGGCATCGTGCGAGCCGGCTGCTGATAGCAGCAGCCTGCGTAGTCACCGCAATCGCACGGCGGACATGTCGACCCCGGCGGGCACGGGGAGAAGTCGGTCGGAGCCTGGCAGGGATCGCCAGCATTGGCGCAGTCGCCCGACATGGCAATAAACAGTGGTAACTTACGGTCGGGGGAAGGGAACAGAACGCCGAATGGTTGTGGAACTCAACGGAAACTGCGCAACTGCCGAGGAAAATAATTTTGGCTTTGCTCGGATGGAATCGGAGAACGGAGACACTTCCAACACGACGAAAGGTAATTTGGCTTGGACAGACAGAACGGTGACGACGAAAGGTTTCCCGATGTGTTCTATGTATTTAGAGAATATCCAATGAGTTGGGAACATGCTCCTCCCTCCAATGAGTGAAGTTGAAAGCCCAGCCCACCCAGGCAAACTGGATACGAAACATTTAGTTATTTGTTTATCATCTTCATATATTTCTGGCTTGCATTCTCCATTTCTAGGCGGATATCCTGATACTCTGATAGGTTTCGACAAGATGGGTCCTACAAGGGCTTGTGGGGCACATGGAACACGCGGGAACTTCAACAAATAATATAAATACACTGAATATTCATCAAACGGGTTTGCATAATTAATTGGAATCTGGTAAATGTGCCTAACTAGCGCGTCTAACTAACTCGATTTTAATAATTAAACATTTATAGAAATCACGTAAAATATAACTTATTTACAATGGTTTTGCCTGCTGCTCGCCTATACATATATGTATATTGGGGGCTTAGGCGAATACTTAAGGGATCAGCAAACAATATCGAATAAATACAAACAGTTCCTTTTGCGGCTTCAACATAAAATCATCCAATTGAATCCCGTGTATAAGCGGGGTGGGTATAGGAAGGGGGAAGGACATCTATCAATTGGCTTACAAATTATTTTGGTATAGGGCGAGTCTTAGACTACATATTCTCGTGATATTTCGTCGCACAGGATATAGCAAAAATACAATATTATGTGTGGTGTATATAAGTTTCAGTTCGCTTGACATCTCTTCTCGCTTTTCGACACTAACTATCGCTAATCGCTAATGATCGCAGACTGCGCTCGCGGTTGTGGGTGGCTACAACGTGGGCAGAGTGCTAGGCACCTGGTCGATGAAATTGGCCGGAAACTGGCCCTGACGACCCGCCACCTCGCCATACAGCCAGTCCTCGTTTATTCTATAAAGCACGGTAACCCTTTCATTTTCCTGCAGGCAGACAAATGTTTCGTTAAGTTTTCAGAAAAGAACTGGGCTCAGAAGAAATGTATTACCTGCAGGGCTAGATCTCCTTCGACACCGCCGGGAAAGTGGTACAAACAAATGGCTGTGGATGAAGACGAGGTTGCAGCAGGAGCAGGAGCAGCAGCTCCACCACCACCAACGTTACCAGTGGCTCCCAATGGCACTTTTATGTCCACATAGTTGATCGGAAAGATACCCACGCAACCGGAACGCGTGCGTCCCCGCATCCACTCCGCCGTTGGCTGGTCCAGCAAATAGATCTTTTCGCTTTCCTGCAAGCAGACAACAGAGTTAGGAGACACTTATTTGGAAACTCCCTTCGTATGCGTTACGACTTACCCTGAAGCTGAGGTCCCCCTCCTCAACGCCATCGAAATCGTACAGAGCGATGGCGTAGGGAATGACCTCCTCCTCGATGTAGCCCTGGCATCCGTTGCTTAGCGCAATGGCATCTACTTTGCCTGCGATCACGTCCAGCATCGATATGCCACCGGTGGCCGACGACGTTGGCGGCGGCGGTGGTGGTCCCTTGGGCATGGGTGGCGATGGTGGGGTCTCCGAGCCACCGTAGCCTGACGGCAACACATAGCCTGGTGGAATGCCTCCAACGAACGGTGGTGGCTTTGGTGCCTTTGGTTTCTGAGATATTTTCGGCTTGATGATGGTGGGCATGGTCAGAGACTGTGTCGGCGGCAACAGGCTCTTGCCATTGCACAGCGGGTTGTCCGAGCTGCGGCTCTGCAGCTGGTACGTCTGGCGCACTGGGGCAGAGCCGAAACTGTCCACTGCGCCGTGCCCAGCACTGTCTACCGCCTCCCAAGGATCCAACGGGCTCTGTGTGGATGGCCGCGAGCGGTGGTAGTCGTCCTCGAACCCGCTCTCTGGCTGCGAAACGCTTCCGTTGTTGGGAGAACTGAAGTTGCTGTCGGAGCTGAAGCTATCCACGCTCACGCAGTCGCTGTTGGACTTCTGGGTGAAGGTCGGCGACGAGGGAGGCGAGTCGAAGCTGATAAGTTGCCCCTCACTCACGCTCGCACCGATGGTCTGCTGGGAGGAGTAATGAGCGCTGCTACTGTGGCTGCTCGCGGTGGTGGTGGTAGTGTTCCAGGCGTCATTCCAATCTACATTGCTAAACGCCGCGCTGGCTGCCGCTGAGGAGGCACTGGTGGTGGTGTTACTGCTGGATGTCCGGGCATGACCGCTGCTCAGGCCGTAGACGCGACTCTGCGCTGCGGCCTTAGAAGCAGCGGTGGGTGCCGTGGACATGGACTTCTTCCGATGAAAGATGTTCGAGATTAGACTGCTCCCGCCGGCGGCCGCCGCTGGCTGCGAGGAGGTGGATGTTTTCTGTCCGTTAACAAGTACCCTCGGCGGCGGCGGTCGCGGCGGGGGCATCTTCTTGAATCGATCATTCCCGTTGGTCCCGAATGGATCGTCATCCCAGTTGGTGGCCGGCGTGTAGCGCGCCTGCGGAAACTTTCTTGTGATGCTCGATCCTCCCGTTCCAGTCTGCTCATCGAACAGGCTGCTATTGTTGTTGTTGTGGGTGGGGCGCTTGTGGAGGGAGTTCTGCGTCTGCAGTGGCCCCTTTGGTGGCGGCGGCAGCTTGATGGTCAACTTCTGGAGTCCACCGCCACCCGCCTGCTGTTGCTGCAAGTGCTGCTGCTGGAGCTGGAGGCGCAGCTGCTCCAAGCCGGCGTTAGCTCCAGCCGCGGCCGTCTGGCCACGAGAACCGGGCGGAGCTGGCGCTGGTCTCGATGGAATGGTCATGCTGCCTGCGAGTAAGAAATAGCAAAAACGAGTTAATTAGCTGCAGAGCATGGCAGACTGATAAGTAGCGTCTCTAATTAAACATGCAAAAATGGTTTTCTTATCGCGGACATTCGGGTTTGATAAGGCCGCTGTCGTGCAGGGCCCAGAGAAGAACTGCTGATGACTCACATTTGTGTCAATAATATTTTTGTAAGACTTTTCTACTCGAAATTTCAAAGACCCATGAATTTTTGAAACTTCAAAGAGTTTACTGAGCTTCTGTGCCCCAACAATCACATTTACCTGGAAAGCAGAAACTTGCTATCTTATCGCAAGTCGTGTGGCAAACCAAAAACAGAGATTGGGGGACAATAAGTTAACTGTCGATGGGAAATTCTATACAACAAAATAACGTTACCAATGTCCAAAAAATAGATTAGAAGCTCTTTTTTAGTCACAGTAAAATTTTCAATATCAACCTACACATTTTTTATCTGTTATAAGTTTATCTTTTAAGTAGTAAAAGGTTTAAGATACTTTAACCGAATCAAGGGAACAACAAGAAAATATATTTAAAATTCCGATTAGATTTTGGCAAAAGACACTAGAATTTTATTAAAGTAAAAAATAAAATAATTGTGAAAGGCCTCAGGACTCTTGCCTACTAATTTTATTGATAACTAAAGTGGCTTTTCCGACAGGGAATACAATCGGGGACTCATGTAAGGCAACTACTTAGAAGACCTTACTTAGATAACACGAACGAAGAGATTTTCAACTCCCAACACCTTCTCATTATGTCCATAATCACATAATAAAAAGCCTGCAAAGCAAAATAATCAATCGACAGATCAGAAAAATACTCTTTTATTGTTTTGTGTTTACGATGCAATTGGCAAATACAAAAACTAAATAAAAGACTTGTTGTTTTTCTTGGGGTTTTTTGAACCATTTACGTCACCTTCCCATGGGCGCTGGTCCCGCCCACAAAAGGCTCTTCTGCTAATTACGGAGGTCGTTCTATTTCTGTTTTACTCATTTTTTACACAGCACACACCCTGCGAATAGTGAAAGCATGATTATGATGATATCAGCAAAAGCGGCGTAGTTTCCAAATTAATGCCGAACCACAAAACAAGTAGGTGGAATCTGGAGTGTGCACCAGTTACGACGACTGGGTTGCAGCTGCCCCAGTTGCCGGACAGTCGGTGCCCGGCACATGGCGGAACCAATCCCAGCCGATCAACAGATGAACAGAACTGCAAGTGGCACAAGCGGGAGATTCCCGACACCGAAACAGACGTAGTTTTGCAATGGGCAATGATAAGAGAGCTAAGCCAATGTCGTATGCTCGCGAGAACAACAAAATGGTTTGCGTATCAAGTAAACAAAACAAAAAAAGAATTTTAAGTCGCAAAAAAATTATTGGGAAGCGGCAGCGGGGACATAGGGATTTAGGGGGATCCGTTGAAGCAGGGGCTATTCATTAGAATTGTGTTTTAATTAACGACATCATAATTCAGCGAACTGCTATGATGAAGGGGGAGTACTTTACGTTTTAGTATATAAATATTATCAGCTGCCGTCTGGTCTGGTCTTGGATATTAAAGTGCGTCACAGCGTAAATTCCCCAAAGGTCATTTTGCGGGAAAATAATATTGACTCTATAGAAAGGTGGGTGGAGGAGATGGCGTAGCCAACAGCTCTACGCCTCTTTTAGTGGTCAAAACAAGATAGCATATGGCAGGCAGAACGCAATGTTTGCTTACATAAACCACTAACAAATACTTGAACCTACTTCCGTTTATCTGGATTCAATTAATAAGGGAATTCCAAGCATTAATACTTAATTAAGCTTCAAAGGAGCCTATTTAAATATACTTAAATATACTTTTATTTTATAGAAAAAATATTCCATGTGAAGAATATCTTTTTCCTTTCTTAAAAGGCTTAATACAATAGGAAAGCTTCAAAGATACTTTCTAAAATATTGATATTCATTGGCAGTTTTGAATGGAAACTTCCCGCACAATCTTCTTTAAACAGATTCGCTTCCAATTTAAATTTAAATTAAACATAATTCCATTCAAAGAAACTCAATGGTCAATCTATGATTGATCAAATGAGCACAACAATCGTATATTTAGCGGATCGTTTGCACAATTGTGAATCAGCTAGGTTAATCATAGAACAAAGATGGGTATTGAATGCCAACTTTCAAAGGTTTCAGCTGGATCCACAAATAAATAATGTATGCATGCGAATTTCATGTAAATATCCCATTCCTTTTATAAGAGACCTCCTCTGCAAACGATAAATAAACAACAAAGGCACGAGAACGAATATCAAGCTAAATTTGTAAATTTGTTTGACTGTTTATTTTGCCCCTTATTGGGTAACTGGCTGACTGAATGACTGGCGGTGACGCTAATCGCGGACACGTTTTCCCTGGTTAAAGCCACAACAGACTAGAGCGCACATTGCAGTTTCAATCTAATTAAAATCACCTTCAGAAGGTGATGATGGGAGCAAGAGAAAGGGAGGACCACCCACCACAGCAATGGACATTGGAATCGTCGGGCTTCTGAATGCCAATTTAATCATTTTCAGCCTCTGCCGGCTCGCTTTTACTATTCGCTTGGTGTGGGGGTCTGTGTGCAGATATTCAAGAGCAAGAGCAGTATCTAGATAAGCATTCAGATAGATGGGTATATAACACAATTACCCACATGCTTTCCTTTTTCCACATTCCCCCTTTTTGCGTCCAAAGAGCTGATAATATAATCACTCTAATCGGCGTGTGTAGCAAAATCAGAATAATGAGAGGAAATTAGATTGAACAAGTAACATATTCACATACTGGCGTCATTATTAGACTATTAAAATAAATCTAACCTAAATTAACAGATGATGTGGATCTCGATTATTGAGTGCCAACTAAATCGGGCTAAAAGCGGGCACCATTTGTGGACTTAATATAAATATTACGAGGCAAACGCTAAATGAATTTGACGTTGGCTTCCCATACCGATTTTTATAAAAATACTTTTAGCTTTTTTGCTGCTATTAGATGTATGAAGGAGAGGTAGGAAAGCCTCAAATATATATATAGTATTTATTTATTAAATTACATATTTGACACAAACATACTATTTATTAAAGGTATAAATGAATAATCGATGTTATTTGAAGGTTTTCAAGTGTCTGCTCATTCTTAAAACGTGTTTCCCTCTGACAATTCTTAGTTTGTAGCCAAAACTCTTCTTTACAACTCACAACGAATACACTCAAACATATCTTGAAATCTGTTGTTAAGGCCTTGCTAGGGCTACCTGTATTTTCAATGGTTTAAGCTTAAGTGATAACGTTTGACTCAATGCTAACTAACCGGTTTTCACATGAGGCTCCCTTGAGTTGAACACAACGGAGAGAATTAGGGCTGTGAAAATATCAGCTAATTGTTTGTTATTTACAAATGTTTACGTGTAACTGTCTGATTTCTGTTAGAAAGGTCTTAAAACCTCGCGAGATGGAACACCGGTGACTCACAACGTTGACAGAGTATTGTGTGGGCCCAGCCAAACTGCTCGTGAGGCGGGGCACTTGGGTTTGGGACAACTTTTACTTTGGACCAACCATCGTGGTATGGCCCATGCTCAAGCTTGACCGCACGTTCCGAGTAAGCTCTCACGAACAATGGAAGCCGGAGGAAAGCAGAACAAAAGAAAGTGACAAACAACACAGATCGATCTCGTCTGTTTGTTCGAGGAGGAGCCAAAGCAAGAGCCGCAGCTTAAAAGCAAAGTGAGAGCGAACGATATTACTAATCGAATGGACTCGCTGTTAGCTAGGATTGCATTTAAAAGAGCAATTTCCATGCTCCGTATTTAATAGATTGTGCCCGCCAAACGTGCGATCTTTCTCTTTCCCCGGTCTCATTTGCTTTGGCACGGCAAGCAGCCGCCGCCGCTACCGTCGCTGATACTTCAACATTTTCATACAAAACAGCCACAAAGCGGGCCTGATGACCTTGAAGGCTTCTATATTTTTTCCATATTCACTGGCAAAATAAAAAACTAGACCACAATTATATTACAAAGGTCTATGAGTGTCCATCAGTCTTTAACTTTAACGATTCTTCAGCAGAGCATTGACTTGCGCATGAAACTACACCGGAAACAAACTAACAAACATAAATAAATACTTTTATGTTCAATAGATAGATGTTGACTTTGTAATTATAAGACTGAAAAAAAACATTTGATTTCCTTTAAATTTCAGAAAGGTTGAAGTATCTTTTAAATCCAATCTACTAAGAATCCCCTATTTGTTTATTGTCTGTTATGGTTTATTTACTTTCAGTATATCACTTTTGACAAATAATTTAAATAAAAAGATAGATAACTTCTAAATTTGCGTAACCTTAACTAACTTAACTCTACTTTACAAGTTGTTGAATGACTAAAAAGTAACATTACCAACGAAAAATTTAAAAACAAATTTGGACTCAAATCAACAAGAATGTATTATGAAATACCATTTTTGTTTTGTGTGTAGCGTAAAAATAGCAAACGGGAGCAGCAGCAACAAAAGCGTCCATATCACATCAATACGAAACGAAGGCGACGCACTGCGTAGCGCCGAAGTCAATTGAATTTAATGCCAGGCATGAAAAGTTAAATGAACCTAAATAAAAACACGCCTCAATTTTTCGTTTTTGTATTGTTTTTCCTTATAAAAAAAAACTTTTCTTTTTTAACCTGCCCAATACAACGTAACGTAATGTGGACAAGAATCGTGGAAAACGTGCCCGCAATGCGTTCATGCAATTAAAGCAAATTACAAAGAGAACAAAGCCCAAAAGTCATTCATTTTACATCAAGACAGTGGACTGAAGCGAGATAAAGAGTGATGGAGATGAGAACGGAACAGAGCCACGCTTTGTGCGAGTCTTTGAGGTTAAGGTTTAATCGAAATGGAAGAGCTTCGGCTTCGGCAAATAAGAGCTCTTTATCATCAGAGGGTTAAAGATTAATGTGATTCTCCGGCGGTTAATGAGCGTTTATGGACACAGCTTGAATGTGGTGCGACAACAATCTAGATTCTAGTCAAATAAACATACGTACATACATGAGCAGACCCACACATGTGGAGGAGAATGAGCAAAAAACAGCTTCCCAACGATTAAACAGCCGAAACTCTACCAAATCAACGCACAGGGGAGACGGGACAAAGACAGAGATAAGAATATAATTAAATTGGAAACGTTCAAAACTGGTTTTTGGTTTTTTTTCTTTGATTTTAAGTAGTTTTATCCAGCTTTTGAATTGTCTGACTACAGGGTTTTCTTTCCGTTTTCTGTAAAACGAAAAACAAGAAGTGTACTGGGGATAGGTGAAATAAAAATTGGCAAAATCAACCGTATATTCCACGATGTCAGCACGTTTTCCTGTTTTGTTTTTCCACACACCCAACACATCTCTATATTGTATTCCAGAGCGCGTGCAGCTCATTTTAAAAGCGTATTTGCACACACTCAGCGATTCATAGAGACGGGACTTCGCATATATGTAAGTACATACATACTTATGTACATATATACATTAAAAATGTACATGCAATGTACTTTTGTTGCGCCGACATATTCTAGCCAAACAATGCTGGCTAAAAATTGCACGTTCGAACATAAAATAACATAAACACATACATAGATATGCAGCGCGGCCTGCACTGTTGACAGCCATCACGGGGATGCCTCCCCCTCCTCCTCCATCCTATCCAATCCACTCAAGCGTTCCATTGCGAGACGACACTTGCCAAATGTGGGTCAAAGTTGAATACAATCTGAGCTGGAATGGTACACACCCACACGTTTAAGTGCACTCAGATGTGTGTATCGAGTGCGTGCGGCACTTCGAAATTCTCGCAGTGCATAACCATGTTCTTTTTGAATGTGTTCATTTATATGCCTCAAAAAAGCACCTTTTGTTCCTGCAGAAAGTGGCACAGAACGTACCACTTTGCGCTAGGATAGATTTGCTATTTTTGTAGGTCCTAAAAATGGTTCTGATAACAGATTCACCAAAATAAGTACTGATGAGGTTTATACATTTTTCATTTAGTTGATTTTAATTGAAATTAATTTACTTTTATGGGAGAACTGATCTATATTTTATGCAAATTAATGTATGAGTTAAATTTTTATTACGGCTTAGTTCATTCTTCTCCTTGTGTTTCAGCGATAAATACTTCCTGTTTTCCAAGCCCTGATGATTATTCTGAGAAGTCTTATCAAATGTGAGCGAGGGATGATGAGAGGAGCGAATGGAAAATGGATGCTTGCTGCCGCTCTGCCAAATGGCGCCAGGAGAGAGCCATGTGAGGATCGGCTGGAAGTCAGTCAGCTGGAAAGTGAGGTAAGCGCAAATGCAACTGCCACTGCAACTGCTACACCTGCTGCACCCGAAAGTGACAAAACGAAAACGAAATGCCCCGAGTTTGAATTATATTTTGCGGGAAAAGAAGCTTAAGTAATGCATTTTCGGGGTATGTTATTGGACATGTAACCCAATTTCTACGCTGTGGAAAAGGGTGCAAATTAAATACTGTGGGTTCTGCCTTCTCATCCATAAATGTCACAGAGCTCCCCTTATCGCTATAAGCTGCATAACATAAGTAAACCGTCGGAACTAACGTAGCATGTCGCGTTTATGCAATATTTTCGTGTTGTACAATAACTTCAATGTTTTTTCTCTGGCAATACTAACAAACCGCACAGACAAACAGTTAATTAATTAACAAATACGACCTTGAGGCGAATTTCAATCGAGTAAATATGTATGAGCTTGTGCAAACTTCAATGAAAACGAAAAATAATAATAATGCAAAAAGTCGGCACGGGCGAACTGATGGGTGTAGCAAACGGGCAAATACAAATAAATGTCAATTGCGGGTAACTAACCTTTTCGATCCGATCCGATCTCCGTCTCTCTTGTTACTTTTTAAGACCCTCTTTGGCGATGCGCTCCAAAAGCGGACAAAAAGTTAAAAGCCAAGACCAAAAGTGACTAATGCCGCCACACACACAAGCACACTCGCAGTTAATTCGTATTTGTTGTTGTCGACACTATCGAACGCTTAGTTGAACGGCATCAACTTTGCACTCTTTGCCTTGCTCTCGCCTCCCTCTTTCTCTCCTCTTTCAAGGTAGTAGTTAACGAGCGGTGAAACAACAACACGAAACACACACACACAGGCACTGAACGGCAGGCAGCTGCTGCGAATATATGAAATCCGTGTCCGAAACAAAAACAAGAGGAAGTGCCTGCAACGCAGCAGCTGCGACACTTATCACACTCTTTTTACTTTCGCAGCGAGCGTATTTCAAAATATACGACTTTGCTAATACTTTTGTTTAATTATACGCACGCACACTCACACAGTGCCAGTCAAGGCACTTTTCCGTAACGAAGGCAACAAATTAATTTTTCCTTCAACGACGTTCTGCCAGAGGCACCACCTTGCCTTTTACATACGTTGCACGTTGCTTTCTGGGCTTAGATTATTTTTTGTTAGACGGAAACGTACGGAATTTAATTTTATTATAATTATTGCGCCGCAAACGCGTCGTTACGAGTGTTGCCAATTCAGCTACTTTCCCACTATATCTGGCGTGTTTCAAAACCTAAATATAACGATATTTTTTGCCCAAATATCGCCATATTTTTGTTTGATATTTTTCGGTATTTTCCCCTTGGTCACTCTTGATTACAGAATTTGGCTCGTTAACAGACTTTGCTTATAGACTTCCCAAATTGAGCGGGCGTTTAACAGAATTTGCTTATGGAATTCCCAAATTGAGAGCGGCTCTCTGGCTAGCGACAGCGTTGCCAATTTAGCTATTTCCCATTATATCTGTTTTAAAACCTAAATGCGGGATATTTTGTGAACTAGCGGCTAGCGGGAATTATAGCTATTTTCCAAGCAACATTGGCGTAATTTTAGCTTTTTCTATTATTATCTTTCAAGTATTATTATGTTTTATGATGCCTCCATTCAGCTGCAGAAAAGGTGATGATAGAGGAACTTGACCATTTTTCAAAAATTCTTCAACAATAATACAAAAAAAAATAATGTTTTCTTACCCCTAGCGTTATTTTTTAGCTATCATCAAAATTTGCTGGCTATTTCTAGCTTTTTTCGAAGTTGGGTTTAGCTTTTTCAAGCCCTGAAGAGTTGCCAACACTGGTCGTTACTTTGACAGTTTAGGACCAGTGATGTCACTCCCGCTTTTTTCCCATCAAATTCAGCTTTTTGAAAGTGTGATGGCGTGAAAAATTTCAAGACAGCGGGCAGCGGGAATTCCAGCTGTTTTTAAAAAATTAAAGCCGACTTCTTTTAATTTTAAGTTTACTACATTTTAAGTGCTATTTTAATTGTGTTTCACGGGTAAAATGTTAAACGTGTATTTAGATCAGAACAGTATAGATTTTTACGTATAGCGAATAACTCCCTTACATAGTCCACACCTAAATGTGTGGCATCTTCCGTCGCTTATATTAGTTTGTTTGTCAAGTTCGGTTGTGAATTCGATTAGAATAAATGGTAATAAATGGTAATGGTAATATCTTAATCATTTTTAGCAAATATGCAAATTCAAAGAAGCTATGTACATTTAACGACAGGTATTGAAAAATAGATTTATTATATATGCCAATCTTTAAAATAAGCCGCTCAATTTATAAGTTATTTGTCTATTTTTATTTTACTCATAACTCTTTATTTGTGATTCCTGCCCAGTCATTGCAAATGCAGCATAACTGCTTAGATTTAATATTTCATATTTAAAATTTAAAAATAAACAAACCACAAATTTATTTCTAAAAATCAGCTTTATTTTTTGCTTTTTTCCATTTTGGCTAAAACAAAATGGCATCACTGACGTTATGTTGTACTTTGACAGTTTTCGATACTATCGAAACCTTATTATTATATCGAGATTGGTTCAAAATAATAACATCGAAGCAAAAAAATCATCGACGATACATAGATTTTTTACTTTAAAACATCGATGTTTCTCAATCTCTACAAAATTCAATGAAAATCAAATTTCCAATAAACGGATAATTTATATTTTTTGGATTTTGTGAATAATAATATTATTTAAATGTGATTCCCGAGAAACAGACGATCTTAACATTTTAATTATTTTCTAATCAATAATATTATTTGATTGTATTTTCCGAGAAACTGAATGTCTCACAAAAATTACTGTTTTATTTTGACTCCTAAAGTTAATAAACGTTTATGAGAGCTTTCAGAGCTTCTATAAGTATCTATTCCTACCGAATAAAAAATATTTAAACATAGAAAGACCATTTATTATTTTTGGAATTGTGAATAATGTGCCTGAACTTATTTTCGGGGCCTACAGGGTTAACTGTTATAAAATACCATAAAAAGGTGGGAAACATTGGAAGGTGGTGGACTCTGCTAGTTTAAGCCAAGATTCAAATAAATTTCTGTTAATAATACAAAAAGCAATTTAAAAATTGAACATTTCCATTCTTCTAAATACAACACATTTCCGGAAGAGAGTTCAGCAGGTACTGACGCTACTTCCTAAGTACGAAGAATTGATATAAAGGCCACCGTTCGGGCCGTTGCAGACGATCATGGCCCTGATCTTGACCCAAATTTATTTTTTTAAACGCCTACCAACACTTGTGGCTTTCACCTTTCTCTCCCCCAATCATAATTTCTCCGTAGCCAAATAGTCAATTCGGCCATTAAGATGAAAAATAAGACAAAGAATGGAAACCTTCGCTGCATTGTTCCGAATTGTGCCGAAAGTGGCCACCAGGACAAGCGCTCCATGTACAAGTTTCCGGTTAATCCGGTTATCCGAACCAAGTGGACGGAGAACATTGGCCTCGCGAAGCATCAGAACCTCTACAATCAGCGGGTGTGCCGTCGTCACTTCGAGACGCAGTGCTTCGGCAAGGCCAAGGTGTTCTCCTGGGCAGTTCCCACACTGTTTTTGGGTGAGCCACCAACCGAAGGATCCTCTTGAACTTTTGTCTCACCTTCCCCGCCTTCCAGGTAAAAACGAGGTGCGGCATCACAGCGTTCCCACGACAAGGAAGTCCTTTGTGCGCAAGTGCAGCGTCAAGAACTGTCCGTCTCGCTCCCCGCCAGACAGGTTGCACTTCTTTCCCTCGGATCCGCGGCTCAGGCAGGAGTGGCTCGACACATGTCGTCTCACGGGCGACAACAAGTGGCTGTTTATTTGCGGCCGGCACTTCCGCCGGAGCTTGCTGCCCAACAGAAATAGCAACCTGCCTAAGGACTGCAAGCCCGAGTTCTTTTTGGGCCTGGAAGAAGAAGATCCTCTGGAAGAGCACGTCAAAAGTGAGTTTGAACCCTTAAAGAAGCTGAACTTTAAGAGCGAGGACGAGGGCATCGACGAGGAATACTCCAAGGAGAGTAACCCACCCAAATCTTGTGGAAACTGCAGTGATCTGGAACAGCAGCTGGCAGCTGCCCTCCTTCGTATCAAGGAGCTGGAGAAACAGCAAAAGGATCTCCCTCACAGTGAGGAGGAAGAGGAAGACGAGTACATCATAGTGCTAATGAAATGAGCGGCCACCGGGGTTCTTTTCAGAGCTTAAGAGACCTTTATTCAGTACATTACTAGTTCCAGCTGCATCAGCCGCCGATTAATGTCGTAGGGCAGGCGATACGGCATGGTTGCAGCCATGTTGGACAGCGCCTTTGCCCGCTCCCTCAGTGAGTGCATCTGGCTCTGGTCCAGCGCGCCGGCGTTACCGTCTGCTTTCAGTTTCTTGTACTGGTTGTGGGTAATCTCCATAGCTGCCACAATTACGTCGGGCACCACCTTGATCACCTCCCCGCTGAGCCTCTTCACATTGGCCAGACAGAACTCCACATCGTCGGTTGTACTAGGCATCAGTCGCGTGTGCTGCAGCTGCTCCAGGGCAGCACTGAGTTTACCATCGTGAAAATAGTTAAAGAACAAGAGCAGGTCGTGCAGCAGCACGAAGCTGCACCTCATCTTGGGCTCCACTTCGATGCTATCGCTGGCCAGAAGCCGGCTAAAGCGCTGCGCCTCCGGTCCCAGGCGGGCCCGTAACGAGCCCTCAAGCGTGGGCAACTGCACCACTTGGGCCAGCAAAATGGACAAGTGCTTCAGGGCAAGATTGTACCTGCCAGCCATTTCGTAGAGACGCACCGCCATCTCAAAGTTTCCGCGCGAAGCCAGCTCATCGGCAACCAGGCCGGCCATGGTTCGGGTGTCGAACTCCGGACAATTGAACTGATGGAAGAGGCCACTGAAAACAAATTACAGATGATTAGAATAAATATATACAAATCAGTCGTTGTTTCTAACAACAAGAAAGGAAGCTAGCTTCGGCACGCCGAAGTTTGTTTACCCTTGCATCTGAAATTATAATACCCTGCAATGGTAAAATCTTCTACAATCAACATCATGACTCTCTATAAGCGACAAGAACTAGAAAAAAAAACAAAGCGCTTTGTTCATATACGTTTTTTTAGCCCTAATAAACCAAGAGTCTAAACTATGCTTTATATAAGTCTACTGAACTTACCCTGTAACCTCATCCTGGTCACCCCCAACCTGGCGCGAGCCGAATATCAAGTCGAATCTGGAGGTGTCCAGGACACCACTGTCCACCACCAGATCGCAAACGCAAGAGAGGAACATGTTGCGGCCTTTGGGATCTCTCAGGCAACGCAGCGTGTAGTAATAGTGCAGGGCCTCCGTGGTATCCGTGCGCTCGAATCGCTGCACATAATGCCGGATGAGACGGGCCAGGTTCAGGCGTCGCAGTGGCTGGGGATCGACGATGTCGATGGAGAGCAGTGGCTGCGAAACGCTGCGAGCTCCGCCCAGCAGGCCCAACTCGTGCAAGGCAATGGCCATGTGTACAGCATGGACACGAGTGGAGTCCCGCCGAGCCATGAACTCGATGGAGGCCTCGAACTGCCCCGTGAGGGCCAAGGTTTGGAAGTAGAGGTATGGCTGCTGGCTGGCATTAAAGTACTTCTCGCCATATTTCTCCAGAATCAGCGCCTGCAGATGGCCGTAGCCGACGGCGTCACCCGGACGGAGCATTGACAGTCGGATCCACAGGAAGTCGTCAATAGTCTTGGCCACCTCGCCGTGCACCTCGTTGACGTCGCAGCCCAAGAGAATGCAGTAAACGGCCTTCTTGTAGGCGTCCGTGGAGTTGCGAATCTTGTTGGCGTATTGCAGCCTCAGCTGGCTCTCGATTCGGGAATTACTCTCACCCGCATTCCTGTCCTCAATCAGCTGCGCAAAGTCGTCGTGACTGGCTCCCGCCTCCCGCAGGAACTTAACCGCCGTCTCGGTGGATCCGCATCGCAGGCCGTAGTAGACTAGCGGCCACAGGGGCTTGCCGCCTACCGTATCCACGAGGCCAATGGTTTGCTGTGTACTGAAGCGGTGGCTTACGTAGGCAAGCGCCAGTTGGGAGCTGGAGGAGCAGCCACCCGCCTGCGACGACATGTATAGCTTGTAGCGGCGCTCCAAGTAGGATTTGGCATAGGCCACGAACTCCGGTCGTTGTTGACGGCTCTTGACGGGATCGGAATTCAGCGGCTCACCCACTTGCGTCACGCAGGCCAGAAGAGTCCACATGTCTGTGAGCTGCGGATCCCGGAAACTGCTGGCCAACTGGGCGAACTTTTGCACGAGATTTGGACGGTTGCTGCCCTTCAGCAACAACTCGTTGTACTGCCGAATCTCCTGGGCGTACAGTAGTTCCATGCTGTCGAGGCAGGATCGTGGCTGGCAGTACTGATTCAAGATGGTGGGCTCGGGCAGGCGCTGGAGGTCGATAAAGTTCTGGGAGGGGGCCACCAAGGCGTCCAGCAGCCGGGTTTTCTCCTCATTCCACACACTGTTCATCGTGGCCCACTTCTGCTTGCTCACAGAGTCGCTGATCTGCGAAAGCGGCGGAAAAGTGTGTCAGCGAAGAAAAACCACCGCGAAACCTTACCCACATTCTTGTTGGTATCCTCGATCACCGAAAGAATGGCATTCTCGCGCTCGCTCTTCAGGAAGGTGCACACATCCGTGTCGGCCTTAACAACGTCCAGTGGCTCAAAGGTTTTGCGTGCACTCAGGGCCTCCAACTTCTGGTTCAACTTGGGCAGGTCCACGCCCTTGGAGCCCAGCAAGATGTGCCTGTTCCAGAGACATCGCGGTATTAGCCGATATTGGCAGACATTGGTTTGTTTACTCACGCCTGGATCTCTTTCCCGCCGGTCTGTGTGACGCGCGCGTGCAGCTCATTGGTGGCCTGGAGGACCTGTTGGAGCGTCCTCTCCACCGGCGGCAGTTCGCAATCTGCCCTCGCCTCATTGGTAAGGTTCTGGGCACGTTGCAGGAGCGTGTGTAGGTCCATTTAAGCAAATAAATAAATTAATCCGGGCCAAAATGCAATATTACAAAAAATCAATGTGACCGGTTTCAGTTTATTTTTTAAACACAAACCACTAGAGTGGTTTGGTTTAATAATCGATTCTGTAGTAGATTAATCGAATTTTTTAATTATGCGATACATCGATATGCATTTTCAGAATCGACTTTATACTGTCACATCTGTGAGGAACGGTTGGGATTTTTCGCAGATGCGAGACTCGTGTTCCCACAGAGCTGCGTCAAAGTGCATCTGCATCCGAACAGCTGATCGATCAGCTGTGGCTCATGAAAACGTAAACAAAGGCTGTCGAATCGGCTTTTGCCGATGGAGCATTTACCAACTATTTTGGCTGTTGTACAACAGCAAAAGCACAGATTGCGTAAGATTTTATCCGCACTAACTTCAAATGAATTAGATGACGAGGAATTTGAGTTTCTCTAATGATTTTTCTCTAACAAAGAGAAAAATCCCCGAAGAGTGTGTGTAGGTAGTATAGGCTTCCCAAATCTATAAAATAAGTAGAGGTAGGCGTTTTATATTGAATAATAGCAATTGGGAACACTTTGGGGCAAGAATATACAAAAACAACGCGAACAACTATTTTGGGCATGCTTGTAGCTGTAACATTTTAAATTCCATATTTCATTTGTTCCTCGCCAACTTTGATTACATTTTCGTAGTGTTGGTCAAATTTGCGTTGCACCGAAAAACTATCGCCTAACTATCGCCAAACAAACGGTCGTTAGATTTAGATGCGCTTTGATGCCGGTCCATTTGAGAAAATTCGGAACGGCAAAACCTTTGACGGCGTGTGGGAAGACCCTATTAAGCGCCAAACCTACCTTATATTATATATATATCATGATTTTGTGTTTGTATTATGGCTCCAACTGTCACATGTTTGCAGTAAGGTATTAAAAAATCCCGCACATTTCTCGTTGCTTCGCGTTAGTACTTCAGCTATGTCATTGGGCAACGCAGGGCGAATTGCTGCTTGTTGGTTCGTATTAAAAAACAGTAAAGCCGGCGAACCTGTGAAAATAAATTGACCTATTTGACCAGGACTGTTCTGACTGTTGGTGGCGTCTACGCTTTTGTGTTGTCGAAGCGATCCGTTGAGAGTCGGCGATACGAAAGCCTGAAAGTACGCGAGCGCATGCGAAAGGCTAACCACGGCGATTACGACTCATCTGCAGCGGACAGGCGGTTTGACTATTAGGAGGAGCAGCACATTGTCGGTATCCCCCACATAGTATCCACAGAAGCATCCCCAACAACACCATGGCAATGCCCCAGATCAGTAACGCCGACCAGGCCAAGCTGCAGCTGATGCAGGAGATGGAGATCGAGATGATGTCCGATTTATATAACCGCATGACGAACGCTTGCCACAAGAAGTGTATACCTCCCCGCTACTTCGAAGCGGAGTTAGGTAAGAGATTCATAAATTGTTAGCTTAATGGGGATGTATGTACATGTAAACCAAAATTTGATGATAATTGTTTAGTCTTTCTTTCCGGAGATAGGAAAGGATGTGGTTCATCAACACGGTTATGGGAACCAAGAACCAGTCGTCTAGTTGCACAGCATATCCACAGCGTGACAAAGCCTTCTCAATGGTTTACTTTTTGACCCTTTTGTGGCCTTTGTGCTTTAAAAATAATATAAAGACTTTGTTTTTGACGAGTTGTATTTGTTCATAAGTCACCTCTCCAAAACTTGTTCTGCTTTTAAACTTATTGGCCTTTGGAATCATTGGCTCTTAGTGTCTGAAGGTCCTGTTCCCTTATTCGACGACGGACTCTGCTCCCACTTAGTGTTTTTCACGCACTTTTAGAATCATATGCGGTGTGGTTCCACTAATTTGCAGCGGAATTAGACTTTCTTTAATTCCCGTAGAGAAATTCTGTCTTCATTGAGCGTTGTTTTCAAGTTCTTTACGTCATTATGTTTTTTGAGCTTGTTTATAAGATAATGAACAGTTTGACGCAACTCATTGAAAACGTTTGTAAGTTCTTAACTTAATAACCAAACTGATTTCGCCGTTTCTACACATCATTTAGATAAAATTTAGCTAATCTTAATTTTTTTTAAATTTATTTTTTAATTGAATGTAATATTTAAATAAATTAGATGACTTTTTTTTAATAATTTTTTTTTTCTGGTTTAGCAGCCAATTAAATTTTTGTTTTAATTTTGTACACATTGTTAGAGTTCAAAGTACTTGAGTCCTCGGAGTTAAATAGAAACTATTTCGAAAAAAGCACTTAAATTATTTATTTATTTTTTTTGTTAAATAAATGTAAGCATGTTTTTTGGAAAGGCCTGTCACCAGGACACCTCAGGATGCAGTGGAAAATATGTTTTGCTTCTATTAGAGTTACAAACAGTTAAATGATTTATTAAAGGAAAATATCGTATAAAGTTATTGGTGGCAAAAAGAGGTAAAAAATCATGTAGGTAAAATAATTTATTTAATTTAAAAAAACGAAAAAAGGGATATATCTTGTAAATATATCCTCGATTTTTGCTTTCCAAAACTTTTTTTTTTTTAATTTGGGAGACTATAAGAGCCGACATATTTAATTTAAAAAACGAAAAAAGAGATTTATCTTGTAAATATATCCTCGATTTTTGCTTTCCAAAATTTTTTTTTTTATTTTGGGAGACTAAGAGTCAACATATTTAATAACCATTTCATGCCTATTTACTGTACTCTTATTATTTGATTTAGTTGATATTCAATCGCTAATCGTTTTCCCGATTTTCAGGCAAGGGCGAGATGGTCTGCATCGATCGATGCGTCGCCAAGTACCTGGACATTCACGAGAAGATCGGCAAAAAGCTCACGGCTATGTCCATGCAAGATGAGGAGCTAATGAAGAAGATGTCCAGTTAACCAGGCACCCAATAGTCAGCCATCAGTGCATTTTCAAAGCTTTGATTGTTAGAGATACATGTACAAATCATCCAGTTGTAGAGAATAAACCACGGACGTATGAGTGCCACATAACAATTTTTGATTTTAAATCCAAATGCTGTCATCGCTGAGATTATTCCTCCGGTTGATCACAACCAGAATGATGTTCCTTAAGTATCAATAAAGATACAATTTCGCTAGTAGGCAATTTGTAAACTAAACAAACTAATCAGGTTAATAAGGTGCCACATTAAACTTGTTCGTGAAGGGTGAATCCCTTACATTGAATTTTATGTGCAATATAATCACATATATGTCGATGCTAGGGCCCAGTTTATTAGAGGTCCCAGACGCGCCACATCCTCTTCGATCTCCGTGTCTTTTAGAATTAGAGGATTGTAGAAGAGTTGATCTTTAGATGGCTCAATCGCTAATTCAGTTTCACGTTTTATAGCCAAAGGGAAGATTGCTAGACTCTCAGTATGACATCCTTATTGAAACGTTCGAACGTAACTATATGTATACAAAAATTTGAACAGGAATAAAAAATACACAGTCCCTCTTCGGGACCGTTCGACTACGTTATATGTTTGATTGTTTATGCTGAACACATTTCGATCCTTCGAAACCGGATCTTCCAAACTACCCAGTCTACAACTTGGAAAAGAGATAATTTGCTTTATTTTTAAGTGATCGTTGGAGATCGAAGGTGTAGGCTTCGTAGATCCAGATATTGAAAAAGCCAGACGTGTTTTTTCGACTCTGTGATCCCTATAGCAGGCACGGGACAACAACAAAGCACGCTATTTTTAAATTATGTTATTTTGAAATAAATAAACATTTAAAACGAAAATACGTTATATACGAACACTGATTTAAGCCATGGAAGCGATCTGTATTCACTATATGATTTGATTTTGATTTTAAGCTAAATCTGGATTAAACTGCCTTTTGAGTTATGTTTACCCGCATCAATTGGCATCTAGTTTGGACCTCAATGCTTTGTTGTTTGGAACTAAAAGGTGAAGACTGAAACACTAACAAGGAACCTAAAGATGAACAAATCGAGACACCAGATCATGAATTTGAAGAATCTTTTCAAGGAGCTCAAAAACGCGAATTTATGCTTGGATAGGATAAACCATCCACAACTCGGCTTTTCCATTTCAGATAAACGCATTTAAGATAAATCAAAACCATATAGTGGTCTTTAATAAAAATGGCATCCATCAACAGCTCTACCATTTCTACCGTCCCGTAGTCCTCTTCCCAAGCGTCCTTTACAGAATAATTGCAAAAAGCTTACAACTAATTAAGGACAATTAATGCGTTTTTAAAAGCGGCAATTCAGTACAATACGTAACCCACCAACTGCCAGAATTCGCAGAAAAATCGACCTATTAATAAATAATAGGGGAGAATGGGGATAGGTGAACCACGGGAATAGATGAACCACTACACTAAATTTGGAAAGCAAATAAACTTTACAAAACAAAAGTATTTTTGCATAATACTTAATATTCCAAGGAATGTGGGCTCTTTTAGATTTCTATATACAGCAGACCCTTACGTCGAATTGTTCAGACATAATAATGTTAATAGAAAAAATTGGTTCACCTATCCCCACTCTCCCCTATACGACGATTCCTCTAATTCTTTACATCTTCCTAACACACGTGTCAGCTCTCACACATATGCCAATAAAGGAGTTTTAGGGCAAACATAATAACCACTCCAGTTACTGGCAGAACTTAAATTATGGGTTTCAGCATAAAATATACAAAAGGAACTCCCACATCAACAACCTACCTGTCTCTATGGACCTTTTAGAATCTACTTGCGGTAATATAACTGCTATACAAATTCTTGCATACATATAGTAAAAACTCCATTTTAATGTCGAAAATACCCTGGCCCAATAGAAGTCAGTGGGATTTCTAGATTTCTTTAAATTTAACACTATGGCTAGTCTTAAGTGACAGAAAAACTGCGCAAGGCAACTACTATCGATATACTGAGCTGCATAGAAACTATTTGTAGTTTACTTCTGTTTTGGTTATTGTTTAAAAATGTTAGGACTTTTATGTTGTTAGCTAACTAGCTTTTGCATAAACAAATCGTATTTTTCATAGATTAAATTGGCCATTGATGATTACTATACTCTGTGGTTTATCATTGTGTAAATTCCAGTTCGCAGGCAACCAAATCAGACACCCTCCAAGACGAAGTTTGTTTTTTAAACTAGATGTTGTTTTATTCTCTTTTAAAAAACTGCTGCTACGCATCTGAACGTATGTAATAGTGTCCATCTTGTTTGTTGTCCTTAAACCTCGTAGCCGTAGGATTTGATGATCTTGTTGAAGGGCTCGGCAGCCTTGGCGATGTTCTCACGCGCCTTGACAGTCAGCTTCTTCAGCTCGCGGTTGTGCTTAAGGGTGACGCGCAGCTTGGCCTTGCGCTTGCGCTCCAAGCTCTTAATCACATCCTGGTAGTGCCATCCCACTTCGTGCGACAGGCGGCCGACCTGGCAGTACTTGCGGTCGGAGCGCAGGGTCAGCACACGCATAGCGATGGGCACAACGACGCGACGGCGCTTGTCGTAGGGCGACGGAATGCCATCAAAGACACGCAGACGAGCGAGGGCAGCCTGGCCACGCTTGGTCTTGTGTGGGATCATGCCTGGAAAACAGATGAGACAGCACGTAAATAAAGGCACATAAGTTCTCATAAATTTAAGGGGGTAAGGTGATTCAGTTTCGAGTTGGTTACACGGTTTCTCGTTCAAATAATGTAGGTAAGATTGAAATAATCATCACGATGTATAGGGGAGGCTGGCTATACCAAAATCCAGATGCTTACCTGAAAGAAAGAAAAGCGGATATTAATAGGGTCTTAGGTTAGTAAATTACAAAATATAATCCTCTAAGAGCATCAGTCTAGAGTTGGTTACACGGTTTCTCTTTCAAATAATGTAGGTAAGATAAGATAATCATCATTGCTGTAGTGGATTTCGCCCAGGAAAGTATGCTTACCTAAAAGAAGGGAATACGAAATAAGTAAGCATTGGTAATAATGGAAATTTCAAGGAAAGGAAAGTTTATTATAAAAACTACATACCTCGGACAGCCTTGTAGAAGATCCTGGATGGGGCACGGAAGTGGAAGGGACCACGAGCCGGGTTGACGTTGCACCGCTTGCGCAGATACGCCAGGAACTTGATCTTGTTCCTGTAAAAGTGTCCGGAGAGGTTCAGCTCCTCGCAGCGCACCACCGCGACCTTGCCGCCCTGCAACAGGTACTTGGCCACAACAGAGGCCAGGCGACCCAGCAAATGGCCGCGACCATCAATAACAACGGTCTGGAAACAGAAAAAGTAGAAATCACAGTCAATACAAAAAATAACAATCTAAGCGCGACCTGTGTGAGGTTATGTATGTTTGGCGGTAGGCGAATAAACAAATGTGTTTAGCACTTTTTCTCACAAGCACGTTGTGTCGTTGGGATTAATGGATCAATTCCACAGTTCTTCGGTTCTTTAATTTGCACCCACTCCATATTTTTACAAATGCTGCTTGCATTGTTGCCGTTTTTCGGCACGTGTAAGCGAAACAACTATTGAACACTCCAAACACGACTTTCCCTTGCTTTCATCGCACATATTTTTGCACGCACTGCTGGGGCATGTCGTACAGCACACTATCCACACATTTGCCAGCAGCTTGGGCCGCTGTTTTGCCATTTTACGACACTTACCCTGTTCGTTAAACCAGTCATGTTTAAGAACCGCACGAAAAGAAGGCGGAAGTTGCGATGACAGCAGACAGTTGACAAGGCAGGGTTGCTCTGAGCCGGAACCAGTTCAGAGCTGGGTGGCCATGCTTGCCAGACCGGACGGAAAAGTTGGCAACGCGAACTCGCAAGAGTTAAATAGCGTTGTTTTTACAGATTTTAAGAGCTCTTTTGTGTCCTTACCATGGATTCATAGTTAAATCAGGTGTTTTCCACCATGAAAACGACTGCAGGCTCAGGAAAAGCGGCAATTTTAAGCTAAATACTACCATTATCGTTGCCAGACCGAGCATTCATTAGGGTTTCGGGGTCTTAGTGTGCCCAGAAGTGGCGAAGCCGACATTTTCTGGTGTTTTTAGATTTTTGACCGGAAAGCCAAACTTTCATCTGGCAACACTGAATCAAACACTAAATGATAAGGTGATTCGAATGCCAATTAAAAGGCGCTTTTCATGACGACTGCGAACTTCGGGCAAGTGCTATACGCGTGTTTCGTTCACAAAAATGTGCTGACACGAGAAAAGTGATGAGACAAGTTCGACAAATCAAGTTCTGAAAAGTGTGTGGGTACTCTCCCGAGAATTAAGCCAATTGGTAAACAAATTACCGCTGCTCGCAGTTCCTTCATACGTGAATAAAAGGCAAGTTTTTGCATGTGGCCCGTTAATGAAATTGGTTTCATCCAAAGGATACGTTTAAAACCCTTGAGTTCCTGCCAATGGGGATGTAGTTTTCCCCTTTTCTTTTTCGCTAATTTCGAAATTGGGTCAATGTGTGTGCGAGGCCTGTTTTTGTATGTGTTTGTGCATATAGTATATATTTTCGGCTGCTGGCGAACCAGTTTGTTGACCTTGTTTTTCGGCTCTCCAAGTGCAAATGGGGCATGACTTTTTGACAATGTGTGGTGTGTACCGCTTTTCTTTTTATGGGGATCAAACGAACGGGAGTTACAATTAGTGGACATGCAATACATGATTCCAGCGAACACTGGTATTTATCACCACCTAGCAACGCAATACACACACTCCTCCTTCTTGGGGACGTTTCCGCTTTTCACAATAACAAAAACAGAGGTTCGTCTGTCAACTACGTGACTGTGCGGGTGTGTTTGTGTGTATGTATTTTATTTTATTTATTAACTGTTATTTATTCCTCTTTGTAAACAACAATCAGCTGATTTCTTGCATTAGAACGTTAAGTGTTGGGAAACGGTTCTCCTTAGAACGAAGATCACACGCACATTTTCGGTAAAATAAAGCAAATTAAACTATTTTCACGGTTTTAAGTTACGTTTTTGCAACGAACTGCTTCGTATCATGGAGTTTGTCATTAATTTATGGCAAATTGAATCTAAATAAGCATAAAGTCGAACTACCAATGCACTAAATTGTAAACTTTTTTCGAAAATCTTGGAAAAGTGTATCATACTACGTCAAATATACATATATTATTTTATTAAAACTAATTAACTGTGTACAGTGATGATTCTTCGCTGAAAATAGTAATATAAAGCAAAAAGTGATATTTTAAAATCAGTCAGTCCTTAAAATTAAAAGTAAGTAAAGTAGAAATTTGTAATTTCCCTAAATGTGCATCACTGATTTCCCTCCTTGCAGATGCCCGACGACTTCTATGAGCTTTTGAATGTGAGTTCCACCGCCAGCTTTGAGGAGATCAAGTGCAGCTACAAACAATTGATTCTACAATGTCATCCCGACAAATTACGACAGCTCCATGACCCAAATCTGGGATCGATATCGGAGCCCAAGAACAGCAGCGACTTTAATGCGATAAACGCTGCGTGGAACACACTGAAAGATCCCATCAAGCGTAAGCACTACGATGCCGAATTGCTGCAGTCCAAATTTCAAGCGCACAGCAATATATACGCCAGCATTACGCTCCCCGAAATGCAGCGGATACAAGTGGAAATCGATGAAGATGGCGATGATGATGAGGGGGTTTCTCCCTCCCAAGAACCACAGGCAGACAAAGGGCCAGCGGCGACAATGTGGAGCTACGCATACGATTGCCGCTGCGGCGGTCAGTATCTGTTCGACGGTGGACCCGGAGACGATGAATCATCATCCGAAGTGATTGTGGAGTGCAGCGAGTGTTCCTTAGTGATTATTGTGAAACAGCCCGCAAAGTAATATTGAAATAAAGAGAACGGGGCAATAATAATGGAAATGCTGCCCAGAACAATGCTTGTGATTTAAACAATTCGATTTAAATGAACTTGAACACTCTGTTTATTGGTTTCTTGAACCCCGACTGCGTGCCGGACCATCTCTTCTTATGCAAAGCATGTTGTCGTCATCGTCGTTGTTGTTGCCGTCGTCACCGTCGTCGTGCATTCAACGACATCCAATCCAGGGGCCATGCCCAGCCCCTTCTTTGTCGCTCGCTGTGCCCAAAAAGTGATGTAACCAGACGGTACATCATTTCGTTTCGGGCTCTCCACTACGGCAGTTTGTGAATTCACTTTGCATACACTTCATTTCCGCTGTGCGAAAAGAAATATCAACGGGCTTTTAATGTCTTTTTGGCGCGTGTGAATTGTCGGAGATTTGGCAAATTACGAGCACTCTGGCTGTTTATTTACTTATTTTGGGGAGTTTTTGGGTCAAGTTTTGGAGAGACGCAGACAGCTTTAATGGCTTTGGTAATCCGCGATTACGAGACAATATCCGATGGAATTGCCTAATATGAGACTTGGATAAAATATTATCATATGGCTAAATTTAATATATGCGCATTTCTATTGTCGAACTTGGCATTTGTACGCATTAAAAGCAAAAAAAAAAAAATGTTACACTTCTTTTTTTAAAATGCTGACTAATAGCACTTGCCTAGGTCCATAATAGGTGCAAGTGTTGATTTTTAACATTTGTTCGGATTCAAGAAATTTAAAAAAAAGTACAGCGAGCTGATTAAACACTGATTTCAGAGGAATCATTTTAGAGAGGAATTATTTTAATTACCCAAATTTTGAATTTTCATGCGTTAATTTCCCATTTGTGTGCTTTTAATTTCAATCAGAAAATAAAATAGCTTATTTCATATTTAATTTTAATCAGAACCACCATACTTTACATATTGTTTTTTTTTACTTATTAAGTTAACTTGAAGAGCATACACACATATTTCCGTTTTCTTTCGACTGTTTGCATTTTCCTAGTTATGTTAGGAACAAAAGTCGAAGCATAATGCCTCTGGTTTAGAAGTTGTTATCAAAACTAACGAGATTTCTATGATGTTTCTCCCAAAAATAATGAAAAATCGCGTTTTTCGAATTCTTATTTGTTGTTGTTGTTGAAAATCGGTAGTTGCCTTTAGAATCTTTCTATATTTTTCTGCTCCAGAATTCAAATCCTGTAACTGTTGAAAATTAAAGTATATTTTTTTTCGAGATCGTTGTATGCCGTTAGGTTTTCACAAAAACAACGTCTTTAAGCGGTTTAAATGGAATTATAATTACTCGAGCTCTCGCCCATTTTTCGCTTTTTGTTATAATTCAATAACCCCGCCCGATCGACGACGATGATGTCAGCAGCCCAAAGAGCTGAAAATGTTTATAAGTGACTCGGCGAGCGAAAACGAAGAAACTCGAGTACGCACTGCGAATCCATTTGTTTATGATTATTGCAAAGTAATTTGCAGTCGACTCGGTAAATTACGCGCATCGAACGCGAGAGCCTTGTGTGCTTTATTTTTTTATTTTATCAATCTCCCCCCGAAACATCTCTAGCTCCGCCGGATAAGTACGTCACTCGATTGATAATTAACGGTTGTCTAGCTTTCGTTTTCTAAACATGCACATACTATAAATGTGTGTATGTATGTAGGTGTTTAAATGTTTTTTCTTTTGTCTGTTTGTCTTCGCATAAATGTTATTTACATAAACCGGCAGACAAGCTAGAAATACATAAACACTTGATTTCCAGCCCCAGTTCGAGTTAAATGAGAAAACAAAAGTCGGTGGAAAACGTGCGTACCTTTCGAATGAATATACAGCTATGTACATACATAAAAAAAAAAGATTGCACTGAAAGAAACCTAATATTTTTATATTAAGAAAATGTGATATTACAAGAGTCGCAGAGGAATCTATGGACTCCAAACAATACAAACTGTGTATTCAAACGAAACGGACATGTTAAATTTTAATTATTAATACAATACAACTTATTGTGTTACAATTTTCCGAATGCTTGTAGATTTTGTAAATACATTCAAGGTACACTAGTGAAATGGAAAGCGATCTTCTTAAATGAGATCCAGGTTCCGAGAAAATTTCACAGTTTTCTCAGTGTATACACATTTCCCTGCTGGGCATCTCTCACTTTAATAACCTTTTGACACACAAAATTGAAACGCTTTAGCGCATTTGCCGCTAGGCAGTCGTTCATTTCATTCGTTCAGTTTCTCAGTCTGTCAATTACTCTTGGCTTGGCTTGTATGCGTTGTAGTTGCTATTGTTGCTAAAGTTGTTGGTAGCATGACACGCGTCGCAGCGCGATTTCGAGATAAAAACGTTAACGTTAACGTTCGCTCTCGGAAAGTGCAGATACTGCTGGCAAAACAATAAGCCGGCTCGGCTCGCACAGCTCCCGCTCAGCAACGTCAACCGTCATCTCCATGTTCCAACCAGCAGCCCGTGCTCCTCATCCACATCTCTGCCCTGCCGCCTGGCACTTTCATTTTGTTTTCACTGGCGCATTAAAGACGCTTGAGCAGCTTTAATTGCCCAATGGCCAGGTCAGGCTCTGACTTGGCACTTGTAGAAAGCTCAAGAATACAATACTTCATTCTGACAACGGCGGGAACTGAGCTTAAGATGTTTTATTGCCATGATAGTCGTTTCGATCTAATGAAAATGGTGACACATATTAGTGTTGCATTTCTTTAAGAAAATGGATAAGAACGGAACATACCTTCCAAGTAAAAATCTTCGCATTATAAAATAATTCAATAGTTTGGTTTATTAAATAAGTGATTCTCTTTCAGTGTGCGTCCACTCAGTGACGCAAAGAACAACTGAAGACACTTACAGAAATCCATGCAGAATTGGAAATCATGATGATCGTTAAAACAAAAATACTAATCAAAATATATCGGTTTGTGAAAAGATTTTATTATATATACAACTGCTATTCCTGTTATTTTTGGAGCAAGATGCCATCATCTTTTCTATCTTTCATGGTTAAGAGGTGTTTTCGTTTGATTTCCTCTACAAGGGCACTTTAATTACTATTCAAGTCTGCAAATACCAAGTAATTAATAATTAGTTTGACTTTGTTTTTGTAAGCTATGGATCCAGGCGTTTTGGTTCAGTTGCTAATATATCTCTGAAATGAATTGGCTTATGGTTTACCATTGTTCCCCCAAAACAGCTGATCGATAACTTGAGTACATTTCCGAATAGATGTTTTGCCAGACAAATGTAAGGTAGAAGATATTGCTCAGAACTAGTCGGAGCTGCGAACCACGAAGATCACGAGTGATAGCTTCGCTACGAATACTGGTAGTACCGCTGTTGCTTCTTCGTTCTGGTGCTTTCGTTAGTGTCTTTCGTGTTTTTCTCTCAATCTTAATTACTCAAAAGTGCCAATTAATTGTTGATTTTTTTTATTCTGTCTCACAACTCTGCGGCTCCCCAAGCAACACCTCGAGCCACATACATACATACTTCTGTTTTTGTTCTGTTCCGTTCCTCTTTCGGATCTGTGGATGCTCTCGTCCCCCAAGGTGTCCGCATCTGTATCTTCATTTGTATCCGCATCTGTAAATCTGCGTGTGTGTAGCCAAGTGAGAAGCAAGGTAACAGCAAGTGGGGCAGCAACTAGAGCAGACAAACAGCAGGCAGATATGTGCACATACTATATGTTCGAATGAATGTCCTCCCACACAAATTGACCAAATTCAAGCTTGAAAAGTGTAGAGTATTAAAGCTATCATTCGGCGGTCTAAAGCATACTTTAATCCATTATGACCATTATTAGTATACGAAAATTGCCTAATCAAAGCAAATCCCTCTCCCTAGATCATTCCAGTTTCCTCAGGCGCGTAATTAACGCTGCAGAGAGAGTCGTCAACCTGGCTAGGAGCAACAGCAGCCTCACGATTGATCACCAGCATAGTCGCCACAACCAACAGACTGAAACGCCGTCCAGAAAGCGAACTGAGGGGAAGATGGCCAGCACCGGCGAAATCTGGCTGCAGTGGTTCTCGTGCTGCTTCCAGCAGCAACGCTCCCCGTCACGCCGCCCACACCAACGCCTGCGCATCGACCGGTCCATGATCGGCAATCCCACGAACTTTGTCCACACGGGCCACATCGGTTCGGCAGACGTGGAATTGTCGGCTAACCGCCTGAACGCGATCTCTGCCTCGATGCAGAGCAAGGGCGGCTACGAGACGAGTTCGATTCATGTGAGTTGTCGGACTTTCCTTCCATTCGATCTATTACAATTTCAGGCTTGAATCATTAATCCGGACTTGGCTCTATTCCATTGGCTCAAAAAAACTGTATAGATAGGATTTAGGTACCGAGGTTTCACTGAGTACCCTAGGAATGGTTAAAAATGTCGAGGCCAATATTTGACGGAAATAATATAGAATTTAGAAATCAATATCTATTAATTTATAATTGAAAAAAATGATCAATCTATGCATAATGTACTAAAACTAATTGTACTAAAATCTTGCATCACCTTTTACTAATATCAGTGCTTGAACTGATTTTTCGAAAAAAAGATTTCTGAACGTTCGAGTACGAATTTTTGTAATTAATTATCTTGAAAGCCTTCGATCTTTGCACCAAATAACCAAGACCTATAAGTTTTAAATGTTCTGAAATAGAGATGTTTTTCTGCAGTTTGAATATCTACAAATGTCGCATTCGACATCAGAGAATTACCCACATTCAATAATATAATATTCGAACCTTTTAAATATAATCAATTTTAATATATCTAACATACAAACGTTCTAACGTACACGATATTTTGTCAATATATCCTGTCAAACATTTCCTTTCGATTGCAAATTGCTGAAGTTAACTTTCTTTCTGGTTATACCCTTGCACAGTATTATAATTTTAGTCAGTGAAGGAAACGTTTCCGACCTTATAAAGTTTACGTATTTTTTATCAACATCAACAGCCGAGTCGATCTAGCCATGTCCGTCTGTCCGTTTCTACGCAAACTGGTCTCTCAGTTTTGCAGCTTTCTGAATGAAACTTTGCAGATGGTCTGACTACTCTCACTGCTATATATAAGTCAGAAAAGCCCGGATCAGACGACTATATAGCTGCCATAGAAACGGTTGGAAAATATCGCAACCGAGAGTTACGCAAAACTTAAATGTGTAACGACTGTCGTTTGCGATCAACAAACAATTCAAAAATAATCACCTGTCGCACATTACTAATAACTGTAATTAAATTATAAATAATAAAGTATCACGAAAGGTCTTAAAGCTTGACATAAAGGAAATATATTTAAGTATATGTTTTTGACCACTTAATGCTCTTTTCCGATTCCGTTTGTGTGCTTTTAGCTAAATATCAATCATAGCCAGCGACTTAATTTTAATTCGAAGTGTTTTTATTTTTAATATTTTGCAAAGTCTCGTAATACCTTCGTTTTTTGGTCCATTTGAATGGCTGATAACGCCGTCCACTTGTATCGCCCCTGTCGCCGATATCCATGTACTTATTCATACAGTAGTTAATTGAAACAACGGAGCTGCCGAGCAGCAGTGCAGTGCTGGCCACGGTCTAGTACTAGACATATACGCCGCCGCGCCACGCCGCCGCCGCCGCCGATTTTTGCCTTATTTGACGCGCCGCCGCCGAATTATGAAAAAAACGGCGCGCCGCGGCGCGCCGCTGGTGCGGCACCGGCGTAGCACCGGCGCGGCCTTCGGTGATATTATTCTTAATATAACTTAAAAACAAAAATAAATAAATCATACAAATGGCCAAATACTCGATATAAATAATCGATTAATCGTTAGGATTGTCTCATCTCCCATCTCCCTATGTCCCATCTCTAGAACAGCTATTTGGTGTGGTTTACTTTCTAAAGCTGTGTTTTTTGTGCGTAAATATGCAAAGTAAGTTTTAAAATACTATTACTAGTGTTAGGAACATATGTATTAATTAAATATTCTCTAAACAAATAGATGGATCAGCCATTGAGTATGTACTCAATTAAACACAACCATTACTCAAATCGAAAGAGCAAAGTGTGGGAGTTTTTCGGCGCATTGCAATTAGAGAACAACTGCATTGAAGTGGACAAGGTGTTCTGCCGATTATGTTTGGATGTTCAGAAAAAAGACGACGAAAGAACAATCTTTTCATGGTAATAATTAAGTTCCTTTTTTTAAGATTCAAGTAAGATTTTGTAAATTGTTTCAGTGCTAAAATTCAGTCGTATTCCACGAACTGTTCCACAGGGAATTTAAGTCGACACCTCAAAAATGAACACAACATTCGAGATATCGACAGTCCGAGTACTTCATTGGCTACACGTGGATCAATATCAAATTTTTTCAAAAAATCGACGCCAATTATATCTCCAAAAGATAGTAAGTGGGCGCTGGGACGAGAGCTAGCTTTGTGGATGGCTAGAGATTTGCTACCATTTCATATAATTTGTCACAGTGGACTTAAAGACTTTTTAAAAAAATATAGAGTTGTGGCAACTGATGCTGACATTCCACACTACAAAACGCTGTCAACAACTGCACTAGACGATGTGTATGAATGCATTTTACGAGCAGTTACACGGATAGTATCTGGACAAAAACATTTTGCCTTAACTTTCGACTTGTGGACAGATAACTATAGAAGAAGAAGTTATATAACGTTCACCTTCCATTTTCTGTCAGCGAATTTTGAGATGAAGCATTTAACGCTGGAAACAAAATATTTGTCAAAATCGCACACGGCAAGTAACATTTTAACAGAGGTGGAAGAAGTTACTCAAATGTATAATTTGCAAATGGGATCTAATTATGTCGTAACCGACCAAGGCAGCAATATCAAAAAAGCTATTAATTTGGGGTGTATAAAAAACCACTTCTGCCTTGGACATGGACTACATAATTTGCTAAATGTTGATGGTTACAATTCAGAGCCGGAAATTAAAAATTTGATTGTGAAGTGCAAAAATATTGTGAGTGCCTTACGATTCAAGACACATGTTTTGAGATGTCAAGCTGACGAACTTCAAAAGGAAGTTTTGTCAAATATCGACAATTTAGAAGAACTGCTGGCATCCGAAGATAATGAATGGGTCGACTACGATGATGATTTTGGCCCGTTAGATGATGTTCCCTTGCAAACTTACAAGAATATTAACAACCCTAATGACTTACAAAGTAGTTTGGTGGACAAGAGAAATGTTTCACTTAAGAACTCGGTCCCAACAAGGTGGCACAGCGTGTTAACAATGTTAGACAGTCTTGGGTGCCAAAGAGCCGCATTAAATAAGTTGCTCACAAGCAGCAATAAGACTCATTTAATATTATTAGAAAATGAAGCACAGCTTTTATATAAATTATGCGACTTCTTAAAAAAATTTAAAGATGCAGTTACCGTTTTGTCTGGAGATTTGTATCCATCAATAAGTCTTGCGTTAGTGATAAGAACTGAAATCGTCTCAATATTGGAAGAACCTGAGAACAATGAGCCGCTTGCTTTGACTCTCATGAAAAGCCATATAAAAAATAGATTTGATTCAAGGTTCCCGATATCGGATATACTAGTCTGCGCATCCCTATTAGATCCGCGATTCAACTCACTTGATTGTGTGTTGGAGTATTGCGAGAAACAAAGTTTAAAAAGAAACGATTTTTTGTTAAAAATGTTTAAAGAGCTGATTGGAGATGTTGAACAAGATAGCGATCAGCAGCAAGAGTCTCATTCTGCAAGCAAAATCTTAAAGCTTGCTCAACGGCATTCGACCAATACCAAAGATAACAATTTGGAAGCTGAATGCCATCTACTCCTAAGCTTATCTTCATGTCAAGACGTATTGACATTTTGGAAGGAAAAGGCACCTGCAATGCCCTTACTTTCGATGCTGGCACAAAAAGTGTTGTGTATTCCTGCAACGAGCACTCCAAGTGAGCGAGTTTTTTCTATTGCTGGTCTTACAATTACGCAGAAACGGTCGCAGCTCAGTCCTCACAACGTAAATAAAGTAATTTTTATACATGACAATTACGACACTTGCAAAGAAAGTTTAACTTAAATTTACAAATTGAAGAGATAAAAATGAACTGAATTGAAAACTGAACATTAATTATGTGAATTATGAATGAAACTTATTCAAGTCAAGGAAAAAGACTGCTATTTTTATGTTTATTTTTATTTGTTACTTAATTTTTATTTATTTTCATTTCATTTACCCAATTAATTTACTCACTTATGTTCATTTTATTGTTATTGTTAATAAAGGCGTTATAAACTGATATAATACAATAATACTAATTTTATTTAATTTGAAAAAAATCTGTACGCCGCCGCCGCCGATTCTTTCTGACTACTACGCCGCCGCCGCCGAGTCATTTTGACCTCTACGCCGCCGCCGAAGTCTTTAACCATCGGCGTAAACCTCTATCTAGTACATCGCTTAAACTGTTGACAAGCCCAATCCCCGCCACTGACTCATGTTTCTTTTGCCTTCTATTCACAGGCCTGCTGATGGAAACCACCTTCCGATGTGTGTACCCTCAATAAAGTGCATTTCGTGCAACATTTTATTTTACAAAAAGGAGAGAGGAGCAGCAGCAAAACAGATATACTTTATAAAATTCTTTGTTGTGGCGTGTTAACAGGCAAAGAGCGCGAAAGAGATACACGGACAAAATGTGAGGTTTACAGATACACCTCTTTCCCCGACAACGGCATTCAACTGTCAACTGCATTCTATAAGAGCTTTTTGCTGATTTTGGCTATTTTTGCGAGTATTATCTAAATGAAAAATCGCAAGTGTGCCAAGCAGCTGAAATCAACAAATAATTGAGCCTGGAACTCGATATGTTTATAGTTATTCGGTAATTCGGTTCCCGGATGGCCTCTGAGGAGGAACCTCAATGACGAAGACTTTAATGAGCCCAGAAAACATTACGTATAACACCACGTAGTATGTGTTTCTATGAAAACTGCCTTATAATCCGCACACACAAACCAAGAACCACAGTCTGACCCATGATATTTGGCTGAAAAGGTGCAACTAGCGAATCTTTTTTATACAAAAGCTGACTTAGCATTTAAAAACACACACCGTTATTAACTATACATTCAAACGGAAAAACTGTCGCACAATCATATATTTAACACACAAAGAAACTCGGTTTAAGCATATTTATAATATTCTTTCCAAGTCGAACACTTATACATGTTTGTGGACCCTAAAGAAGGAGGGGGTCCTAATCAGACTGGAATATTTCGTTTTAGGCAAGGCGGCAAGTACCTTTGTAGAATCCCACATCAAAAACTAATCTATCTATATATATTTGTAAAATCAAATGCAGTTGTAGATAACAGAGGAAGACTTTAATAAACACGCATTCTGGTTCTAAGCATATATTTATTTATGTACGTAGACTAATTGTATAAACAAAATATTTAAGCAATAATTTATGAAAATATATGTTTAAAAATGTGCGTATTTATCGATATTATGTCTCTCAAGGTTTATGGGCTGGGTTAAGTCCTCCTTTTTTGAGCTAAGGATTTCCAGAGACGGATTCCGATCAGCAAGGTAGTCTATATCCATACGTCTTAAATCTTTACGTTATTGCTTGTTTCAATGCAAATGTTTCCAAAGTCGCGCACAGGACATTCGGAGGCATTCAATGAAAAAACAAGAAAGGAAGCTAACTTCGGCACGCCGAAGTTTGTATACCCTTGCAGATATTATTTCATTACATTTTACCTATATTATTATGTTTACAGTTTGACAGTTACAGTTTTGCATTCCCAGCTTTACATTTTTTCTACATCTACCGATCGGTTTATATGGCAGCTATATGATATAGTTGTCCGATTTTTATGAAATTTATACCAAAATTCTAGAATAATAAAATAAGCTTATATCCTGGAGTAGATGAAAAAACGTTGAAAAATAACGAAGTTATAGTTTTTTTCCTATTAATTTCCCGATCGTTCCTATGGCAGCTATATGATATAGTCGTCCGATTTTCAAAAAATTAAAACCGAAATTCTGAAATAATATAAAATGGCCATATCTGCAATTATGCAAAAATGTTGAAAAACAGCTAATTTATAATTTTTTTTCTAAAAATTTATCCAACATTTGTATGGCAGCTATATGATATAGTCGTCCGATCCGGCCCGTTCCGACATATATAGCAGTGAGAGTATATAGAAGACTATATGCAAAGTTTCATTTAGATAGCTTTAAAACTGAGGGACTAGTTTGCGTAGAAACGGACAGACGGACAGACGGACGGACAGACGGACAGACGGACGGACAGACGGACATGGCTAGATCGACTCGGCTGTTAATGCTGATCAAGAATATATATACTTTATAGGGTCGGAAACGTCTCCTTCACTGCGTTGCAAACTTCTGACTGAAATTATAATACCCTGCAAGGGTATAAAAAGGGTCAAAAGGAAACGTTTCTTATTTCTGCTGAAAGGCTTAACAGTGGCTCAATCTTATTTCATCCAGACCAAATTAAAAACATTAAAAGCCAAAACATGAACCAAAGGGGGGGGGTTTCTCAGTTCATATTTATTAACTTCCCGTATTTTTAATATTTTTATACCCTTGCAGGGTATTATAAATGCAGTCAGAAGTTTGCAACGCAGTGAAGGAGACCTTTCCGACCCTATAAAGTATATATATTCTTGATCAGCATTAACAGCCGAGTCGATCTAGCCATGTCCGTCTGTCCGTTTCTAAGCAAACTAGTCCCTCAGTTTTAAAATATCTGAATGAAACTTTGCATATAGTCTTCTGAATACTCTCACTGCTATATACATATGTCGGAACGGGCCATACAAATGTTCGATACTTTTTTATGAAAAAAAAAATATAACTTGGCTGTTTTTCAAAACTTTTGCATAATTATTGAGATATGGCCAATTTATACTAGGTTGTTTGGTAATGACATACCGGTTTTTACATTCAAATTTCGCACTTCGCTTATAAAGTCAAATATAATCGTACATGGCAATGTTGTATATCGTTTGAAAGGTATTGGTAACACCTTTAAAATGATATATATATAGATTGTTTACATGAGCATCCACGTTGAAAAGTTACAATCAATTGAAATGGAGTTCACAAACGCAGAAATTCGGGCAATTTTGAAAATTTATTTCGCACAGGGAAAAACTTCTGCGGAATCTCGCCGACAGATTATTGCTGTCTTGGGAGATAACAAACTTTCGATTCAAATCGCCGAACAGTGGTTTAGGCGATTCCGAAGAGGCAATTTTGATACCGAAACACCCAAGCTTTCCTGACGACCAGTGACCGTTGATACGGATAAAATCATGGAAATAGTGGATCGAGATCGTCATGTGACTATTAGAACATTGCAGAGGAGCTGCAACTAAGCACGGAAACAGTCCATAGGCATTTAAAGTCGAAAAATTTAACAATAAAGCTCGATGTAAGGGTGCCTCATGAGTTATCCCAAAAAAAACCTTTTCGACCGTGTATCAATCTGCGAATCTTTGTGTCACCGTAATAAACTCGACGCGTCACAAGCTACGGGAGCTTGGTTGGGAAGTGTTAATGCATCCACCTTATAGTCCGGACATTGCCCCAAGCGATTACCATATGTTTTTGGCCATGCAAAATTGGTTCGATGGACAAAAATTGAGTTCAAGGATGGATTGTGAAAATCGAATCGCTGAGTTTTTTGCCAGTAGGGACATGGACTTATTTAGGAGAGGCATATACAAGTTACCATCAAAATGGCAGAAAATCATCGAAGACAACGGTACATAAAGCACTTAAATCGGACAATGTTAACTATGTTAAAATCGTCGTCAAAAATCAATAAAGAAACGGGTATGTCATTACCAAACAACCTGATATTATTTCAGATTTTCGTTTTTAATTTTATGAAAATCGGACAACTATATCTTATAGCTGCCGTTCCCATGGATCGGGAAGTTAAGAGAAAAAATTATACATTCGTTGTTTTTCAACGTATTTTCATCTACTCTGCGATATGAGCTTTTGTTATTATTTCAGAATTTTGGTATAAATTTTATGAAAATCGGACAACTATATCATATAGCTGCCATAAAAGCGATCGGTAAAAGTAGAAAAAATTTAAAGCTGGGAATGTAAAACTGTAAAATAATAAGTATAGGTAAAATGTTATGAAGCTCTGTTTTGTTTTCTTTCTTTTCTTCTTTTATTTTTTTCTAACCAGAATGGCTCCATTCTTAATGATCCAATTGCAATCTGCAAGGGTATACAAACTTCGACGTGCCGAAGTTAGCTTCCTTTCTTGTTTAATTTATTTTTTATATTTATTATTATACAATAGCAAATATCAGCCATTGTAAAGCCATATACTTACCTCTAACCGGATAAGGAGTGTTTTTAAACGATATGCTTCGACTCACATGGTCACAGATGGGCAGAGGCAAGGATAGGTGTCTTAAGATATGCTGTACCTACTTCAAATTTGTGAAGATTTCCTTTCAGGACAATGACACAAATTATAAGTCAGGCATTGTGCAAGATTGGCTTTATTGATCCTGCCCGCACGTTACGCAGTCTCCAGTACAGTCGCCCCACGTGAATGTAATTAACAATTTGTGGGGAATTTTGGATAAAAACATCCAAACACGGAAAATATCCAACAAAAAGAACCTGTAAGTGGCGTTGCCCGAAGAGTGGGCTAAAATAGCCTCAGAAACCACTTCAAAGTTGGTGGATTCGATGCCAAAAGGACTGGTTGTGGACAATAAAGGTGGTCAGAACAAATACCAACAAAATTACTTTTTTCATATTTTACAGGCTTTTTTGATTTGGGTCTGGTTGAAATAAGATGTGAGCCACTGTAGTTCTTTATTACTAATAAATTATTAGCTCTCTCATTGGTCCAAAGATTTGTGTTGGGTAATTATTCATTTTTAAGATAATTGCCAAATTTAAGTGATTCGCACGGGACAAACGGAAATGGTTTTTGAGGTCAACCAATTCAATCGCCAATTTCTGCGAATCCAGAAGCAATGTTTTAATGCAACTAATTTTAAACGTTAGTGCACTGATGGCTCTTAAAAATGTTTGAGTGATTTTTTAAAAATGACTTCCAATTTTTGTAAATTTTATTTTAAATAGATTCGCACGGGACAAAAAAAAAAAAAAGACTTGCAAATCAAAATTTAAATTTCCTTCTGTTTTTATTTTTGATTCTTTCCATTATCCAGTACCTCTGGTTTTGAAGTTATTATCAAAACAAAATATCTCCTTTTTATCTTCTTAAAATAATGAAAAATCGAGTTTGCACTAATTAATTCAACTTTTAAGGTTTTGGCCGCCGTGGAACCATCTGTAGAAATGCCCGTATACATATTTTGCCTTTCGGCTAAATAATAAACATGGTAAAATGAGGGTTAACTTACAATTAAAATTACAAGAAATGACAGGTGTTTTACAGTTTGGAATAAAACTATGCTGTTCTCATGAATATTTCCTTAATACATAAGAAAGTAAGTATTTATTGGCTGTCTTAAGAAACACATATGTTGTATAAGTTATAGAAAAAGAAGTTAATCATCGTTGTCGCTACCCGATCCGCTGCCGGAGCCGCTGCCACTGCCACTGCCCGACTTGCTGCTGCCCGCGCTCTTGTGGCTGCCTTCCTGGTCGCTGCCGCCAGCACTGCTATCATCTTTGCCACTCTTGCCGCTCTTGGCGCTGCCAGCATCCGATTCGCTGTCCGAATCGCGCAGCGCCTTGCTTGCCTTGGCCTTGTCCACTTTCTTGTTGCGTCGCCCTTCAAAGTCGGAGCCCTCGTCTTCATCGGAGGAGTAGATGGTAGATGCTTTTACTTCCGCTTGGGTGCCGCCGCTAGATGAGCCCTTCTTGTATCTGTTCTTAATGGCGCTCAGGCTAATGGCGTTCTCATCGTCGCTGCCATCGTCGTGCTGATAGGACGAGTTGCCACCACCACCCAGGAGTGGCTCGCCAGCACCCGCCTTCTTCTTCTTGGGCTGAGCCTTGTGCTGGTTGCGCATGGCCTGCCTCAGCTTGGCCTCTTCCTCTTTAAGCTGCGTGGGCCTGTCTGTGGTGGGGTCCTTGCCCACCTGGGTGAGGATCTTGATGCCACTGGTCTTGCTGGAGCGATCGGCCAGCGACATGGTCATCTTCTTGTGCGTGAAAGACTCCGTCGAATGGGGCCGGAAGGTGAGCTTGGTCCTGAACACCGACTGGCCCTGCAGACCTGTTCCCTGGCGGATGAACAGATGGTTGTGGTCACCCAGCAGCGGCTGCCGATAGGCATCGAATATCTCGTTGCCCAGGTGAAGGGACATGCTGCCGTCCGACCAGCGCACATATCTGGCGTTTGACTCGCGCACCATGTTGCCCTTGTTGTCCATGAACTCACGCCAGCGGATCGTGTTGCTGACCTTGAGCTTAATGCGTTGCCGTCCCTCCTCATCCATTGTCTCCTCTTCATCGATCTCATCCTCGTACGTCTCGGGATCGAAGGGATGTGTGACCACAGACAAGAAGTTCGGCAGCTTGATAAAGTGTTGTTCTTTCCCAAGGTCCGCCGAGATGCGCGGTATCTCCACATCGATTCGTGTCTCTGGCAACGGTTCCGGTTCATCTTCTTTGGGGGGCGGCGGTACCACCTGGGACTCGGCACGATCACGGGATCGCGAGCGGGAGCGAGAACGCGACCGGCTCATAGAATGGCTGCGTGAGCGGGACCTGCTCCTACTGCGACTCTTGGAACGTGCCGGGGATTTACTGGTGGCCGGGCCAACTGCATCGTCATCATCACTGATGTCATCTGCGTCTCCGAAGATGTCAGCCGCCGCTGGAGCCACCTTTTTCGCCTACATGATTGGAAGTGAGGTGTTTAGTTTAGCCGAGTGTTACAAAACAAAAATTGTCCAACTTTGAACTCACCTCCTCCTTCTCGCTCTCGCTGTCTGAGTCAATCAGCCGCGATTTCTTGACGGGCGATTCCTCCATGTCGCTATCGCTGCCGCTCTTGCGCTTCTCCTGATCAGATCCGCTTGTGCGGCGCACCTTTTTCTTGGGAACCCCCATGTCGCTCCCTGAACCGGATCCACTGCGACTGCGACTCCGGTTCGGGGATGGCGTGCCCGTCTTGGAGCTATACCTAGAGTTGCGACTGCCGCTCCTGCTTCTGCTGCGACTCCTACTCTTGCTCTTGCTTTTCGAGTGGGCACGTTCATCATCGATCTGCAGGTTCGGCGAGTTTGAGCGCGACTCCTCATTACCGCTGCCCTTAGGGGTACCACTGCGTGAGTGGGATCGGGATCTAGCGCTTCGAGCTAAATCGGATCGACGACTGTGAGCGGAGCCCGATCTCTGGCTATGGGGAGATCCTGACCGACGGCTTTGGGGGGATCCTGATCTGCGGCTCTGGGGGGACTCTGACCTACGACTTTGCGGTGAACCCGACTTATGACTTTTTGGGGAGGCGTCTGACCTTCTGCTTTGGTGGGATCCTGATCTCCGACTACGAGCAGATCCGGATCTTTGACTGTGTGGTGATCCTGATTTTTGGCTATGAACAGATGGCGATCGCTGGCTCTGCCTTGACCCTGAGCGGCGACTTTGAGCGGATCCGGAACGGGCACTTCGCGGAGATCCAGAACCAGATCGAGATCTCGAGGATCTCGAAGCAGAGCGGGACCGGTCACTGCCACTGCGAGGGGATCTGGTAAACGTATTTCATCGTGTCATAAACATTCTGTGCCGCTTAAATATCACAAACCTACCCGGGTGCACTGCCTCCTTGCGGCGTGACGCTGCGACTGCCACTGCGACTTGAGCCGGAGGAACCTGAAAAGACCACCTTACTTAACCCTGTTTGGGTCACAGAAATTGCCAGCCACTCACCACTTTCATCGTCTGAGTTCTGGTCACCCATAATGTCGATAAAGCGTTAAAAAATAGCAAATGAAAATACGCGGCCGGGAAATATAATTGAGTTTAGGAGGTCTTCGCACTTGCAAGCCAATCGATAGGCGATACCATTAGGGCGGTCTGCAACGTGCAAGCAGGCAGATAGGTGCCTGCAATCGATATAATGTAAACAACTCATTTGTTTGAGAGAAAATCTAAACAACTTGTATCTAGTACAACAAAAACTGGAGGACAGTGTAAAACTTAATAAAATTGAGGACAAACAGGATTCAATTCCTGCAAAAACAAGCTGTAGAAAAACTGGAAGACTATCGATAGTTGCACTGCATCGATAACCGAATTTTACATCCCTAATTCCTGTGTGTTTGTATTCGTGACAGCCACAAAGTTTTTTTGCGGAACATTTTTGTGTACAATTTAAAGCCATTTCGGGCGCTAAAAAATTGCCCATTGCCCCTCCATAGTGGATCTTAAAGTCGCGGCTCCACCAAGCACGCGTGCATTTGAGTGTTGGTGACGTAAAAGACAAGTAAATCGGGCAGCGAATTTTGCCCAATTCGCTAGTTCGGGTGAAATTTCAATGAACTGAGAAAACAAAGACAGAGACACACACACGTAAACTCACACACAGGGTCACAGACACAGTGCTTGTGCAGCAGTGAAGAAAGAAGCAGAGACAACAGCGCAATAGCGAGCAATTATTTACTTACAAATAAAATACAAAAAGGAAACACTATCAAAAACAGTGTACTGGCGAGACTTTTGCAAAAGTGCGGCATCTACAACAAAGTGCAATCGAAGCGAACGAGGAAGCAAAAAGGGATACGAAAAACTTTTCGCCTCCGCCAGGCATCAACATCCTTCGGTACTCTACTCCCTCTCTCGCGTTCGTTCTCTCTCTTTCTCTCTCTCTCTCACGGACCACGCTGCATACAGACGAGGCATATACACGTACACCCATACAGCGGTATATATGCCATTTATTCAGGGACGACACGGCGCGGAAAAGTACTAACTAACCTCGCTCCCGCTCCGGCTTCCGTTCCCGCTCCGACTTCGGCTCCCTAGCCTTGTGCTCCATCCATCCATCCTCCCTTTTTCCAGTCAGTGAGTGATTGTGTGTGCGAGTGAGAGCTAACGCTAACCTCAGGCTGCCCCATTGGATTTAGCAGGCATCCTTTGCAAATCCTTTGACGCCACGGATACGGCGCTAGGACGACGACGACTACCACGTCCACGTCCCGCCGGCCGCTTTGGAATGTTAAATGCGGTGAGAACGATCCGATCAGTGTATGTTGTTGTTGCTGGACAGAGTGGAAAGCGAGCGTTAACAGTGGAAGTGCAAGAAGCGGCAGTATCATCTAACGTTAATTTAGGTAAGTCGCCACGCTTTGCTTTCGATCATGGTTGCTGTTTGATTGTTAATTGGTAACCTTATTGGCCCCCGAAAGTTTCCTATCCCCGAGTGTTTGTTGTAAGCGCTTACACCAGTGTTGCAAAGCGACCGCCGGGTCAGCTGATAAAGTTACATGCGCAGGGCAGGTAAAAAAGCAATATTTGGTAAAATATGAAGATAAATTTTCCCCCCAAATTGCATGTCTTCTTAGGCAGCCCAAGCACACACAGGCATCACACAAGTGTTTCGTTTCTCGAGAGATTGTACCTGTTCTCGCGTCAACGGCAGTAGAGGGGCAATGCTCCCACCCACACAAGCAAAGCAATGACAGACTACCAAAGTCCTGTGCCAGTGTTTATGTGCGGGAGGAGGTACAATGGCATCCGCTTTAATTGATGTTATAGCATTTAAATATTTATGGAATCTGAAGTCAAATATATAATCACATAGAATTTTATTCCTTAAACATTTGTAGTTTCAGCTTTGGAAACTTCTTTATTCCGTGTGTTCTATTAAGGCATTTTGGTCGAGCATTGAATAAAACATATGTATACATTGTAGTTGCCGTTAATGTTATTAACTATAACATGTAAAATTCATTACACATGTTAGTATTTAAATTAGGTATAAATATTATGTTTAGTTTTCTACGCCATCTGATTTAATTGTTCTTATAAACATCGAAAATAGCCTTATCTTTTAGTTTCTAATCGGTAATCTGAATGCATTTTGTCCGTAAAAGCTTTTTTTTGACACCGAACGAAATACTACGGTTGATAAGGAATATTCTAAAGCATATCTTAACAATAAATGGTTTTCATTTGGTTTAAGATAGTTCAAAATGTATGTACATGTAGGAAAATTCCTTTTTTTGTTATTAGCTTATTTCTTAATTCGACCTCCATTACAATTGATTTTATGTGTGCATATTTATGTACATTATGTTTGTAATTAAGAGAGTGACACGATAGAGTTTTGTTAATTAAAGTGCGAAACTCAACAAAAACAATTTATTTACTTAATGCCCCTTTAAAGTAAATAAATCTGTAACGAATTCGGTTTACATTTCTTTTTGGCAGTTTGCTGCCACTGTTTGATACCACTACCTGCATAGTTGATCGTGAGACAAGTGCGGCGTATCCTTTTCTTTCTCTCTTTTGCCTCTTCCTGCTCAGCCATTCTGGTTTTTTCACCCACACCATTACCATTGTCTTCCGTCTCCACACCATACACAGAGGCCGCTGTGCATGTGTGTTGCCCACGCCAAATAGGAACGGCAATAATTGCCGTAGCCTTTCTGCATTTACTTCAGCTTCTCCTCCTACTCCTTGTTCTTTTTCTCATCATCCTCGCCATTCTCTTTCTCCTCCTTTGTTTTCTGGGCGAATTCGCCAATCGACAGCTGATGCGGCGGCCATTAAGCAGCATCAAACAGTGCTGCAAAGCGAAGTCAATATTTGTTTACCAGCTCTATTGGAAACCCTTTTTTACATGACCATGCAAATTACGCAAAATACCTAGATTTATTTATATCTATTATTATTTATTTATTTATATACAGACGTTGCCTTTCTAGGGCTCGACTTTTTGTTTGTTTATTTTCTTTGCACGCATATGATCGCATTTAGTGTGTGCTGGGCGACAATTATCTGCGGGGAGTCGGATTTGTTATCACTATGAGTGTGAGCCCCCTTCTCTTAGTCACACATAACCATTGCTCTTGTTTATGGGCTACGCATTAAGACACAGATGCCGATGAGTCAAGGATGTTCTCTTAGCTTACACAAACTAATATGATTAGTAATTCCTACGAACAAAACAACAATACTTTATTCGGTAAATTATTGATTCAGATACATAATCACTCCCAATTTCCTTTGCAGATTATGGCGAATTTAAATTTCCAACAACCCCCGAGAAGTATAGCGAACGCGGCGTTAGCTGGACGAACAACCGGCGGATTCGGTGGTAGCTCCCTGGCTGGCCATGTAACGCCCACGTCAGGAATGTTCCAAACCGGTAAGCTAAATGTTTATCATTGGCTGTGATAAAGCATTATACTTACACAACGCCGTGCGCAGATTTTGTCAACTCTTATCCAGGAGCGGCGAACTACGGACAGGCGCCACAGCAGCAGCAGCAACAACAGCAACAGCAGCAGCCGCAACTGTCGCCGAACCGGAATGCGCAGCTTTCGGTCGGCGGACCCGCCATCTCGAGCGGCAACCGGAATGCCAACCTATTCGGGCAGCGGCAGTTTGTGGAACGGCGTGCCATGCAGGGATTGGGCAGTGGACCTATGGTGAGTCCTCTGAATACAATAGCATTTCTCCAACTAATTGCATATTCGCTTTACAGTCGAACATGGGGAACTTCATGCAAACGGGTCGCGGCGGCTACGGAACGGGCGGCGGCGGTGGCGGTCCTTTAAATAACTTTCACGTGTTCGGCGGTGGCGGTGGAGGCGATGCTTCCACGCCAGCCCTGCTGGATCCCACGGAGTTTCCATCGCTGACGAATGCGCGCGGCCAGAACGACCAGACACTGCCCCAATCAAATCCGCTTCAGCCGCCGGGCAGCAAACCCTATGGTAATTTCTTTACCTCTTGTGAGTTCAAATCAAAAATCCACTTCTTTTTATTTATTTCCGTTTACAACTATGATTACGTTTAAGCACTAATCCCTAGATTCTGTCTAAACGTTTGTTACTTTCTTATTTTGTTACTAATTTCCATTGTGGTTTTGGGTCATTTAAGTTGTGAATTCGTGTGCCAAACGCCTTTTGTCAAAAAAATAATGTCTTGCCATGTTTTTTTTTGTTTTTTTGAATGCGCATTAAGGTTGTATTCGACATTAGAGTTATGTTTTTATTATATATTTTTTACCTGACGGTTTTGTATAAATAACTTAATTTTTCCTTAAAAAACATTTTCTATTTAATATGTTGCAATAAAGAGATTTGCTAGAGAGAGCGCTAAAATTTAAAGTTTTGTACGCGATTGAATATAAATTTGAATTTTAAAGTAGAACGGAATTTAGGACAATTTAAGAAAATTTGTATATTGATTTGAAATTTCTTTATATACACAAACAGTAAGATGAGTATGAGTGTTTTACTTTTCGGTCTTTGTGACCATTCGGGCGAAGATGCCAAATTTTAAATAATGGTATCCTACCGCACTTCATGCGATCTTTAATGTTTTGTTATAGTGCCTTCATCCTGAACAATGAGTTGGCACACAGTTTTTCCACATGCTTATTTATTTAAATAAATTGTAAGTTTAAACTGATGAAAGTAAATTACAGCCCACTAACATGAATACCGTTTTTATTTGCTGCGAGATTTGGAGAAAACTAATATACACATATGTACATATTTAGTAAATAAATTATTTGCAAATAAGTAGATTAAAGCTCCTTTGGCATTGCCTTACCAATTGTATTTGCATTTTCTTAGCTTCGACGCGTTTCCTTCGCTTCATTTTGACTTGACGTTCTGCCCCTTTTTACTCTCCTTACTTGCAGTTGGCATGGTTAAGCAGCCGACGTCAGAGCAATCGGAGTTCACGATGTCAAATGAGGACTTCCCTGCGTTACCGGGCACCCAAAACTCGGACGGCACAACGAACGCGGTAGGGAGCGGCAGCGGCGGTGGCGTCGGTGCCACAACAGAGAATCACTTGGATGGCACGGAAAAGGCGATGAATTCGATTGTGGTCAGTGGATTGACGAGCGGCGGTAGCAGCGGCACCAGTGTCGGCGTTGTAGGCGGCAATGGTCTCGGTGCCGTTGGCAGTGGTCTTGGAGGCGGCTTGGTCGTCGGTGGCGGCGCTGGAGGGAGTAGCGGAGGCGCTGGAGGAGTTAGTGGCAGTGGCGGCAATGCAGCCAGCGGTGTCGTCAGTGGATCGCATGTGGGCCTTGGCGGCAGCAGCACTGGCGGCGGCGGAGTCGGTAGCGTTAACAGTGTGCCCAACAGCAATGCCATGATGGGCGTGGGCGGCGGCCTGGGCAGTGGCAGCGCCGGTACCACCGGCAGCGGCAGCGGGTCGGGCTGCGAGCATCTGAACGATAATTCCAGCAACGATAAACTTGTGAAGAGCGGCGTGCAAACTTCGCCAGATGGTGAGTATTGTGCCGATAAGCTTCGATTCAGCAGTGTTAACGTCCTATCAAGACTTCAACGCCAGCGTTATTTAATATTTCTGGTTTGTCACATTCCCAGGGGTATTTTGAAACCATGGTTTTATATATAAGAAAATAAATTTACGGTATCTTAAAAAATACAGTGGTTCTCTAAAATCCAAATATTTAAAACTACTCAAAAAATGCTGTATTAAAACTCGAATTGCTTCAAACTAATTTTTTTTTTACAATGAAATATTTTTAAATGAAATATTTAATAACCTTAAAATTCCCAAAATGTATAGCGTCTTCTGGAGAATAAGGGCTCTTATCTGCTCTAAAAGTCTCACGTAACTTAGATTTCTGGCTATTACTCTTCTAAAAGCCAAACAGGGTCAGTTTATTCGCATTACTCGGATAGGTTTATAAGGTTATAAAGATCTCTTGAACAATTTGAACGGCAATAGGCGAATACATTTTGTTTTACATCTCAAGCTTAGTTTTAAATTTAAATCAGTCAACTAAACAACTCCAACGGGAAGATGTAGATATTTTGAAATCCACTGAATAATTCATTTGTCTATTGATATTGTTCAAACCATGTGCACCTTTTCTCGTGATATATGGGTCTCAGTGACTTAACCTAAATGTGGATGGAATATACCCATATATATTTACTATGTTCCCTTACTTACTTTCCTTTTTGTACATTTTAGGGAAGGTCACAAACATACCAGCGACCATGGTGAACAACCAGTTCGGCATGGTGGGCCTGCTGACGTTCATTCGGGCTGCGGAAACGGATCCCAATCTGGTGACGCTGTCACTGGGCACGGATCTCACAGGCTTGGGCCTGAATCTGAACTCGCAAGAAAGCTTGCATACAACATTCGCTGGACCGTTCGTGGAACAGCCCTGCAGGTAGGCCAATTGCTTAAGGTTCTTAAGAGTAAACATATTTTGAAAAAGTTTAATCTGTCAATCTGTGTGTTATCAAGGGCTTATTTTATACTAATTTTTATTATTTATGTTGAAATAGAAGATAATTTCATGCTGATGATAATAGTTAAAAAAACTAAAACTGAATTTCTGAAATAATAAAAAAAGCTTATATCTCAAAGTAGATGAAAATACGTTGAAAAACCTAGAAGTTATAATATGTTTTCTATTAATTTCTCGATCCTATGCCACCTATATAATATAGCCGTCCGATTTTTATAAAACTGAAATCGAAATTCTAAAATAATATAAAATGGCCATATCTCAAAAATGATTAAAATGTTTTGAAAAACAGCCAAGTTAAATTTTGTTTTCTAAAAAAGCAGTGAGAGTATTCAAAAGACTATATGGAAATATTTATTCAGATAGCTGTAAAACTGAGGGACTAGTTTGCGTAGGTGGACAGACGGACATGGCTAGATCGACTCGGCTGTTGATGCTGATCAAGAATACTGAACTGACTGAAATTATAATACCCTGCAAGGGTATAATACCAACTAATGAGCCACTTGAATTATTATACTGTATGAAATCTAGTCAAATTTTGTTTTTAACCGATATTAGGCATATATTTAAATTTGATGACTTTTTTTTTTGTTGTAGAGCACAAGACGTTGAGTTCAACGTGCCACCCGAATATCTTATTAACTTTGCGATAAGAGACAAACTTACTGCGCCTGTACTGAAAAAGCTGCAAGAAGATCTGCTCTTTTTCCTTTTCTACACGAACATCGGCGATATCATGCAATTAATGGCAGCCGCTGAATTGTAAGTACACTTCTACAAAAGGATTCATCGGAACTTCAGAACTAAATTCCCTAAATTGCAGGCATAGTCGCGAGTGGCGGTATCATGTGGAGGAGAAAATATGGATAACTCGAATTCCTGGCATTAATCAATATGAAAAAAATGGTACAAAAGAGCGCGGCACCTTCTACTACTTTGATGCGCAAAGTTGGAAACGTTTGTCCAAGGTTTTCCAAATAGATGCCGAGAAATTAGATAAATGTCCCAATATAAGTGCGTTTATGAATGGACAGTCTGTATAAAATGAATAAAAAATGAAAAAAATTGAAAAATAAACTTATGGTTTTATTTTCTATAGCAGATTATAACAAAGGACACGGAGGGAAGCAAACGTTGGTAAGCCGAAGTTTGTAAACTTTTGTATTTTTGTAATTTGTCACAACCAAATTACATGACAAATTAACACTATAATGCTGAAACCATAAAATATAAAAACGCCATATCACGGAATGTATCAAAGTATGTCGGAATATTCAACGTGTAACACCAGAATATTCACCGGGCCCCGACAGAATACCGGGCTTCGTGCTCTAGTATAATATAGGGGAGAGTGGGGATAGGTGAACCACTAGGATAGATGAACCACTACACTAAATTTGGAAAGCAAATAAACTTTACAAAACAAAAGATACTATTTTTGCATAATACTTAATATTCCAAGGAATGTGGGTTCTTTTAGATTTCTATATACAGCAGACCCTTACGTCGAATTGTTCAGACACAATAATGTTAATAAAAAAAAAGTTGTTCACCTATCCCCACTCTTCCCTAAAAATAAAATTTTATATAACAATTAAGATTGTATTTTTTAATAAAATATAATTGAATATAAAAGTTATTTTCCAATGTTTATTTTACAAATTGGAAAATAAAAGTTATTTGTAAACTTATTTTAAAAACTGAAAATAAAAGTTAAATTTTAATAACTTTGGAACGGAGCGATATGTTTAAAAGATTGATATATTGGCAAAGTCTAAAAGCATGTGCTGATTTAATATTATATTGTTAGTAATATCATTTTAATTTAAATAATATTAATTTTCAGCATATTTTTGTTTTAAAATATTTGATCCGAAACTCACAGGTTACATTTTTCCGCTGGTCGCGACCATAAATGCTGACTGTGCTTTTCGTTCTTATTTATTACATATTCGTTTGTTTTTTACATTTTTATTCTTAAGATTCTTCTATTAACAGTAAACTAATAAAAGCATAGAAAGAGAAATAAGCAAGCCGTTAAATACCTATTAATGTTTTAGTTTATTGCGCTTACTACTTTTTTGTACCTTTGTTTCTATTATTTCTAATCAATAGAAAAAAATTATTTGTGCTTTTGGTATAACGACAAAATTATTTGCCATAATATAATTTCCTATACTAATATTGGAAACAGTATCCAAAAAAAATTTACAATGTTGCTTATGATAAAATTCGGCATATTAATTTTTTTTTTTTCAATTTGTAACTGTAATATATTTTCCTTAAAAAGAAAAAACAAGTGTTCCTCATTATTTTTATTTGTACAACAATTATAGGTATTGATGTTATGTTTTAATAAAACGCCATTACAAAATTCGAACAAAAAACGTAATAAAAAATTGATGTACCGTTACAAATCAGCAATAAAATTATTAAATAAATAAAACAATAGTTAATATTAATTATAACTTCTAGTAATGAAAAAGTAGATTAATTTATTGTAGTTTAAGAGTTTTATTCATTTAAATTAATTAATAATTTAATTAGTATCCTGGGAATCCTATTTGGTTAATATATCCATTTCCGGTATGACTTTTATATTTCGAATTTAATTAATAATCATCAATAATAATGATTAAAATTGAGTAATATTCTATATAAATCAATGACTATTTTAATTTTTAATAAAAATGATTTAAATTAATAAAAAAAATTTTGAGCAAAAAAATAATAATAATAATAAGTAATAAGTATTTGTGATTAAAAAAATAAAAATTAAAAAATTTTTTTTGACTTTCATAAATATAGTTATTATTTTTAAGTTTTCTTTTCTTTTTGGACTCAAAATAACTCATCTGTTAACTAAATAATAATGATTATTTTTTATTTTTATTTTTATCAAAAATAATAATTATTATTGATTTTTATCAAAAATAATAATTATCATTGATTTTTTTAATATTACTCAATTTTAATTTTTTATTCCTTTAATTGTTTATTGATGATCAAAAAAATACAAATCAATGTGAATCATAATTACTTGATTTTTAAAATAAAACTTATAATGATTACGGTTCCTGTCTTAAACTACTAGTCCTTTATTTAGCTGTCCACAACTTTGATTTATACGAAAACTTTAGGCTCCTTTCGGAGTCGCTAAATGCCTGAAAATAAGCCGTTTAAGCCGTGTGTATGGGAACAGATGCTTTCAGTAGCCGATATTTTCACTAATTCAAGGGAATACCCTAGATGTTTTTAACGCTGATTTCAATTGGAAAATAGCTATATATAGCTAGGGAAATAGCTAAATTGGCATCGCTGTACACCAAGCAGCAAGAAGAAGCTATAAAAATCAGCGCCTGCGCCGGGAAGTAAATTCAAATTGATTTGAAGGAAAACGAACTTCCCGCGTCGCTTTTTGTAGCGCTATGAATACGCCCGGCATGAGTCTGTTTCAGGGCGCCGACACCCTCAACGTAAACTCCACGCTGGATCGCCAGGAGGAGGAAGAGGCGCTACAGGATCAGAAGCGACGCGATGAGGAGGTGAGTGAATACTACTGGTGTGCAGGGCTAATCTGTGAAATCCTGGCGAATAATGTCACTGCTACGATCATTTCTACCTCAGCTGGGGCACCTGCTGGAGAACGCCTTCGACGACCTGGATGATGAGGAGAACACAATCGACTCGACGACGAATTCCCACTCCGAATTGCCGCCGCCCCGTCAGCCGCTGGCTGCTCTGAACAACTATTCGCCGCACTCACACGCGCCAGTGCTCCAGAAGAACCAGCAGCAGCAGCAGCAGCATCATGCAAACGAGATGCACCGCATGAAGATGATGGTAGAATCCAAGACCAAAGAGTTGGAAAACGTCAATCAAATGGCCACCTCTGCGCACAAGCAACTTGATGAGTTCCAGAAGCGACTGACCATTATGAAGGCGGAACTGGACCGCGCTCTGCGCGAGAAGCAGAACACTCACGAGCTGCTCGTAGAGACCAAGGAGCGGTGTTCCAACCAGGAGAGTGGCCTTGAGAAGTTGCGCGCCGAGAAGAAGCAACTAGAAGAGGACAACACGCGGCTGGTAGGCCAGTTGGAGATCACTAGAACGATGCTGTCGGATGTACAGTGCAAATATGACATGGTGCAGCGGGAGACGCACAAGCGCGAGGAGCGCAACGCCGAGTTGCGGGTCCGCCAAATGGAGGATGCGCACCGCGCTCAGTGCGAGCTCCTGCAGCAACAGCTCAGTCAACTGACTGATCAGCTCGATCGCAAGAAGATGGATCTCGAGCAGATGCATTCGCGCTATAATGCCCTGCAATCGGGCCATGAAACCATGTTGGCCGACAAGGCGGCCAAGATAAATGAGCTGAACCAGGCTCTGGATGTGGCCCAAATGCGTTGCAAACAAGTGAACAGCAGGGCTGACCTGGAGGCGGAGGTCCAACGTCAGCAGCGATGCATTGCTGAGCAGAAGGCTCGCATCGTGGAGCTGGAGCAAACGATCGCTGTACTCAACGAGCGGGTTACCGGAACTACGGCGGAGCTGGACTTAATGGACACCCTTTTGCAGCAGCATCACGCCGACGAGTCGCCAACGGGAAGGCTCAGTCAGGTGGGTGGGTCCCGGCTTATTGGCAGCACGCCCCTGAACCCCGTGGACAGGGTCAACCACATTAAACAAGAGCTGTACCGGGCGCTGGGCAATCTCAAAAGCAAGCGGGAGGAGGTGCGTCGGTTGGAGAAGCAGCTGGAGGAGCGCAACCAAGAGCTGCGCCTGCACCGCGAACAGGAAAATAAGTCACTAGTCCAACTTGCTACCTTGAAGGAGGAAAAAATGCGTCTAGATAACAAAGTTAAGGTCATGCAGCAGGAGCTGGAGGAGCAGCAGCACCGATCCCAGCAGGACTCCAGGGTGCAGAGCCAGCTGGACGACCTGATGATGGAGAGGGATTCTCTTAAGAAGGAATGCCAGCAAGTTGATGAGCAACTCAAGACCATGGAGAGGGATATGGATCAACTGAAGCAGCAGTGTGAGAGCCTCCAGAGGAACAACGAAGAGCTGACGACGGATAATATGCAGCTGAGAGCACGACCCATCGCTGACGATGTGCGTCTGGAATTGGAGCGCCACAAAATTTTATTGAAGGATGCCCAGAGTGAGGTGGAGCGGCTCAAGAAACTGTATACCGACATCGCCACTGACAAGGAGTCGCTGGACTACGAATTAAGGAAGCTAAGGGAAGTTGACACGCTTAAGGAGCTGCAGGAGCATCGTCAGAAACTTGCCACTGCCCAACGCAATTTACAGCTGGCGGAGCTCAAGTCTCAGGAGCTGAGTAAGCTTTTAGAAACGGCGAAACTCGGCCACGAGCGAGATATCCAGGCGCTGCGCCAGAAAAGCGAGCGGGACAAGCGCGAAGAGGCCGCCAACAAGGAGAACTCCGGCAATTGCAGCAAATGCCTAGAAAGTCTGGCAGAAATCACAAAGGTAACCAACGGGAGCTGGGTTTAATATACGCTTTAATATTTTACTTCGTGACTTTCAGGCTGAAATCCGTATGTTGAAGCTCCAAAATGTCAACTCAATGCAGGCCAAGGAACTTAAGGAATTGGAGCAGGAAGTGGAACAGGCCAAGGCTCTGCAGAGCGAGATGCAGGCGAAAGTTGAACAGTCGGTGAAGCAGGAGGGACTCATTAATGACCTAAAGGAGAAGGTTAAGCAGTTTGAGGCCTACATTGCCCAGCAGGAGGAGTGTCTGCAGCAGAGGACCCACTCTAGTCCCAAGCCGGCTTCAGACTCGCCTCCGACTTCCGGCTCTCCACCAGAGCTTACCCAGGAGCGAATAAGGCGCATAGAGCAGCGCGTGCGCGATGAGATGGCGAAACTGTTTGCTGCTGAGCTAAAGAAGTTCACCGGTCGGCTGCAACAATTGGAGGAGCGCAATCAGTGCCTTCAGCGCGAGTACCAAGCTGTGTGCACTGAGCTGCAGCAGCGCCAAACTGAAGTGGATCTTCTGAAACAAACCATATTGGCCGAGCGCGAGAACATCCAGGAGCTGCTTATTGCCAAGGATGATAAGCAGAAAGTAATAATGGAAAAGTGCCGCCAGGAACTGCATGCGAAAAACGAACGCATTGCGAAAATAGTTCGCGAATTCAACGAACACCAAGCCAGCATCGAATCCGAGCGACAGTCCATGAAGGCAGTGATGGCCCAGTGGGAGGAGCAACGAAAGAGCGTCGACCAGGTGGAGAACCACTGGCGCCAGCAGCTGGAATCGCTGCGCACCACCCACGAGGAGGCGATGAAAGCCGCCCAGCAGCGTTACCAAAGCGCCAAGCGTACCGCTCACAACTACAAGCTCTACGCCGAAGACAAGGAAGCGCACATGAAGCGCGAGTATGAGCGCATAAAGAACGAGTACGATCTGTCTCTGGCCAAGATCGAGGCGACCATGAACCAGCACTTGGAGCGCCAGAGTCGCGAGCGGCTACGCGAGAAGGAGAACGAGCAGCCCAGCAATAGCACCACCAGCCATCCTAGCAGAAAGTCAAATGGTAACCACAACGGCAAAAGCAAAAGCACTGGCAACACTAAGAGCCAGGCCATTTAGTATTATGCATATAGCTCTCGTTAAGGGAATTATTGTTATATTGTTCCTTCGTACATTCCTCCAAAGCTCCTTCCATGATTCTTTGTACTTTTATCTATCGTCTTAGTTTAAACAACAACTTCATTAAAAAAAATCTAAAATTATTACAGGTTATTATCCATTGGTGAAATCAATATACATGACTAGTAGCTAATTTATTTATTATTTTATATAATCTTACATAGTATTTACTTTATTTTCAATGTTTATTTAATTTTCTTTAGGTCACTCGTTTTTTAAAACAACTCTTAAATAAATATAACTTCTCATTTATGATCTTAAAATGTGACTCATTTACGGATTACTTGAGCAATGAGTTACTTTCACGTAGTATTTTACATCAATCAATCAATCAATATTTTTTTTAAATTAGGGGATGCATCAATAAATTAGCTTTTGATATGCTATAAATTGTATATTAAAAAACAAAAGTTTGTTTAGCTCAAGGAATTTTAATTTGTTGGTCCCAAGAGCTCAAATGTTGGACCCTTTTCTTTTGCTCTTCCACGCCACCATAAGATTATTTTTATTAATTTATTTTTTTAAGAATAGCAAATGTCTGCCATTTTAAATCCATATCCTTACCTCGGACCGGATAAGGAGTGTTTTTAATGATATGCTCCGACTCACATCAGGTGGTAAGAGGCAAGGATAGGTGTCTTAAAATATTATTTTTGTTAAAGTCTAATGACATTTCAAAATATAATGCGAACATAAAACGCGAAAAGGATCGTGTGCCTCGAAATTAGTTTTACAAATATCCAAAGCTATAGGCCGAAAGTAACGTGATGGCCTAGAAGGAACTGGGAAACGTATTTGATTAAGAAGATTACTGGAAAAAATATATCCATTTATTAGTTTACAAAGGAACATCCCGCCATGGCAGGTCCGACGATCCTTAAGAGAAAGCAGGTCCAGAAGACGTAGTCTGTCGGCATACGGAGGAAGGTGGCGATGTGGGTCCCAGTCTAAGCCCCGAAGAACGAACAAAAGAAATTGTACCTGTGCCGAAAAAGTATGCACTATTTCTTAAATTGTTGTTTGACGATTGTACAACATATAATTGTCGTCTTGCGAGTACACTCTTCCTCAGAAGTCCGCTGTTTGGCAGAGTTGATTTAAAAACAAGAAAGGAAGCTAACTTCGGCATGAAGAACTTTGTATACCCTTGCCGTTTGCAATTAGATCCGGCCATATATAGCAGTAAGAGTATTAACTATAGAAACGGACGGACAGCCGGACATGGCTAGATCAACTCGGTTAAGATCAAGAATATATACTTTATAGGGCCAGAAATGTCCCTTCACTGCGTTGCAAACATCTGACTGAAATTATAACACCCTGCAATAGGTATAAAAAAATGTGGTTTCCTCGAGCCCATATTGTCAATATTGAACATTTCTCTCTGTTTTCGGATAAACAAAACAACAAATAATTTCAGCGAACTAAAAGAAAAGAATAATGCCTTTTCTTTTCCCTCGCTGAAATCAATTGTAAATGCTTAGAGATATTTTCAAGAAGTAAGTATGGATATATGTACATACATATGTAATCAAGGAAACCCTTGCTATATATATTACTATTTCTCTTTTTTACCCATTATAAGATGGTCTTCAACTTTTTCTGGGACTTTAAGTTAGGTCCTTGCATCTCCCTACCGAATTCAACGAATCTGTGCTATTATCTTCTTTTCTATTCTCTGGACAGGTGTAGCACACCTACGCTGTGTTTGTCCTGCGTTCATACTGTGGATACACATACATATGTATATATGTTTGCATCCTAGTTGGTCCTGGCATCCTGTCTAAGCTGCTCAGCATTTCAAGTTGATTTAATTTCCATTTTCTTTGAATTACTCGTGTTGGGCTGGCCGTGATGTGGGTGTGTGTCATTGGAGACTTCAAAAGCGAAATGGCAAACAGGCGTAAAAGCAAAAGCAGCTACAACAAACAAAAACGCGACTAGGATGTCACCAGGACCTCTCTCCGGCTCAACACACTGCATGCAACTTTGCCAACATTTTGCACGTTTTCTTTGTGTGACATTTTTTTAACAGCTTAAAAAATAAACACACACACACAGCGGGAACACAAACATAAATTCTAAAGAGAGAAAATTAAATCAACAAAAGAAACTTTCCCGGCAGGTGGGCCTGCATCTCCTCTCGCGGCTCGGAAACAGCATTTAAAATTAACACAACACCATCTGACATTCATTACAGGAGTGTGTCAAGCCTTTGATCATCGCACGACCCACTCTCGATGGCAAGTCCCGGATGAATCAGGGATATATGTATGTACTTTAATGTCCCTTCTGGAAACTTTTCGAAGAAATGAATTATTTTAGTCACCTTATCACGGATAGGTATCCTTGGAAATGTAAGATTAAAAATGTGCATTCTATGCAAGCATAAGTTTACAGTTTTAAAATGTTGTTGTTTACAAAGAGAAAGAAATATTAAATTTATTGTACCTTTTATATTAAGAATTATGCATATGGGATTAAGTCAATTGCAACTTCTGCTCATTCATGCAAATCAGCGGGGTACCTTCTGTAGTGTAATAGTATCGAACTGCCCCTTGAATGTTCCAGGATTTAACCAAACAACATGGGTAAAGAATATCCGAAAGCAGGACAGCTTTTGCCTGCTGGTTAGCACAGAAACGACCAGTTGCTCCTTTTCCCATTCAATTTCAATTTGTTTGACAAAAGTCGGTGACATGAGCCCAGTAGGCATGCCAACGGCAACACCACGCATAACTTGCAACCGTTTCCCATTTGTGCTATTGTCAGCCAATTACAAAGACGACTGGCTATCAGAAGACTAAGTAGACCAGTATATTTATAATATTTGCTAGATGATTTTTAAGCAAATAAAAAACCATTGGAGGTTATTATAATTTTAGTCGAGAGTCAAGTATATACATATCGACGCATTTCCGCGAAATTATCGTATGTCGCTATTTTTTCGAAATTGAGATTTTAATGCAAAATTGTTAGGCACCTAATGTCTTACTACCATGTGAAATATTATAACTGAAAACCCTATAATTTCGATAAAAATTAAGTTTCCATTTTGTCTTTTCTATAGTGCTTCCTAAGAGATTAAATAAAAAAAAAGCTTCTCCTGTAAAATTGGATCATTCAACATATGTACATACAACATATGCTTGATTAGTATCAAAAGCCGAGCCGATCTAGCCATGTCCGTCTGTCTGTTCAATCTGATCGTTTCTACGCATACTGGTCTTTTAGCTCTAAATGAAACTCCTGCAGTTCGTTTTTTGCTATTCTCATTCGTTTATAAGTCAAATGTTGTATTCTAATTCAAAATGTTGGTGTACATATATTGGAATTGGATTATTATATCATATACATAGCTGCGCCATAGAAACGATCGGCAAATGTATGTAGATGAAAATGCAAAACTGTAAATATTATATGTATAGGTAATTGATAATATATATAGGTAATAAATGTTTTCATTATTTATTTTTATAGTATATATAGAGCAAATTAGGTACGTACCGAAGTTAGATGAAAAGTGGTTGCCAAAATGTAAATTCTACTTAAAGTTATTTTGTTTCATTTATGATTGGAATTGTGTTATTTTTGTGATTGCTACAATATGCTACAGTATTTAGCAAGCACGTTGGCCTCTTTCGACTTGATTTTCAAATTTGGATCCGTTCGTGTTAAAACAGAGGGCGTCTTGGGGGCCGGATGTATCCGAACATAATCATCTTGTTCCGGGATTTTAGTTCTGAATGTGGTATCTGAGTATTCTAGATTTAGATTTATATAAAATGCTTGAAAGTATAAACGCCTATTAGAACTCGAGTCTACCTACATATACACACCAACGCCATTCATCTTGCTCCTGCTATTGTTTTTTGTGGCGTTGAAACGAGATTTCTGTTATCAAGTATTCGCCAGGACAAACGGCAAAAGGTGCTCATGCATATTTAAAAGGTTCTGTGCGTGTGTTCCGGGGGGTGTCAACAAATCCATTTTGGAGGTGGCCAACAACCCTGGCATTGCTCGAGTCGACTCGACTCGGCTCGGCTCTCATGCATCTGCATTAGGGCCAAGAGTCACAAAATTTTCTTTTTTTGTTGTTTTCTTTCTCATGTGACTGCCAAATAAATAGACCCATGTCAAAATTTAATTTTGCTGTGGGTCAGACATGTACATCTGAATAAGGTACCTATATATATATATGTATAAATATATTTATCTTTTTTCATTCATTCATTCATTTAATTTAAATTCTGACCTAGGAGAATTGCTTCAGAATATATTGTATTGCTATGCTTGACATAGACATAGTCACACTAGTAGTTACTATCCAAAAGGGGTCTTATGGTGGCTTCGTTGCTGAGTATTTAGAAATGGGAACATATTGAATATATATATTTAATTGCTTAATTGTTGCTAATGGTTACTATTTTGTTCAGCATGCAATCAAAAAGAACAAAGTGGAAAAATGTCAGTTCTACCTCTTAATAAATGTGTATCATTAAGTTGTCACTGATAATTAGGTATACAATTATTCTAATGACTTCTGTCCGATGTGCTCTAATCGATCCAGCTGCATATTTAATCTATATTTTGGTTTAGTTTCGGCCACAGGAGCTGCCTTTGCGGGATCGACCGCATAAGCTTACTACGTGTGACATTTTCACTTCACGCTCACACACAAAAGCTCATTAACAGCTGCAGTACACATTGCATTTGCGGTTGATTAAAGCATTGTCCCCCTCATGCGAATATCCTCGAACCTGCAATCAAGTTTTTGAATCCACCAGGGGCGGTTCGCCCAGGCAGTGTGTGTAGACTGGGCGAAATTATCCAGAACTCTGGGCTAAGGTATACAAAAAAAAATAAATCGCGTTCCTTTCGAAGAGACTTTTTTGAAAATTGTAGTTGCAGTGCACCAAATTAATATTGCATTAGACGTGCAGTGGGGGTTCTCTTTTTGGGCAGTCGAGCAGCCGCGGAGCTGTGGGTAATGGTGTTTAGGAGGACATGGAACCGAGAGCTACTTCATCTGATTAGCGCAGGCTCCTCTACTGGTCCAGTCCGCTTTATGTATGGCTTTTTGATCCGGCATTCATTTTAATTAATGCTGCTTTTTGCCCTTGATGTTGCTGCTGCCCGGCTCGGCGCCAGTAAGTTATTTAAATTAGTTCTCATTTTGCATTGAAAAGGGTTTGATTTCACTTTGGCTGACCAAAAGACGCTTCTCATTTGTGGTTTGCTTGGGGCAGTTCCTGTGCGTTCATCCCCCAAATAAACAGTCCCGCCCCAGGGACGGAATTTAAATGTATTCATGTGTCTTTGTGCCGTTGTCATAAAGACAATGTCAATTATTTTGAAGAGTTTATAACAGTTAGGGTCGTTGTTCGACAATGTCTTAAAGGTGCGGTACATTATTGTAACACCTTAGCCCTTTAAATGGAGATGTGGCAAAACAGCAATGTTCTCTTTCAATTTAATTATATTTTAAACATAACAAGAAAGGAAGCTAACTTCGGCACGCCGAAGTTTGTATACCCTTGCAGATATTATTTCATTGCATTCTACCTATACTTATTATGTTGAGAGTTTGACAGTTACAGTTTTACATTCCCAGTTTTACATTTTCCCTACACCTACCGATCGGTTTATATGGCAGCTATATGATATAGTTGTCCAATTTTCATAAAATTTATACCAAAATTCTGAACTAATAAAATAAGCTTATATCTCAGAGTAGATAAAAATAGTTTGAAAAACAACGAAGTTATAATTTTTTTTCTATTAATTTCCTGCTCGTTCCTATGGCAGCTATGATATAGTCGTCCGATTTTCATAAAATTTTTACCAAAATTCAGAAATAATATAAAATGGTCATATGTAAAAAATAGTGCACATATGTTGGAAAACAGGTAAGTTATAATTTTTTTTCTAAAAATTTATCGAACATTTGTATGGCAGCTATATGATATAGTCGTCCGATCCGGCCCGTTCCGACATATATAGCAGTGAGAGCATATAGAAGACTATATGCAAAGTTTCATTCAGATAGCTTTAAAACTGAGGGACTAGTTTGCGTAGAAACGGACAGACGGACAGACGGACAGACGGACATGGCTAGATCGACTCGGCTGTTGATGCTGATCAAGAATATATATACTTTATAGGGTCGGAAACGTCTCCTTCACTGCGTTGCAAACTTCTGACTGAAATTATAATACCCTGCAAGGGTATAAAAAAGAATTTAAATCGTATTCGTTTGAGTTCTGAAACAACTACCTCTGCATACGGATTTGTATGTAAATAACTTAAGCGGAAGGTTTGTATGTTTAAAACAGGCTTAATAAGTGGAGGCGCATTGGAATTTAAAAGTTTCTTATGTGACGTCTTTAGTATGCACAAATAGATCGAATACTATTTAGGCCGGTTCATCTGTCGCAACTGAACAACTGACCGGTAATTTGGAGGTCGTAAGTATTCTTAATTTGCCACCAAACAAATAGTACAAAAAAGATAGGGTTATGTGACTCTCTTCAGCCAAAATAGGTTTAAATAAAAATATGGGAGAGGAAGAGAATCATCACTGGACCGTAAGGCTCACCGCAGGCAAGTTCGGGATATTCTTATAATTCGGAAAGCCAGATAATCGTCTGTAGAGCACGGAGAGGGATAAATAACCAATTCAGGGAGTACTTAATTCATACATAACTCATATGTCATAAATTACGATCCTTCAATTCCTTTGCGACGCTCTTGTAGTGTCATCAATTCCTTACAATAATTTCTCTGTATAGCTTAAGCTTTTTGCATTTATATAGAACTTTTATACATAAGTACAAATAAATTGTCAATTTAATGTGTTTTTTATACCCTTGCAGGGTATTATAATTTCAGTCAGAAGTTTGCAACGCAGTGAAGGAGACGTTTCCGACCCTATAAAGTATATATATTCTTGATCAGCATCAACAGCCGAGTCGATCTAGCCATGTCCGTCTGTCCGTCTGTCCGTCTGTCCGTCTGTCCGTCTGTCCGTCTGTCCGTCTGTCCGTCTGTCCGTCTGTCCGTCTGTCCGTCTGTCCACCTGTCCGTTTCTACGCAAACTAGTCCCTCAGTTTAAAAGCTATCTGAATGAAACTTTGCATATGGTCTTCTATATACTCTCACTGCTATATATGTCGGAACGGGCCGGATCGGACGACTATATCATATAGCTGCCATACAAATGTCCGATAAATTTTTAGAAAAAAATTATACCTTTGCTGTTTTTCAATATTTTTGCACCATTTTTTAGATATGGCCATTTTATATTATTTCTGAATTTTGGTAAAAATTTTATGAAAATCGGACGACTATATGATATAGCTGCCATAGGAACGATCGGGAAATTAATAGGAAAAAAATTATAGCTTCGTTGTTTTTCAACGTATTTGTATCTACTCTGAGATATAGGCTTTTTTTATTGTTCTAGAATTTTGGTATAAATTTCATAAAAATCGGACAACTATATCATATAGCTGCCATATAAACCGATCGGTAGATTTATACAAAATGTAAAGCTGGGAATGCAAAACTGTAACTGTCAAACTGTAAACATAATAAGTATAGGTAAAATGTAATGAAATAATATCTGCAAGGGTATACAAACTTCGGCGTGCCGAAGTTAGCTTCCTTTCTTGTTTACGGTTATTTTAAGTTGACATGCTAATCACATTGGTATAGTTTTATAGCACGAGTATTTCATTCAATTACTATTATCGATGGAGATTCATGTGAAAAATGGAACCGTCAGCTGAAATTCTGATGCAAACGATATTTAAATAGATAAGTTGGGAGATTCGAAAATTGAAATCGAATAAAGTTGTAAATAAAATTCAACAGAATTTTGACGTGACCCGCTTGGAGTTTTTTGTGGAATTTGCGGCGAGATGAAATAGCAAATATTTGTAAGTTGATTGCGCAGCGGAAATGCACCGATGCAGTTGAGTGGTTATGCATGACAGCACTTCTGTTTCCTGTTTCATGTCCTCCATAAACGGAGCATTAGGCAGCCTGGCTGCTGGGGCGGCAATCGATGACACGAAACACAAACACACACCTTCAATTTAGCCCCACGAAAAGGCCGGCAAAGTGGTGGGGCGTCCATAAAAAGCACTCAATGCAGGCCTCCGCCATCGAAAATGCAAGTTCAGCAGCACCAGAAATCGCCTTTGATGGCGACCACGGCCGTTGGACAGAGGCCTCGGCCACCAGGTGTTCGTCCATCCAGAGTGATTTCGCATGTAAGATGCACACGAACCTGTGCCAAAAAGGCTGCATGCAAATTGTTTACCCGCCGGCCCAAGACCACTACCAATCCCAGCTCCAGTGGGCAGTGGGTGATCCATCTGGTCCACAACCCTCGGCCAGGAGCAACAGATAGTTTTCCCGGCTTCCAGCTGGGGAAATATGCGCATGTGCAGAGACCTGCCGGAGGGGAAGAGTGGTACTGGAATGACAGCGGTTTGAGAGTCAATGTGCCTCCAGAATCATCCTTATTCGGTTGATTTTTTTGTTTTATTAGATCCCTTTACAAAATATGAAATAAATATATGTAAAATATTTAATTATTATTTTAATAAAGAATATAATTAATTTATATTATTACAATATATAATTAATATGTTGTGGGAAAATAATTAAGCCCGAGTCCCCAAAAGGATGATTTGGCGGTCAGTATCAATGATGAAAATATACACATTTAAAACAAATGCCACATGACCAAGGACTCCAGCCAGCTGTCAGTTGGCGAAGCTCAGGGGTGGGGTGGAACTGGCTCCTCGAGGTATCAGCTGTTAGAGCCCTATCACAGCAGCTGGTGCTATTGATAAGGCGAGGGCCGCTCACAACACCCGACGCCCACTGCCACCTGCTCCCTGGAAGTGGCGCCGCCGCTGCAACTGGAAATACCCATCGTCGTCGGTCGTCCTCGGCTGCTCCTCGGGCCTCCGGTTCTGTGTCGTGCTTGTGTCCACAGTCGCAACAGTTTGGCCAACACAGCCGCACAGTTCAGTTCCTGTACGGCGTCGCACGTCCGCGGTAATACGGTGAATTCCACAGCGAAACGGAGCGCGCCCAACAAGTGACGATTTCGAATAAGAGCAGCGGCTGGGAAAAGTGTTTGAAACCATAAAAAGGAATTTACCCAAAAATTGAAGTGTTACCAGTGTCTAACGGGGCGTATACGCCATATTGAGTTATTTTTCCGGATCCCATGCCTAACTATCCCCGGACATGAACTTACGGTGAAACTGAGTGCGATTGTTTGTGCGAGACATTAATTTTTAATTGAATATATCAATTTTAAATGTAGGAAAGTGGCAGGACATTTTATATTCTCCCATTCCAAGGCATACGAATTGACGAAAGTGAGTTTATGGCTAGTCCGTGACGTAAAAGTCCAGCGCTTTGATGTTTAATCCATTTCTTGCCAATCAAAGTATTATTAATAACAGTTTCAATTGTTTGTTCTTGGGAATTTTAATTGCTGGAGCCACTATATATGTACATATGTAAGTGTAATAAGTTCTTGTTAGAAAACGGAATCCCTAAAAATATAACTTTCTGATTGTCACGACGTCTCAACTCTGAAACAACAAAATTGGGAGCTGTCTACAAAACTTACTTACCTTTGCATATAGTTACCCTATTAATACTAGTTTAATATTAGAATATATGCACAAGTCTTCCGAACGAGGGAAACCATACTATATGTTAACAATTGTGTCTCCAAGACTTCTACTTGACTCTGACAAGATCTTCATGTGCTTTTGGAACAAACTCCCGTTTCGTTTACATGCTTGGCTTCAAATCCAGAAGAAGTTTTTTCTATTTTAGTCATTTTCAAAAAAGGATATTGTACAGATTTATTTCTTGTTCGACAAAGCCATCAGTTTATTTTTTGGCAATTGTGGCGCAATTATTCCGTTTGGCTTACTTCGACTGGATGTGTGCACAAACCGAAGCCGAAAGGCCCTGGCGAGGCTCAATAATAATAAGAAGCCACGCCAACAAGTCAGATTGCATCCTTAAGCGCCAAATGCCGTGCCATGTCAACAGGGAGAGTCGCGAAAACAACAACAACTCGCAATATATTTTTGGGACCATTAAAAGCTGCAAACACCGAAAGCCCCGAAATAACAATAATAGTGGTGGAAAGAGCGGCCAGTGGAAATGCAGGAAATTCACTTTCTCGAGCGACAGGCAAAGCAATTTCTTCCTTTTATGTGCCGAAACTCGTTGAAAAACCGCAGGGTGGCGGGCGGAATGGCGTTGGAGGCGGGACGGGGCCCTCAAATGCAATTCGGGTTTTTCCCGCACTTTTACATTTTCTACTTTCCCGCTGCGGGCGCCTCTTTCTCCCTATTTTCTTTCCATTTCGCTTTGCTTGTGCTTGCCTGCCATTCGTGTTTCAATGACTTTGTAATTGAGTTAAAAGTTTTGTTCTAATTTCGGTTGTATTTCCGGAATTTCAATAATATTAAAGTTCTTGGAGAGCGTGGGGTCCAAGTCGGTCGGTCGTCCAAGAACACCGATCACCAATCTGCTTACATACATATACATATATGTACGTATCCTGGGAAAACTACCGCCCAGTTGATTAAATTATATGACTTGAGCTTCATAAAACTCGTTTGGGGCTTAATAAATTAAACAATTAATGGTCCGGCGAAGGCCATCAATGAAACTGCAGCATCATTCCTCAAGCGGTGGCCAATGAGCTCTCATTCTGGGTCCGGGATTATCCATTACCCGGCGATAAGGACGCGGACGAGGACAAAGACGTGAACGAAGACGAGGTCGTCGGAGTGCGTGGCGGACAATTAAAAAAGGCTCATAAAACGTGGCTGCCACGGGAAAAGCGGGCAAAAGACCATCGAACAATTTACAGGCGTAACCAAAACGGGCAATGTCATCCGGACAATGTCCGTGGTGGGCAGGAAAATCGTAAGCCATCAGCGCTTCACGTCACGTTTATTTTTTTCTTGTTTGTTCCCCTACTTTTCCTCCAGCATTCAGTTTTTTCTCTCTTGCTCCCTTTTACTAGTTATTAAGGGTGAAATTTTTAATTAAATTTTCGCTTGAATTGGCCCCATTTCAGTCACGTGTTAATAATAATAATCAAATGTCCAAGCCGTCTTTTCAGCGGCGTAATCACTCAATGGGGCCAGGGCGGCAGTGACGTATGTAGGATCCCGCTCTTCCATTAAAATCCAAGCCTTTTTTAGTACACCGTCTTCATGGGCGGAAAATTCCCCATTATAAGTTACTACTCAAAAATAGATTTTGATCGTTGTATCTGCACAGGGAAAATCCGCATTTGTAGATAATTAGATATTTAAGAGGCTCAGTTGGAAATGCATCTTGTTTCACAATAGCACTTTTAAGTTTTAGTTGTGTTCTTTGGTTTAGGATTTAGAGCAATCATTTTTGGAGAAGAATTATTCAGTGCTCTGACTTTTATACTCAAACTAGGCTTTCTCACATTTTGTTCATAGTGTAGAAACGCTTTTTCGTCCCCTATTATTTTTGTTTGAGATTTATGGCCAGCAGGGCCTGGCTGATTAAAATATTGTTTGACGTTGGCCTGGTGTTGATTAAGGCCAGTTACGGACGCACATGACGATAGGATTATGGCAACCGGCAACTGGAATAACGAGTGTTTATGGACGATTGAGGTAGGTGCCGAGAGACAATATTGTTGTTTGCCCGAATATATGTCAATGTTCGATTCATTGCTTAGTCATTTGGCTAACGAGACACGTTAGGACAAATGGGCCTACGTCCATGTATGATTGCCCTCGCAGATAAACAAAACTTACACCACATGAGTGCTGCTTACAAGTTTCGCTGGTTGTCTGCCCAAATTATTAAAATGCTGGTCTATAAATATTGTCTTAAAAGTAATACTAAAATTAACATTTTTATTTATAGGTGCACATTAGTTTTATGCGATTAGGTTGATTTTGATTTACAAAAATGTAGCATTTTTGTATACTTTTCTTTGAAAAGCCAAAACTTGTATACCCTTGTAATTTTAAGTTCAATCCAACCATAACTTAATAAGTTAAAAGACAGTCGGCTGATTTTGATTAATTAAAAGTAAAAATTTTTACTGGTGTATAATAGAGATTTTTCTCGAATTTTCCATGGTATGAAATAGTATAGTACAAGAGTATTATAACTTCATATCAACCGGAATGTACACTACTGGCCGAAATAATAAGTACATGCGTATGTGGTTTGTTTCAAGTCCTATAAAATTTGTTTAATAAACTTAAGGAAAAAACCCACTTTATTTTTAGTTTCCGTACTTATTCTAGATAATAAAAATAACTGCCTAAAGGATTTTACATTTCAAATTTAGAGACAGGGGTCAATTTTATCCAAAAAGCATGAAAATGGGCTGGCCGAAATAATAAGTACACCCATTCTTCTAAGTCTAGAACTCGGAACGTATTAGATATTTTTCACTTCTTTCTTCTTACAAGTAAACTTAGATTAGTATCCAATAGAACCACACTCGTTTTAGGTAACTTTCGCTATTATTTTTGGCATTCTAGCAGGAAGTCTGTGGCAAGTCAGTACTAGAAGCTGAGACCAGGTTTCTTCAGCAAATCTTCACAAATCTTCAACATTTTAAAATGTTTTGGTTACAATTCGACGTTTGAAGTTTCCCCACAATGTTTAGTTTAGGTTTATGATATGAGACTGACTTGACCATCTCATAACAGTTACCTCTCTCTTGCCAAAAAGGACCTGTTTGGTCATCCAAGGCCATTTCCGGCGAAATTGACATTTAAATTTGAGCTCGAACAGTTTGTCGTAGACTGCATGAGACAGGATTACAAGGACGTATACCCCAAAAGGTTCTATTACTTCAAGGAAAATTTTTTCAGATGAAGCAAAAGCTTTGCAATATTTTTTTGGTATGGTCTGAACCGGAGGTGGAAACAAAATACTTTGGGGCAATGAAACAAAAATATTTCTTTTTGAAAACGATTCTAGACGGTTTGTACGTCAAACCAAAGTCAAAAAATTGAGCTTTGAAACGCGAAAAAAAAAGTTAAGCCCGGAGACAGATGCATAAAGGTCAGGGGCTGTTTTTCCTGGCATGGCGTTGTGCAAATACATCTCATAAATGGTATTACGACCTTATTCGAAAATAAAACTTTTTTAACTGGCATCTTCTAACCATATGCTTAGGGAAACATGCCCTTCCGATAGATTTTCCAACGAGATAACGATCCAAAGTAAACCTTAAAAGTCATCATGGCCTGGTTTAGGGACAAAAAAGTAACCGTCATGGGTTGGAAAAGTCAGTTTCCGAACTCATACCTAATCAAAAATTTATGGGGAAACTTAAAACGTCGTATTGTAACCAATACATTTAAAAATTTTGAAGATTTGTGAAGATTTGCTGAAGAAACATGGTCTGAGTTTCTAGTAGTGACTTGCAACAGACTTCTTGCTAGAATGCCAAAAATAATAGCGAAAGTTACCTAAAACGAGTGTGGTTCTATTGGATACTAATCTAAGTTAACTAATAAGAAAAAAGAAGTGCAAAATATCTAATACGTTCCGAGTTCTAGGCTTAGAAGAATGGGTGTACTTATTATTTTGGCCAACTCATTTTCAGGCTTTTTGGATAAAATTGACCCCTGTCTCTAAATTTGAAAAGTAAAATCCTTTAGGCAGTTATTTTTATTATCTGGAATAAGTACGGAAACTAAAAATAAAGTGGGTTTTTTTCTTAAGTTTATTAAACAAATTTTATAGGACTTGAAACAAACCACATACGCATGTACTTATTATTTCGGCCAGTAGTGTATATAGCAGACAGAAGGAGTCCTCTCCGACTTCATAATTAATTGTCAGAATTAGACACTTTTAGTTTCAGTTTCGTTTTCAAAGATATTTGGATTTGAAACTCTACAAAAAAGTTATTTGCAAGGGTAAGAAACTTGGGCTTTCCGAAGTTAGCTGCCTATCTTTCTATGAATACATTTTGAAATATAATGGCTAATTCAAGGATAACAGAAACAAATATAGTAGGCCAAAATTCATCTTAGTTTGACGAATAACTTTCTTTTTTAACTCTGGTAATGGCCTTGCTTCACTAAAAGCAGCTTGAAAATGTTATAAACATCATTTATATTTCCATTTATCGATGCTATCGTGCTACAGGAAAAATGAGAAATCCTCACTGTTTACTTTATGATAAAAAAATGGGAAACATCCTGAAATGCCGTTGCTTTTGTTTTGGAATCCGTTGATATCCCTCATGAAAATATCTTAGCAGTAAAGCAGCTTGACAGACAAGGGGAGGAGCACAGCCAATGATTAGCAAGGCACAGAGGGGCGGGCT